CTTATCACTGTTTAAACAGAGTTTTCTATTCAAACAATTGAAGAAATATCATTTGATATATTATATTACAAATCGTTTTTTGCCAATAATAGCGAGTTATGAAATCGCCGGGATTTTATGTTACTTAATGCTCGCATGGGAACATGGTATAATTGAAAACAATAACATTTTACGCTGAATAAAAAGCATTATGGGAAAAAAGGATTTATATTTTAATGTTAAAAATTGATTTATACATTTTTCCGTAAATGAACCATAATTACTCGTCAATTACCCTAATTTTCCTATTCTTATATCTTCGAAACCTGATGACGAAACCTTTGATATTGTAAACTCCTAATTCTTCTAGTTCAAGCTGTAAAATTTTGAAATGTCAAAGTGTACACCATCAGGTTGCGAAGTTTTAGTGAATAAAAAGTTAGAGCTAGGGGGGAGAAATCAGTTCGTTAAAAAGATTAATTAGTCCAATATTATGTAAGACACCCTGTAGCTCAAACGTTGAATTACCAGAACCAGCCCATCTAGTGTATAACCTGGTATGTGGTTGACCCAAAGCATTTTATGCAGGAAATAAGAATAAAGGGAAGGGAAATGGCGCTGGTCTGGCTTAAGGAAGCCAGATGTTCTGCTTTGCAGACAGGTTCCTTATTACACACGCATTCTCTTTTTGTACAGACACACAACTTGACTACAATAAAGGAAAGTGCAGAAAAATGTCAACAATTATAATTAAGCTTGAATTTAACGAGTAGTTTATTGAAAACTTTAAGCAAATTATATTCTTTACATGCAAATTTGGCTTTTAGTGTTGACTTAAATATATAAATAATATATTACATGTTTGCATATTAAACTTATTTGTAAAAGTAAACAATTAACAATAAACAAATGTACTCTCCCAGACTAAATACCGAGATTCTTCTGTACTGTATAAACCGACAGTACAACTTTCGGTTCCTTACTACACACGCACACTCTTTTGGTACAAACACAAACATTTGACGTTTCCGCTCCCTTGTTTTATGCAACAGAATTAGGCGGACCGAACTAAAGTTAGTTCAAGAAAAGGTAATGTTCCATAAAAATGTAGAAATGAAAAGTATATTATGATAAAATATGTACTATAGGGTGTCCACTGTCCACTGTGCTTTATAGTGCTAAATGTACATGTAAAGGGCTACAGAAAAGCAAAAGTGAGTTAAAGAGGTAAAAACAAAGCCCAAGGCAATAAGACACTTCAAAGTCAACCCTGTCTTGAAAATTTATGAGACTTTCAATAAGCGGCTGATTCTATGTGATGTCTTTATCATATCTGACTCTAAATTACGCGACTAATCGGACCAAATAGATTGGCAAGTACAATAGATGGCAACGTAGTATTTGTAAACTCTCAGCACAACATCACAAGTGTCAACTAAGTATTGTGTCCGACAAAATTTTTAATAATAGTGATAATCTTAGAATAAAGAGCTTATCTTACAGTGAAAAGGGTGCTATTTTATGTGTTTTTTAGTTTCTGTTTTTACATTTGTTTATTTAAATTTTGAAATACATGTCAAATAATGTAAGAAAACTTCGTTTTCCTGTAATATTTGACACATGTGACGTCGTGTTTAATTGATCCTATGGTACTTGATAATCTATTTGAATCGGAAAATTTAATTTAAAGGCCATTGAAAAAAATGTTCTCGCAGAAAATACTAGGTTTTCAAGTGCATTTTTTTGGGTATAAACCATAGAAATAATCTAATATGATATGGGACTCTCTGTACGAGCAGGAATTGGGTCTTATTAGCCCCCTCCCCCTTCACACCTCTGTCAGCCGTCTCTGAATTATCACGTTTTATGGTTAACCCTGTATACCTGCTGATATAACCAGTAGTGAGGCAGATGTAAGTAAGAAGAAGGTTGATTATGAATCCAAGAGTTATCTAAAAAATTTTTAAAATTACATGTTTAAAATTTCATCCAAAGATTGAAACTTTTGAAAGAACGGAATCAAATCTTTACAAAGAAGACCTTTTCTTCTTATTTTCCAACTGACTGCCCCACGGTTTTTTCGACAGATTTCATAAAATGTTGGTCTGAGGTTTCAAACTTTTAACTTTTCCTTCTAACTCATGACCCTAACTTGAATGGTTTTTTTTATCAAGTTCCTGAGTCTCCTGAGTCCTGAGGTGTGTATCTTGTATGTCAGAATGCCTAATTTGACATATATATACCAGACTAAATCTATTATTACAAATATGTTGTTCTCTTCAAAAGTTGCACTTTTAGACCATTTGAAACCATGCGAAAAAAAATTAACCACAATTCAGAATTGTAAAAGATTTATAATTATTAAAATCTCTGTTATATTAACATTAAAATAATATATAAGGAGGGGCATTAAAGGGACTGTAAGGGTAATTTCAAGTGACCCTTCATGCCCGATTATAGGAACTATTAGAGAACAGTACTTTTAAACCTAGATAAATGACAATATATTTTCCACAATTTTAATCATATAAATGTTAAAAGGGAACCATTGTGAATTAGGGATTCCCATCTTTGCCTGGAAGATCACTTCAAATTGTGCGTACAGTCCCTTCAACTTAATTTTTTCAGTGTTTTATTTTAGAAAATAAGAGTTTACAGTCTTCAGAACAAGAATTGCCGAAGAGAGGTCTATGTAGGTCTGGGTCTAGGATATAGGAGATGATGGTGAACAAGAGGAACATGGAGGAGATGATCAGGGCACAGGGGTAGAAGATCATCGTAAATTCCTAGATACAACGTAGGCTCCATACAATTGTGGAATGGAAGACGACATTTCAGCAATCTTACATGTTATTATAAAGCTATGGGTTTACCATGCAGATTGAAAATAAGCCTATTGCACAAAAATGGGTCTTCACTTCATTTATTCATTTATTCATTTATTCATTCATTCATTCATTCATTTATTCACCTATTCATTTATTCATTTATTCACCTATTCATTTATTCATTTATTCATTTTTCCATTCATTCATTTATTCACCTGTTCATCCTTTCATTTATTCATTTATTCATTTATTTATTTGGTTTTATATAATTTGGCTCCTCTGTATCCTCCTTTTATTCATCTTAAAAGTGGTATTCCTTTAAAAAAGGCTAACAGATATTGTATCAAGTATTTAATAAAAGTGTTCCCCCAGCTACCTCTGTTTATATGATCAACAAATGATTTTACTCTCTAAACAAAAAATAGTCTTAAGCAATTAATTAAAGGATAAATCTCAAGGATATTCGTACAGAACATAAATACCAAAGATTAATCAAAAGAACAGGTAGAATATTAGATGTCGTCTTTTCAAGATTTAAGGGTTTTCGTTCACAATAACCCTGAACCAGAACACAAGAGAGTTAAGCACAGTTGGCGTAGAACAGGCTCTCTCTCTGTCTTATAATTCTACGCCGACTGAGTGTAACTCCTTTTTGCCCCTGTGTCAGGGCTGTGAACGAAAAAAACCTAAATCTTAAAAAGACGACATTTGTTGTACTAGCCGTTTTTTAATTAATCTATGATAAATACGTAACAATTCTTTTCAATATGTATAACTGCGCCAATTAAAATCCTACCTTGCTCCCTTGATCTACAGGCTGGGAGTCTTGAGTACAAATCCTACCTTGCTTCCTTGATCTACAGTCTGAGAGTCTTGAGTAGAAATCCTACCTTGCTTCCTTGATCTACAGTCTGGGAGTCTTGAGTACAAATCCTACCTTGCTTCCTTGATCTACAGTCTGGTAGTATTGAGTACAAATCCTACAGTGAAACCCTTAATAACGAATACATCGAAAGAATTCATCAAATGTGGTATTCTTCACTTTCTGATAATGGAATGTTGCAGATATTTAGTTTTTTAATTAAATGATTATATGGAACTCTATAAAAATGCTCCCGCATATTCATGGCTATTTATTTATTTTCGCAAATACTAAAATTTACGATATATAGTATAAAACTCATTGAAAAATTGTCAAGACGACATTTGATAAATTCTTCCGATGTATTCGTTATTAAGGGTTTCACTGTACCTTGCTTACTTGATCTACAGTCTGGAAGTCGTGAGTACAAATCCTACCTTGCTTCCTTGGTCTACAGGCTGAGAGCAGTGAGTACAAATCCTACCTTGCTTCCTTGATCTACAGGTTGAGAGTCTTGAGTACAAATCCTACCTTGCTTCCTTGGTCTACAGGCTGAGAGCAGTGAGTACAAATCCTACCTTGCTTCCTTGATCTACAGGCTGAGAGCAGTGAGTACAAATCCTACCTTGCTTCCTTGGTCTACAGGCTGAGAGTCTTGAGTACAAATCATGAATCCAACACTCAGCTCTTCGGTTTCATTCTCTGTTGATTCAAACTTAAATTTTATTAAATTAATTTTTATTTTTTGATTTTGTTTCTTCAAAGGACTATAATTGTAATTGCAATTGAACCTCCATTTTAAAGAAAGAGACATGCCCGATTTACAATGGTACCCATTGATTCTTCATCTGATCATGATGTGGATGATATCGTTGTTTTTCAAGCTTGGGAAGTGTTTAATTTTAACAGTTTTTTCATTTGTTCTGCAAGCGTAAATTCGCAAGTCACTTTTTAGAGATCAAGAATTGAAAAAAAATCAATTTAGTAATTCAACAACATGGATATCTCATTCATGCAGAGCTAGAGAAGGTCACTTGTAGTTACGTGTCCAGTCCCTTAAATTTTGCAAAAATTTTAGCAAATTAAAACAAAAAATATTTTTACCTGGGCATAGACTGGATACACAGAAACATTAACAAAAATGTATTTTTAAGCCAATTATTTAAGTTTTAAACATAATCAAGTCTTTTTAACAAGTGATTTTTATTTGTTTACATTTTTGTTTTCTCGTAGTTTATTTTCACGTTTATAGTTTTCTTGATAGTTAGCAAAGTTTTCACTTTGCATATTTGAAATAGGAAAGGGGAAAATATTGAAATTTTTACTGAATTGTTACAGTATTTATTAATTGAAGCATTATTTTTGGAATGCATAACCACTATTTTACAGGGAAAATACATACTTTTAATATATTTGAATTCATATTTAAGATAAGAAAATTTATTGAATTTTTTTATTATTTTAATTATTGTTCCTAGGCAGAATTGTGAGTTTGAATGATTGATTATTTTAACTCCAACTTCTAAAGGATGGATTCCAACCAGCTCACCGGTCTCTAACAAACTAAAATTTAAATATTTAAATCCTTAAAATATATTTCTTATAGAGGGAGGGGGGGGCTTCTATTTATGGTTAGGGCTTTTTGTTACCGAATAGCATGTTCTTGAAAACGAAGGAATTAGTTTCGTCAACGACCTGAAACCAACCATTGAATTTACAATCGTTAACAAACGAAATCACACGCCCATGAAAAAAAAATGTAAAAACTAACAGTCCGTGCAGATAATTCATTTAACCTTTAACGAAAACTTATTTTTTCGTTTTGACAAATATGTTAAAGAATATGCTTATTAAACAAACATTGGACTTCGTTTTTTAACCATTTTTAAACATTTCGGATTTTATGGCTTTCTGGGCACCATACGATTATGAGAATTGAGTTGTTTAAATCTACGTTCGTGAACTAAAGAGTAAATTTAAATCTCCTCTCAGAGCCCAAATTTTTTTTTAAATCATGAAAGCCAACTTGTACAGAGAAAAAATTTTAACTGTACTTATTATATTGAGCTGCTGAGAAGGCCCAAAAATTTTATCTTTAAAACATGATAATGCACAAAATTACCCAAATTGAAATCTACAAATTACACACCTGATATTATAGTAAAATAAATCTGCAGGGATCAATCCTTGTTCCGGGTCAGGGCACACAAATTTATCTTTGCTTGGTAACAATCCAAACATCTGACAAAAAGCAAACTTCAATATATATATATATATGTTGCGCATAGCCGGCCAAACGGCTGGACCGATTGGGCTGAATTATTTTGTGGACACTCATTGGTGGCCAGGGGGTGTTAAAGGCTAAAAAAATCGAAAATTTCTTTATCGAATTTTTTTAAAAACTTTTTTTCCCCGGGTAACGTCGGGCCCCTCAGCTAGTATTTTTCATATAATAAAACAAGACATTTATCATGTTGCGTTTATCATTTAGTCTTTGTATTGTGTATTGTGTTGATTCTAAACTATTTTAAAACAAATATATATATTTAGCAATAATATTCAGGGACCTATAAAACTCTGGAATCGGAAGAGGCAATTGAAAGCAAGGTACTAATGCAAGGAAAGTTATTTCAGAGGTGTACTGCAGTGTACTGTCTTTGGGTGGAAAAGTAAACATAAGACGGATGTCACAGCCTGACATGGAATCAATTTTCACAAAAATAATGTATGAAATGTTCTGGTCTTAGGAAACTATTATGTGAATTTTCAAAATTATAATGCATCAATTCTTGTTTACAAATTCCACCTAGAGAGAACTGGTTTCAATATGTACGCAGAGTATACGCGACCGCAATTAACTTTCCTTGCATTAGTACCTTGATTGAAACAATCTTTTTCTGTATTTTAGCATAAAAATTATTTCATTACGTGAAATGTGTCTGTTTTTAATTGTTCACTGAACACTTGCAATGTTTCATGTTCAATGGACTATTTTTTTTATAACTTGAGTCATAACAGTAATTATCATGTTCCACAGTTTTATAGGCCCCACTGTACCTTCAGGCTCAAAAATGAATAGATTTTTCCAAATATTTATTTTAAACTGAAGTCATGGGTGATTGATTTGTGACTTTTTTTAGAAATTAGCCAACCGCCCACCGGAGGTCGCTGGGTTTTTACTTTTAAAAAATATTGTAATAAAAAAATTTCAAAATCGTCCATAGGGTTGCGCATTGACGACTTAATATTGGAGAAATCGCCGTAAGGCCTAACAAAAAAAATATTTCAGAAAAGTAAATATGATAAATCATTTTCTTGGAAATTTAATTCAGATTCGAAACCCATTTTTAAAAATATTAAAATCTTAAGAAGTTATGGCCAAATAACGGTACTAAATTCCTGTTGATAATATTTTTGATGAGTTTTTTAACTCTAACTCACTCAATTTTCATTTTTTTCAACGCTTTTCAGATTTGAATTCAGCATTAAATTCCAAAAATTATGTAAAACATGAAAATAAAAAAATGTCATGGCCTTACGGTGAATTCTCAGATATTAAATCGTCAAATTGCAACCCTATGGACGATTTTGAAATTTTTGATTGCAAATTTTTTTAAAGTGAAAACGCGCTCCACCTTCGGCGGGCGGTTGGCTCAATTTCAATATTGATCACCCTTTACTGCCATATACATGCATTTTGATTTTATCATTTCCAGCGCTTCAATAAAGTATAAATGGGTTGATGTTTACCATTTATTTTATTTCTTCTTTAATCGAATAAAATGTTAAAAGTGAGAAAAATTATTTTTCAAATTGAAATTCTGTTTACTTGAAGCTCTCTATAAACGTTTAGGTTATATCTAATTTTTATCTAAACATCGACGTCGTATGTGACAGTAGCATAAGAAAAATAAACAGTTTTAATTTCAACAAAAAAATCCCCCACTTCTCCTCACATTTTATAGTTAGTCGATAAAAAAAAAACATTTTAAAAGGGAATCAAATTTAATTAGTTTCAATATTGCACTAAAAAGAGGGTGAAGGGGGTCAATTAATTCAAGAAAAGGGTCCTCATTTTATTTATTGTTTTTGCTGTTACCAAATTGTACGATAAAATGAATTGGGGAGTGGGGGAGTAGTGCTAAAAAAGGATACATGGCAGGCTAAAGGGGGGGAGAGCTAAAAAGGGTTGAAATGGCAGGGTAAAGGGGAGGTAGTGCTAAAAAGGATACATGGCGAGGTAAAGGGGGGGGGGAGCTAAAAAGGATAGAAATGGCAGGGTAAAGGGGAGGTAGTGCTAAAAAGGATACATGGCAGGGTAAAGGGGGGAGCTAAAACGGATAGAAATGGCAGGGTAAAGGGGGAGTAGTGCTAAAAAGGATAAAAATGGCAGGGTAAAACCCATTAGTGTTAGAATATAAAATCAGGAATAAACATTATTTAATGGCGGAGGTAATGTAAACATCAATCTTTCAAATCATAAAAAACAATATTAATTTGTAATACAGGGTGTCCCAATAAACATAGGAATTAAGTGACGACTTTGATCCATGCGGCATTTTTTTCGTGAACACAATTATTGTCGTATTCAAGTTTAAACATCTAATATCGAAAACGCCTGGTTTTGAGATTTTCAAAATGAGGCCTACCATTTTTGTATCTTCAAAATTGGCGAATATATTGCAAGATTTGTATATTTGAAAAATAACATTGTCTATATCTAATATTTTCGTCAATTTTTAAGACACGAGAAATATATAGACAGACCACTTTCAGCCTCATTTCTATACTTTCTTTGCAATCCAATAAATTTAAGAAATCAAAGACGACTTTCAAGTCGTCTCTCAATTCCCATGTTAATTGGGACACCCTGTAGATTAAATAAAAACGAATGTTTGAAAATTTAGATCAATTTTTTCCTTATTTATTGAATATAAATTGGATAGTACATTCAAAATGTTTAAACCAACTAATGAAATGTTGTACACAATTAGTGTATTTATGTTCTTTGGACTAAATAGAAACTTTAGTCTTAAATCGTCTTCCTTTCCACAGTGTAATGTTCCCCTCCTCAGATTATGAATTTTGTCTCACCTTTCTTTAATTTATTCATTTTGAAAATTAATCTTTTTGAGAACCTCAGTCTGACAAATTTTGCAACGGTTAGTGTTTACAGATAAATAATCTAAACTTACTTTTAGTGCAATATATTTGTTTTTTTAAAGGGAGTGACCGGCTATTTAAGGTAGTTGAACTGAGTATTCAGTATTGTGGAAAACTTCCTTCGGATTCATTTGAGACATATTAAACTTTTTAAAGATTTGTAAATTCTGAGTTTGAGCGCAAATTCGACGTTTAAAACTCCTACTTTGGGGGTTTAATATGTCTTAAATGAATCCGAAAGAAGTTTTCCGCAACACTACATACTCAGTTAAACTACCTTACATAGCCGGTCACTCCCTTTAAGCAATGTGAGGAAATTAAATAGTTTTTTAATTTTAGTTTTTTACCTTTCCTTGATGATAATACTTGGTAAAATCTGGTAGATTCTCTAGTTTTTACCTTTCCTTGATGATAATACTTGGTAAAATCTGGTAGAAATTAAATAGTTTTTTAATTTTAGTTTTTTACCTTTCCTTGATGATAATACTTGGTAAAATCTGGTAGATTCTCTAGTTTTTACCTTTCCTTGATGATAATAGTTAGTAAAATCTGGTAGATTCTCTAGGGTTGGCTCAGCACAAGCTTTAGCAGGCTAGACAAGTCAAGTTAGGTTTAGAAACTGATTACTCGCTTCAACTTCTCATTTTATTATTTTATTTTTTAACCTGATCTGGTAAACCATTGCTCTTTCAAACTATGATCTCTGATAGATTTTAAATGTTTTGAATACAGAAAATTTGTTGCAAAGATATAAGGATTCGAAAATTTCAGTTTGAGGCGAGTGTGATCTTTTTCTAATTGCTTTTGTGCCCACTTAGGAAAAAACACAGAACTAAAAACAAAAAATTATATATAATCATCATTATAAAGTTTCAAATATGATATACAATGTAAATGTTTGTGGCAGATTTTTTAATGCTTGACGTTTTAGAAATTCTTCCAAACAATATGTTCAATTTGTTTTCACATTTAAATTTTATTAGGGGTTAAAATATTCCATTAACCATGTTAAATTTTGTTTGCATTAGAAGCAACATTTATTATAGAGAAAACTAGATTTTAGTCAACACCCTAACATCATGAAAAAAAGAAAGTTACAGGGAGACCCAGAAAACTGTGGAATAGGAAGCTGATTTTCAGATTCAGGTTATGACTCTAAATAGTCCATTAAACATTAAGCGCGCATTTGTGCAGCTTTTTACTAATAAATTGACTACTGTTAAAACTATTTGCATTAAAACAACATCGAATACACAAAACATTTTTGAAATTTCGTCGTCCTATCCCACAGTTTTATGGGAATCACGGTATGGAATGGCACAACCTCCTTTGTCAGCCGATTTTTAAAAAAATATTATATAACTGACCGGTTCGTCAAGATGGCAACGATGAGGAGTCCACTTGGTGTCGGTCATCCTAACCTCACCAGTCGGGCAACACAGGGGGATACAGGGGACCTACGCGACAACAATATTAAAGGGAGTGTAGACGATTTAAAATAGGCCTTTATTTGCAGGTACAGTGGCATGTAGGACTCATAACAGTCCTATTTTACCTTCGTCTGAGTAAACATGTTGAAGATATTCGTGATTTCTGTCTAAAAATTGAAAATTTCCAAGTGTGAATTATATGAAGTCAGTTTCTAACCATTTTTAGCACATCTAAGTTGATATTTCTCTTGATAAACGGCACTTACAATGGTGGAAGGTAAAATACCAAATCTGAGTCAATAACGTCATATACAAGTGTACAGAGATGGGCAGCAGATGGGCAGCGTTTTTGGGAACAAGCGAAAATTTTCGTGAACGGAGCGATAAACGACCGAATTGGATCGTTCAAAGAGATTAAATGGGTCGTTAACGAACAATGAACGACGAAAAAAACCGAACTGTACATAATATCTTGATATGAAATAGTCTCTTTATGGAGAATTTTTGACTCACACAATCTGTAGATATTCCAGGGCCACAGCATTCTTCTCCTAGACATAATCCAAACAGCAACAACAGCAACAACAACAACAACTTCATTTTTTCTAGAATGAAAAGAAGATATAAAGGGACTGTAGCGTAATGTTAAGTGACCGTTTATGCAAAGATGTCAATGCCCGATTTAGATAGGTTTCCTTGAAACCGGTATCTGATCAATAATGTTGAAGTAAATGTACATTTTTAGATTTCCAAGTCACTTTTGTAGCAAAAACACAACTAGAAAATCAACATTTTTCATCTAATTCATACTTGATTCACATCCAATTCATACTTGATCAGACAAAGTTTTCAAGGGTGCCTTGTACATTGGGCTTTGCCATCTGTTCATCGGGAGGACATTGTGTACAGTGGCTGTACAACAAGAAGTCTAAAATTCCAGATGCCCCCTCTATTACTAATATCTCGATGGGTATAACCGTTGTAAAAGCAAGGTTATAATGCAAGGAAAGTTATTTCAGAGGTGTACGCATTTTTTGTACTGCAGTGTACTGACTCTTGGTGGTCATGTAAACACAAGACGGATGTCTAAGCCTGACATGGGATCCATCTTTCACAATAAAAAATCAATGAAATATTCTGGTCATAGAATACTATTATGTGAATTATCAAAATTACCAAAATTTAATGCTTTTAATCTTCTCAGATACTAAACCTTGTTTACAAATTCCGCCCAGAAAGAACTGGTTTCAATATGTGCGCAGAGTATACGCAACTGCAATTAACTTTCCTTGCATTAGAACCTTTTGTAAATCGAACTTGAATCTCTTTAAATTAAGGTTAAATTTAGTAGACAGTCCATTTCATGAAGAGTCAAATATACTTTTCCTTAATATTTATGTGAAATGGAGCCATTTCTGTTTCCCTCTCTATTGGATGTAAACATAGAGAATAGAATATATATTAGAATGGAATTTAGACAATCCATCGGTATGAATTTTGTCAGTCCCTTTCAGCCTTAAAGGCAGTTCAAAGTGTACAAATCATGCAAATGTTCACAAATTATATGCAGTAGAGTACATTAATACAGTCTGTTCCATAGACTATCCATTTCAATTTCGAATTTTTTAAAGCTGTTAAATAAACCTTATGAAATGAATTAGGTGAATAAAAAACATCATTTGATTTATAGTTTTAACGGAAAATCATCGTTTGTAAAGTGAAAGGCATAGAGCCTATGTGAAATGATCATTGGTCAATTATGAAATCAGCCTATTTAATAATTTGGTTTCTTTTAAAATTAATTTTACATTTTCTATAAAATGATGTTTCAGGGCCCAAAAGGTTATATAGCGCAAATATGTAAAGTACACCTGCAGTATGGAAACAGTACAACAAAATGGCCGTTTTACACTTTTCTCTAGTAAATTCCACTCTAATATATATTCTATTCTCTATTGGATGTAAAATAATAGGTCAGTTTGCAAAGGAAAAAAAGAAAAGATATCGTATTTACAAGATTAAAAATAGACAAACCAGCAAATTGACAAATTAAAAGGATAATCCCAAGAATTGACAGTGTGTAATGTTAATTTCAATAATTAAACACTTCCAGGTAAGATTTATTTCAAATTAGAGTAAAAAAGGTCCAAAAACTTTATTTTTGATAAAAAAGTAAGAATATAAAAACTTTTAGAAATGTTATTTGATATAAAATTATCATATACTATATATAGATAATTTGACATCCAGAATTAAACCCACTCAATCTAGAATTGTTTTATCCAATCAAAATTTGAGACAACTAGGTTGAAGGATTCCGGAGTTATGATCTGACATATCAAACATACAAACAGACGGAGATTACTACTTTATATACATACAAGATATAGATATAACTGAAAAGATAAATATGTTATAAAATGGGTAATGATCAATGTCGAGTCGCCTATTTGTGCATAATTTTGCATATTTTTCTTTTTGCTTTTGTAAAACTATAATATTCAAAAACTAATTTAAACTACACCATTTATTTTTGTATTTATATCTTTGTGTGTGAATAAATCTTTATAATAAAATCTTTATAATATAATAATATTGACTTCGCTAGACGACTCAGTAAGCTTCTTTGATCCCTAACTCTATCCTTATATTATCCATAAAGCCAAGCTTGTAGATTAAGACCTGAACAACAGACTAAGTAGAAGATACAAGAATTTAGTGTTGTCAGTCGTTCTGGTCCTTTTTTTAAAAACTTTAAATAAAACTTCCAAAACTTCAAAACTGTATTCGGTTGAATTTAGCTTTCAATAAACTGAAAATGGGAAAACTATCGTTTGAACAATGAACAAGATCATTTTTGAATCGTTTTTCTGTTGTTGCATATATCTTCGCTCAGGGTCCAGGTTGACATGGTGTTATAATAACAAATATATATGATTAACAATTCCAAACGCATTTATCTTTTAACTTAATTTCAAACTTTGACCCTGAGAGAAAACATGAAAAAAGGAACCAAAGCGATTAACAACTAAACAATTTTAAATCTTGTCGTATCTGTGGAATCTATGATCCGAATAATAAATGCTAAATCTTGTCCTATCTTTGAATTCTATAGTTTGAATAATAAATGCTAAATCTTGTCCTATCTGTGGAATCTATTATCTGAATAATAAATGCAAAATCTTGTCCTATATGTAGAATCTATGATCTGAATAATAAATGCTAAATCTTGTCCTATCTGTGGAATCATCTGAATAATAAATGCTAAATCTTGTCCTATCTGTGTAATATATGATCTAAATAATCAATGCTAAGATTTGACAAGAACCTGAATATAAGAATTCTTTAAGTCTAACCTCTCATATTAATACTCACATATATCCAGACTTCTATGAAAAGTTGCACCAATTATTAAGACCATCTCACATATTCTGACATGCACATTTTCGAACGATAAAGCACTGTTTTATGGCTTAAGTTTTTAAAAAGCAATCAGCGAAATTTTTAATTTGTAGCACTGTACTGTACTGTGCTGTACTGTAAACTCTTCTGGATTAATCAAGTGTACTTAGCACATGGTGTCAAATTCGTCACTGAATTCCCATGTTTATTGGGACACCCTGTATTTACCGCTTAACCTTTAAAAAAGTATAAGGGAGACCTGACCTTCCTTTACAAAAGCATAGAAAAATGTATAAAGTGGCTGCAGCTGGGCGTAATATCAAGTAACAAAGTGGCATACTTGATTCACAACAGTACACTTAAAAGCTTTGTCTAATTAACACTACAAGAGATACCTCATGCCATCGTTTCTTTAAATGTTGATTATTCTCAGAAACCATGGAGGAAATTGTCGTTATTTATCACTTATTAAACTGCAAAACCGACAATATTAATCAGATAAAGATTTTTAATGGTACTATTGTGAATAGGGCATGCCTCCCTTTTTTAAGAGAGGCATGAGTGCTTGAAATTACATTTAAATATTAAATTAATTTAAACCACAAACCACGTTAGAGTGATTTGTGTTAATATATGACTGATGAATGATGCTGACCGACATAATTCGTTTTGTTTTTTTGGAAAAGTTTCGTTGCTTAGTTATTTTTACTTTAATTTTGATTTTTTACTCAACGTTTTTTCCGAAGTTTAATAAATTTTTTTTTCCATTTTGCCTAATTCCTCATTTATTAGACTGCTCTTTTTTAGTAAAATTACTTATCCTTATTATTTTTTTTGTTCACTTATCCCTGTCATATATTGTCATTATTTTTTTTCTAAAAAAATTAAGTATTTTTTTCAAACCCTGATCTTGAAATATTAAAGTTTTACACCATCAGGTTGTATAGATATAGGGATTAAAAAATGTTATTTTGTGACTAAGACTCCATTTCTTTGACATTTCTTATTTGTTTTCTGTTCACAGCTAGGAAAACGGAATGACTGCTCGGTCACATCGAATTTCATTACTTCGCATTTTTTCTCTTTTTTTTATTTTGAAAAGAATGGAAAAGTCTGTTTAAGGATTTGATTGTATCTGGCCAAATATTGTAATTCCCAAACTCCTTCACGTTGTTATTTTAACAAACTAAAGATAACATCATTATTTGTGAATTCTGATTTTGTAAATATGTGTCCGTGAAATTCAAAACTCTATTAGACTTTTTTTCTGTCTAAACTAAAAAGTGTTAAGGTAATAGTATTATGAAAATAGCTCCAAAAAAATAAATGTATTCTAAAATTTATAGTTACGATTACCTAAAGTCAAATTCAAATTTTATAATCCTATTTTCTTTGGACTCGATATCTACTGTGGACACTTTTGATTTTCTGCTTAATCATCTCTTTTTGAAATCTCTGCTGGTTTGATTGCGCGGAAAATTTCCCGGCTTCTGATTGGCTGTTCGGTTTATGCAAACGACACTCTGATTGGTTGAATTTTAGAAACTTTCCTGGATATAGAATATAGATTATATTATCTGCAGATAAACAAACATTGATCTCGATAACCACGATAAAAGATTTTCAAGCATTGATCTTGATATCCACGATAAAAGATTTTCAAGCATTGATCTTGATATCCACGATAAAAGATTTTCAAGCCTAATCCTTAATTTGAAGAAAAAATAGAATGTTAAGATTTTTACAATCATAACCTTTGAATAGTTTTGTTTCTTTGTATTTGGATACACTACATAACCAGTGTAAAACTATTCTAATTAAATTACCTAACGACGGATATACAGATTAATTTTATGACCAGTGTAAAAAAATTCTAATATTCTAGGACACCCCTGCATACTTGAAATGAACCGTAGTTTACACTATGACTGAACCACACCAACAATGAATGCTTCAGCTTATCTTGTAATATTGTGGTTTAAAGTAAACATATGTTGATCCCCTGGACCAATAACTGCTCTAAATACACACCTTCACACTGCACAGTGCTCAATACAGAACAAATTCACCTTTTTCAAAATATATCTCGCCGCTCAAATATTTTCTTTATAGAGAGCTAGAATATTCCATAAACCTTCTATCTATCTAAAAAGCGCTAAATGGTCTGAATTTCGTAGATTTTTCTTAATTTTAAGTAGGGATTCCTCAGTAAGCAAATTCTCGCTTAAAACTGTGCAATTTCCCGTACCTCAAAAGCAAATTTACGCGAAGTTTGCTTTCAGCGGAATGTAAAATCCTCGAAATTCACTGTAATACCGCAGTTTTCTGAGAGAATAGTAGACATTAGACATTATCATTGCTTTATTATATTACGAATAAGAAAAAGGAAAAAATTTTAAGTTTTTAGAAAAAATACTCAAAATTATTTCTTAGTCATAACTTTTGAAAAATCCGAATGGCTTATTCAATCAAGCCTTCCAGAATAACAAGCCTTAAATAGAGTAAAGAAACGAAGAGTTGAAATTACATGATCATGGTTTAATTTCTCATGGCCCTGGCCGATAACTTGAATAGTTGGCCGGGAGGCTTTAGAATATGGGGAAAAAAACGTCGGAAATATGTAAAAAAAGAATATAATTGTTGTGTTCGACAAATAATAAGAAGTAACTAAAATTGTTGACTATTTTAGATTTTGTTTAACAACGGAGGATTTTTAAACTTTAATTTAGAAATAACTTTTTTAGCCCCTAACTGTTTAAATTGCTAATGTTCAATTGTAAAATTATTATGTTTTAAAAGAACTGCATGCACTAGTGCTCTGTCCTGCACAGTTCAGCAGTTCAAGCCTCTGTAGCTTGTAGACTGTATACATATACAATAGTTTTCAGTTAAAAAAAAATGACGGACATGCCTAAAACACATGAGATGATTGTTAAACTGTTCTGAAATTTTTTTTCTAAAGTTTGCTTCTTGTTTAACTTAAACGATAAAAAAACAACATATAGTTTTCATCTAAAAGAGTTATCTATTTTATATATATAAAATCAATTTCATAAATCAAAAGTATTTTTGGTAATATCTTATGTTAAAAGTTAAAAATTTAAAATTTAACTAGGATAGATTTTACACTTTTGTTTTGATTTGAAGGAGAAAGTTTTGCAAAAAGAAAGTAGTGTATATAGTATATATGAAGTAGTAGAAAGCATCCTTATAGTTTAAATGTAGAAATATGTTCCTATGCAAACATAATGAAAATACTAGTCTAAGCTAGGCCTTGTGATAATTAAAGGGAGTGTTCGCGAAAAGAAAAATTAAATTTAACAGCTAGGATTTGTTCTCGGCGTTAGAGTTTAAGAAATTGCGTCTTTGACGCACACTTAGATTTTATGATTCCATGTCTCAGCAACCCGAAGTGAAAAAACTTAGATATTTTAAACAATGTGAATTCTTTTATAAAATAGTCTAAGTTTGATTTATCAATTAATTACACAATTAGGATGCAACGATAAAAGGATTAACAAATTTGAGTTTGTGGCAAGGAATCAATTCCTTTATGCGAGAAGAAATGGCAAACTCTAGATAACAACAAAAATTCTAATCTTTTACCTACTTTTTTATAGAAGAAACCAAGTAAAAATGCCCTTCGTAATAGGAGATGAACTTCAAAAGGTAAATTTATTTAAAACTAAAAATAAAAAAGATAAATTATAAAACGAAAGTAACCTTGGAATTCTGCAGATAGAGTTTCAAATCTTCTTTATTTTATTTTTCTAACATTTGCTATTTTACGCAAATAAAAATTTGTGGGATTGAGATTTAGGACGTCCCTAAAAGTCTGATTGGTTAATTGATTGATTGAAATATTCTTTTTTAATGTGAAATGATTATATCACAATGTTAAAGCATGAAAAACAAAACTTAAATGATTTATTTAGAAGTAATAACTATTTACAACTACTTTCAGTTAAGGGAATTTTACCTTACCAAGGGTTCCCATGACCTTTTTTGTCTACAAAACATACAGAGCGCAGCGAGGGATGTTTTTGGACAAAATTGGTCGAGGAAACCCGTGGTTAAGTAAAACTTTTATTTTCGAGAAAAAGTAGTTGTTCACAATTCTATCGTTTTTTGAGATGAACATGCGCGAATTTTTTCCTGAAAACTTCACAGAGCGGGTGGTTATTTTACATAACTGTCCCAAGGGACGTTAACCTCCCTCTGTTGGGGGAGTAATAGGTCGGTAATGTTGTCAAAAGGTGGAAAAGTATATAAACCTAAAAACAGCTTCATACTTGAAAACAGTATTAACAGTCGTCTTCCTATTCTACAGTTTTATGATTCATATTTTTATTCAACTACAAACCATGAGATATTACAAATAAGCAATCACAATTTACTATGCAGTTTGGACCCGCCTAACCAGGGTTGGTTTTATGGTTCTTACTTTATTTACAGGGTGTGCCAGGAAATTGGCAAGGAAAAAGAAGTTTGCTGAAATCTGACAGGAATCAAATACATATATTCATAAATCTTTACATGAATTTGGCTGAAGTCTGTCTGTTTGTTTGTGAGTATCCAATAAACGTTAAAGTGGTTGAACTGATCATGTGCACACTTACATAACCCCAAAGGAAGGTTTATGGCTCGTTGATTTTAAATCCATTAATCATGCAACGCAACTATTATTTTATTATTACGAAGAAAAAAATGGCAACTTGAAAAGGAGCATTTAAATGCTAAAAATGTCACTAGAAGAGGGAAAGCGCTTGGAAAACATATAGTTTGAAAAATGTGACACCAAAAAAAAACGTGAAAAACTATTTGTGAAGAAAAAGGTTTTTAGGATTTTATTTTCCAGAATTTTTTTGTCGCTTCTTTCTCCAAAATAAACATTCTGTTTATTCAAAAAATTATTTTGCGGTATTTTTTATAGATTAAAATCAAAGTTTTTCATCCTGAACAATACAAGGAATTTTACTGAAAACTTAAATGTAAGTTCAAATAAATGGAAAAAATATGTCCCAATTAATAGAAAATACAAATTGACGAACTTGTCATAAAACCTCGCTCACCTCGCTGTATTTGAATTTTGATTGAACATTTATTTTTCAAAACACCTAAATTTGCCACAAACTCAAATTTTCTAATCTTTAAATAATTTCAACCTGATGGTGCTCTTGGCAGTATTTCAAACTTAAAGATTATTTTATCTAATTTAAAAATTTAAGGCCTACGATATTGATTTGAAAAGATGGCTTAAATCAGCTGAAAAAAATATTAAATATTTTTTTTTCTCTGAATTATATATTTCGGTCTAGATATAATTCAGAAGCGGAGAGAAGTCGTGTTTTAAGGTAATACTTAATAATTAAAAATGGAATTATCGCTAATCTGAGAACCTGTAGACGTAATATGAACCTCCATTCATAGAGTGGCATGTCCGATTTACAAGGGTACCCGGCTCTATAAAGTCTTACTCCGATCATGTATGAGTTATCCCAAATTTTCTAGTTGAAAATTAATTATTTTCATTGTGGTTTCTATATTAAAGTTACTTGCAGATTAAGGCTTAATTTTAAGACAAAAAATAATATCAAAATAATTTTCTTAAATATCAAATACCAGACTCATTTTCGAAATTGGTCGATACCGGCCAACTTATTAAAAAACAAGACTAATCTTTTTACAGTTTTGAGTTAAGAATGGCAAAAGAGTAAATTTCTAATCCAATATATTCTAGAATAAATTATAAAATATTTTTTTTCTTCAGGCGATTAAGAGATTTTACTATCAGAATGAGAGATGATGATTATCTACGGTAAAGAACTGGAGGGTGTGGGGGGGGGTGTTATTGATTACAGGGTGCATTTATTGTAAAATATCCGATAGGTACCCACAAAAAGGGGGTAATCAATACACCCAATCTAAAAGTTGCATGATCTGTGCCGGTACGAAACATACTGTATATGCATTTAGTCGTACTGTCCAGTCTTGCTACCCAGTGTAGAGTCGGCCCAGCACGTTTTATACAACAAATGTAGCCTGGCAAGATCACTGTGAATATCCTATTAGTTATCAAATCATGGACCAATAAAAGAGAAAGATAGTTGAACATTTCTAATACTAGTGAAACAAATAAAAGAAACAATTATTATATAAAACAATGAATGAAATAAATTAGCGATGAAGATACTAGATTTACTGCTACTACAGTTTACACAGATTCTGGTTTCCTGTGATCCTCTTATATCCTGGGCTTGAAAGCCATCTAGATCCACAGATTAGAGTATCCTGTGCAGATCTTTGTTGAACCCATAGCTAGCAGCTCATCTGAAGTTTCTGTTCCTGTTCCGTCATAACACCAGTTGGAATTTCTCCATCCTCTCTTGAAGAGGGCCGGTCGGGTCCTCAACTGATGTGTATGCTAGCCAACTCGCAACATTCTGCTATCCTGGCTGCAGTGCAGGGGTCGGTCAACTCAAGGAACAATGGGTCTGGGCAGCTAGTGGGGGGGGGGTCTTCNGTTTACAATATCACTGTAAACTCCGATTCATTTGAAGTATTTTAAGGAAGTTTTTCAGAACACACTACAAATACGTACTAAAAGACGGCTGAAACGGGACAGCACATCAAATGAACCATCTCCTTCTTGTGAGATTATTGTGATATGCTTATAAACTTGGATTTCTGGAGTAAAACAGATTTTATGTGCATATAATTAGACTTCTGTCATTTTAACAAATTGACATGTTCTGTGGGACACCCTGTAGATTGTACACTTTGGCCCATAAAGCTGTTGAACTGCAGGAAGACGACAGACAGATTAAAGTTTTGATTTTAAATTGTGAAATTAACATAAAACACTGTGCAGTGTACACAGTTACACTGGAATAACTATTTTCTCATTACAAATACACATAAGATTGCTACAATGTCGTCTTCCTGTTCTACAGTTTTGTGGGAGACCCTGTTTGTCTTTATTTTGTTTCACTGTATATCTTAAGAATGAGAGTATCTGAGCAGAGAAGGATGGTTGAGGATGAGGAGAGGATGAGGAATGAGTTTAAAAAGCTGGAGATCTCAATGCGCCAACAAAGGAATAGGTAAATGACTTTCACTTTTCTATTCTAAAAAAGAAATAAAGTCTGTCAATTTCCTTCTTGATTCTGCTGCAAAAACACTCAAGTTACTTTTAAAGAGAAAGTGCAACTGAAAATTTTCAATTTTCAAAAAAGAATTCCAGATATCTTTTCTTCAATGAAAGGTTGAAAGGGTACCGTTGTAATTCATAGACATGCATTTTTTATTGGAGTGATACTTTTTATTTAGAGAAAAACTAACTTGGTTTGAAAAAAAAACGTTTTGTTCATTTTCTATTTCTGTATTTTGTTATTCTTGAATGTTGAAAATAATCTTTGAAATTCTAGGGAATGGAGACAAAAAAGAAATGAGAAAAAAGAAGAGAGTTCCTCCTCCTCCCCTTCACATGAAAATCAGTTCTTCAACTTTCCCATTAGTTCCTCTTGTTCCCCTAATGCTCCTAGTGCCCCTTCTCCTCCTCTGCAGTCTAGCTGGTTAATTAAAATAGAGAATATCGAGAATTTAACGTGTTCGGTCCCGGAGTGGAGTCAGCTGATTCAAAATGGCGGAATAAAGTTGATTGATAACAAAACAGAAGAACCAAATCATCAAGTCGCGAAAACTGAAGAAGATTTTAAAGAAGAAGAAGCTCCTGCTAATTCTGAGTTGGAAAAAGACACAAAGAACCTTCAAACAGTTAGCAAGAGAAATGCCATTAAAATAATGCAGGAAAGTTTGCCAAATAAATGTAAAGAAAATTTTCAAACAAATGTAAGCAATAGTGATCAAACCACGTCGCACAATGTCGAAGAAAACTCGCAAAAGGATGAATTGGCAACATCTGAAGAAAATGCGCCAAACGACATTTCAGAGATAAGAGAAGAGAAGGAGAAGAAGCTAAATACATCTCAGAAGAAAGCAATTTCTAAATTTACATCTTCGTTGTTTAAACGGTAATTTATATATATTGTTGGCTACCATAACAGATAAAATATCACGGATATTGAGTTTATTTTTACAAATTGTTGGTTACCATAACAGATAAAATATCACTGATATTGAGTTTATTTTTACAAATTGTTGGTTACCATAACAGATAAAATATCACTGATATTGAGTTTATTTTTTTGCAGCACTATGTCAGGAAAAGAAGCAATTGCGTTTTTTAGACACATATTAGTTTTAACAAACACAAATCACAAAATCCTGGACGACATTCATCACACAATATTCTGGTTCTCATTGTTTTTGATAAATATATGTAGGAGGAAGGAAAAGAAGAGAAAGGAAGAAGAGAAGAAGGAAAGGATAGAAGAAAAAGAAAAGGAAGGAGGGCCCATTCCCGATGTAACACCAAAGGATCAAGCTCCAAAACTAGTTTTTATAAGGTTAGTATCTGTACTGTTACTCACATAGATTCAGTCTGCTTATAAAAAGTCTCATTAATATTTAAGACAGGGTCGACTTTGAAGTGTCGCAACTCCTTGGGGTTTGATTTTAACGCTTTATTTCAATCATGCTTTTCTATAGTGCTTTATGTGTGCATTTTAGCACTATAGAGCACTTGTCGTTAGCTTTGTTTTTAAGAAGTAATTGGCAAAATTCTCATAGATTTTTGCTTGAGAGTGAAACCTTTAAATCACAACGTACTACACACTGAATTTCCGCCAGCCAAAAACATACTTCACCGTTAGTATTTCTTAATTAAAAAGACAGTTAAACTTTCATGTGGGAGGATTTATTTCTAGATGGTTGTTTACATACAGTACATGAAGTACGGTGGTTAAAATTATTATATAAGAAATGACAAGTTCAGTTCTATGAGGCACTAAAGACTAATTAGAACTGAACATTTCCTTTTTTTGTAAACATACTTACAGAAATAAATCATAATGTTTATTTGAAATACACTTGGATGTAATATGTTTCACATGTTAAAATTTGTCAAAACAACCCCCCCCCCATCTATATTAGACAAAAATAGCCCAATTGGCATAGAGTTAAAATATAGTTTACAGTTTTTTTTATTGCTAGGGAAACCCTAAAACCTTGTGAGAAACATATATCTGGTTCACCAGAGCCAAAGTTAGACGCTTTTTCCGCTACTCTGGTTTTTAAAAGGTATTTTATAAAAGATTCAAGAGTTAATTGCAGATTTAATTTAAGATTCGAGATTGAATTGCAGAATTTATTAAAAATTTCAGATTAAATCGCTGATATAAGATTCAAGATTAAACTAAAGATTTAATTATAGATTCAAGATTAAATTGCAGATTTAACTTGAGATTCAAGATCACATTACAGATTTGATTTAAGAATTATAATTAAATTCCAAATTTAATAAAAGATTTCAGATTGAATTGCAGAATTAATTACAGATTTAAACTAAGATTCAAGATTGAATTGCAGAATTAATAAAATATTTAAGATTCAATTGCCGATTTTATTAAATATTCAAAATTAAATTCTAGTTTGAATTGCAGATTTAATCAAATATTCAAGATTAAATTTCCAATTTAATTAAATATTCAAAATTAAATTTCCGATTTAATTAAATATTCAAGATTAAATTCCAGATTTAATTAAAGATTCAAAGTTAAATTCCAGATTTAATTAAAGATTCAAAGTTAAAGATTCAAAGTTCAAGATTCAAGATTAAATTGCAGATTTAATTAAAGATTCAAGATTAAATTGCAGATTTAATTTTTAGATTCCACATTAAATGAAAGATTTAATTAAAGTTTCCAGATCAAACTAAATATTAATTTAATTGCAGATTTAATTAAAGATTCAAGATTAAATTGCTGATTTAATTTAATATTCAACATTAAATGAAAGATCTAATTAAAGTGTCAAGATCAAACTAAAGATTTAATTAAAGATTCAAGATTTAATTGCAGATTTAATTAAAGATTTAAGATTTAATTGCAGATTTAATTAAAGATTTAAGATTTAATTCCAGATTTAATTAAAGATTTAAGATTTAATTCCAGATATAAATTTCAAGATTGAACTGAAGATTCAAAATTACATTGCAATTATTAATATTTCATTTGAGATTATCAAATTTATTAAATCAAAATTTAAACCTTTTTATAAAAACAAATGCACTTTTTATACTTCTTACAAATAAATTTCTTCTTCAATGAAACAAATCATTTATTTTTTAGGAAAGGGTCTGATTGATCCCGATGAGGTAATCGCCATTTATGTGATGCAGCCTTCCATTGTATTTATATCAGTGTATAAAATATATTATTTTACAAAAACAGTTGTAATCTCTGTTTGTTTGAACATAGTTTAAAATAGACACGTCTATATGTTCGCCAAACTCGCCAGACACTTCTTGCACATTGGGAGGAAGTGTAAATAGTGATGTGTCTTCAGTGGTGCGTTTTTTATTTGTATTTTCTTTAGGCTCAAAATTTTGCATAGTATAAGAAAATCAAATATATTTCAAATTGTTATTTATAAAACGATCAAAAACGATCAATAACGATCAAAAACGATAAAAAAATAAAAAACGATTCACAAACGAACAAACGTGTCGTACCGATCGTTTTGCGCTTTTCATTTTTTTGGGTTGAAGATATTGCAAAGTTGATAAAAGCTAACTTAAAAACAGTTTTTTCTAATAACGATTGACACTAGGTGTAAGAGGTGTAAAGGGGTCTTAAAGAGCAATTTCTGAAAAAAAAACAATAGATTTAAAGTGGACAAATACTCTCTTCAAGATTTTTGTTATTGGCTAATAGAATATTGTGTAAAATAAAAATACACTAGCAACCAGTTAAGCAAATGTTTAAAAATAAAAACTTCTACAGAAAACTGTTTTCAAAATTTTAATGTTTACATTATGTTTTACACAAATTAAACACAATTAATGCCCATGTGAAAAATTTCATTATATAGATAAAAAAAATTATGAACCCTAATATGTATTTACATTAATCAAATCGACAGGGCCCCAATTGAATCACCAGAAAAACTTGAAGTTTAGATTGTAACTTTGTCTAGTCAATTTCCTTCTTTGTTTTACTTGCAGAGAATAACATGTCTTATTAAGTACAATTACATGTTTTCCGATTCCGTAACTAAATTATGGGATTATAAAAATCCAGCTAATAAGAGAGTGTAGTGTTGAATGTGCACTAGGATGCACAATGCACATGTACAGAAAACCTCTCTAGTACTAGAATTGGGTTTATATATTGACTTAATTAGTGTTTGGTGACGAAAATGGGAAAATATCATATTTAAAAATTATCTTAACAACATTAAAGACAGAGAGATTCCAAAAATCAAGATAAATACGTGTAATTTTGTGAATAATAAATTTGTGAAAACACGTTTTTAAGTTATAGTTCTTGGCACGGGACAAGAGCGTCTCCCCCCCCCCCCCCCCCTCCACTGTATAAAAGTTATGAATATGAAATTAAAGAGTTAATAACCATTTACCTTTCTCATCCTCAATTTAATATTTTGGTATCTTGAGTATTTCAAAAATATTTGTTTTACTGTTTTATGACCTCAAATTAAAAAATATGTTTTTTACTAAATAAAAACATCAAATTGATTTTCATCAAAGCTTATGCTGAAATGAACTCGGATATGCATGACAGAATATCAGAAAATTGATTTAGAGAAAATCAAATAATTTTCAAGAAAACTTTTCTATAAAATGATGTTCCAGGGCCCAAAAGGTGAAATAGCACGAATGAGTGAAGTACACCTGCAGTATGGAAACAGTACAACTAAAATGGCCGTTTTACACTTTTTTCTAGTAAATTCCACTCTATGTATAATCTATTCTCTTTGCATGCATATTTCGACTAAGATATTACAACTTTATTATTTCTAAATTGAATAAAAAACGACCACGATGATCTTGAAGATGTGAAAAATTATAAGGGTTCCCTTAATAAAAACGAGCAATATACTCTTAATAACAATGATTATCTAGATCCAACAAATATGGGTCCCTATTTTTTTTCGTACTTTGAGCTTAGAAATACATACCAAGGTGAAAACAATTTTGTATCAAACATTAGAAATTTTAGCGGACTAAATGTCCTTAGTTAGTTTAAAGTCTGCCATCAAAATTTGAAGAATTAAAAATATTTCTTGATAGAATCGAAAAATCAGAAGGTAATGTTACTGTATCAGTTTTAGTTTTACAAGAAATATGGAATTTCTACCTTTACCTAACTTATTCTTTATAAAAGATTTCGAACTATTTACACGAAAAACATCAAAAATGGGAAGTGTTGTAATATAATGTAAAAAAAACTTCAAAAATCCAAAATTAAATTTGGCTTAGTTAGAAGATTGCAATAGAAATACAACTTGGAAACGTCTGTTTTGTTTGGATCTTATTACATATCTAACAATGGATCCGATCAAGAGATCCAATGGTTCGTAAAATCAGGGAGATTTTTTTCCTAAATAAGTTTGACACTGTAAAACATGGATTAAACAAAAAATGATGCTAGTTGCAATTTGTATGTTTTTGTTATATTTCATAAATTACTAATTACGTAATTACTTAGAGTACACATTTGGTGTTATCACGCATAACATCATAATAAATCAGAAACAACGATTAAATGCTATGCGCAATACATAGATGGTGCTGTTCATTAACTTTTCACAAGAATTCAAATTTTCTACGTTCCCCTTCATCAATATATATTTAAACTCAATTTAGAAAATATAACTTGACCTTAAAAGTTATGTTTATTTATCACTTTAAGTGTACAATGTACATGGTTACGTGAAACTATATCAAAAAATAAATCAACCTGGCCTAGTTCACAGCGCAAAAAAATCACATATTAGTTAAAGGGAATTAACATCCTTATCTTTCTTTTATTGTAAATATCAAAATAAAAAGTAGATTTTCAGTAGTGATGTTAAAAAATAAACAGTTGTGGAACACAAATACAAACCATTTGAGCGATGTTAAATGGGGGGGGGGGGGATATGAAAATAAATATCACTTTCCAACATTCTAAATTTATCTGCCAGATTTAAGAATGTCCTGAAGGCTGGGTTTAGGGTTCTGGTCCAAGTTGTAAACAACCCTCCTTGATCTTCCATTAGAAATCATCCCACCCCACATCTCATTCTTCTAAATCAACAAACCCGTTAAACAATATTTAAATTTTGTGATTATTCTCACATCTTTGAATCCTGATTCTGGAAACCTTTAATAGTTAACGGTCGACGACATTAGATTAGAAGATGAATTGAAATATAAAGAGAGATATCAGTTTATTTCCTTGAAACAGTTCGAGCAAATTTTAATCATAATTGTATGCAGACCGTTTTGTAAACTATAATCATGGTACTTTTCAGTATACTGATAGGCGGTTTGTCTTTTATTTAAACATCGTTAATGCTTATGCATTAGTAAAAATTTCTCAAAAAAAATGATCAAATCAAATATAAATTTTATCTGGTAAGGAAAACTTTTACAACTTAATTTTGATCATTTTAACTGACGTATCTCATTACGTACCTAATTTAATGAATTTAAGCTATGCTGCTGAACTGCCTACTGCCGGTTCAAATTTGAACCACCGATTAAAATTGAAGAATAAGGGAGGATTTGAATAAGTGATTTAAACTGGAATAGGCAGTAGGCAGTGTAAGCTCATGAAATTCGGTCCCAAACAGATTTCGAATTATTTTTATTATTTTTACCTTTAATGTGTCAAGATCTCCAATGAGTATGAGCGCCTGCTTAGCACGTGTCAAGGCTACGTTGACTCTCTCTTTGTCACTGAGAAATCCAATACTCTCTCCACCTGACCGTATTTTATATTCAAGGGGCTATCAACTTAAAGGGAGTGTTCGCGAAAAATGAAAGGGGGTATAGGCTTACGGCGAAAAATAAGCGCGTTTAAACGCAATTAATCTTACTTCTATCTGTTGTGTCTATAAGGTGAAAATGTTTAAAAACAACTCGTACCGAAGAACTTAGCGTCCATACAAATTCAGAAAACTGCAACATACAACTCGGATGTTAAAAAAATCAAATTAATTCCAAACAAATCATTCAAATATTACAGCCAATTAATCATCGATAATTTTTTGATACATTCGTGTATAGTTGATATTTCAAAATAATTTTAATTTTTTATGATCTGATAGTTACTTTTGAAAAAAAATTTCAAAGGAAATTACAAAATCCATCCTAGAAAACCCCCCTCCTCTCTTCTGCCGGGGAAATATTTTAACTTCTACCTGATCTCACACATGATATAATGATAACATCCCGTTCAGAACCTTGATATCCATCTACTGTATTCACATCTACACCATGTATTCGTCTAGATATAGAATATACATATAATATATACAGAAGGTTAAGAAACTAACCATTGATGAAGAAGGAGAAATAATGTCTGGAAGCGATCATGCAACCTTGATCCTAGAACTGGAGCTCTTGCAACAGGAGAGAACAGGAAACATATTAAAGTTCCGCTCAACACAGATTATCAGGAATTTCGAAATCATCTTGCTAGTTGATTGCAAAGGTACCGTGGGAGGAATTATACATTGAGGAGACACTTAATGCCCTGCAGTGTACCTAAAGCAAATAAGGCTGAGAGGGGTGTCATGCCATGGAATGGAAAAAGTTCTGAACTTGCATCGTTTAATTGATGACCAAGGTGCTCAGGTTTTTGGGGCAATGGGTGGCAAATCTGTTTATAAAACGCATAACAAACAAATTGTAAGCTATTTCAAATGTTTTAGGTGACTAAAGCATGAGAGGGTGTGGTAATGGTAATGGGTACACTTACTAAATATTCCCATATGTTTAAGGTCCAGAAACGTGATAAAAAGAGAGCTAGTACTGAGCTAGGATCAGAAGCATTCATGATATTATCAAGGAAGGTTAAGAAGCAGAGCTCCAAAGTCCAGGCAGTAGAAGATGAAAATGATAACATAATAACTGATAGAATCAAACTAGAGGAAGCAGTACTAGACAGTGTTACTAAAATATTTGAAGGTCAGGGAGCCAAGATTTTTGAGCATAGAGGTGAGCAGCTGATTTCAGCAGTATACATTAAAACCCACTTTGACCAGGAGGAATGGATAAAAAATAAGTTCTCAGCTAATACATTTGAAAAGTGTGTGCACCGGTCACTCAGTCTGAAATAAAGGAGATAGTAGGTAAGCATAAGAATACAAGGGCTTCAAGGATTGATGAGATTCCAACCAGACTCATAAAGAATGCATCCAACCTATACTACAAAAAGCTAACTAATATTGTAAATGACAAGAAACAGCGTAACTGAAAGTGTCTCCAAAACTACCATTGACAGTATCAAGCCAATTTCAGAGTGTCTTAACAAAACTTCTGAATGCACGAATGAGCAAAATTTGCCAGTGAGATAAGAGGAGGGCACACACTGAAACTTGAACAGGATATTACTGGGCACAGAGATCTGCACATACTAAGCATAACTAGAGGAGGATTGGATAGGTCAAGGTGCAGTACGCTTTCTTATATGGCACAGAAGCTATGCCAATCAGTTCTAAAACGGTAGCAGCATTGGAGAAAATACATTATAAAATTATTTGAGGGAACCCATGGGTACCTTGGGGGGTAATACAGGCTAAAAAATCGAATTATTTTCTTTAAAAAAACGATTTTTTCCTCTCTTTTTTTCTTTCAAATTTGATTTTTTTTAAAAAATTGGCTGGATTGAATTAACTGACATGAACCCTGGAAGCAACAAAGGCTTAAAAAAAATTCGATTTTCTTCTTTAAAAATCGATTTTTTTCCTGCAAAATTAGATTTTTTTAAAGCATCTAATATAATTCAAAGATAATAAAGCCTAGGATTAGTTAGTACCTGGTTTGAATCTCTAGCGATATATTTGCCTTCTGCTTGTTGTAGAACGTGATGATACCTGTTGTAAACAAACATCATTAAAGGGAATGAAGAATGGCATGTTCACCCTTATTTTATCCAAAGAAACGCTTGTTGATATCGTTGTGTAAAAACATAAAATAGTATTTAATTTGATTTTTTTTTAATTGGATTGGACGTAGAATCGGGAAATTTGCGACTTGTGAAATTGTGGTTAGTGAATTGGTGCAGCATACATAGAGGAAATTGTCGTAATTGAACAGGACAGCATCTTCCTTAATGTTGCTGAGATGAAGGGTTAAACTTTAGAAGGTAACGTTTGAAATGTCATTCTTCAAATGGATGGGTCACTTGAAATTACGTCTCCAGACACTTTAAATCAAATTATTATGTATTATTACTGCTAAAGGGACACACACAGTTATAACCAAGAAGCAGAGTCATCGCATTTTTTTTAAATTGGAAAAGCCGCAAGTTTTTAAATCTTAGCTATTTTCTACATGTTTCTGTAAGATTTTTCAAAGGAAATTACAAAATCCATCCTAGAAAATAGCTTAAACAGAAATCATTCCACTGTGTATTGGATATCCCTGTATTTAAAAGTGTCCCTTTCAGGGAATAGAAATAAAGGGAAAGGAAACGGAGCTGGTCGAGCATTAGAAAGCCAGTCGCACTGCTTTACAGACGAGTTTGGTATTCCTTACACATACTCTTTTGGTACAGACACACAACATGACTACAGTCAATGAAATTGCAGAACAATGTCGTCTTGAACTTGAATAACGAGTAGTTTATTGTAAACTTTAATCAAATTATATTCTTTCCATGGAAATTTGGCTTTTATAGTGTTGACTTAAATATTCTCCCCATTCATAACATTAAAAAAGGGGAATTCCCCACTATACTAAGCAGTCTTACTCAATGCTTAAAGCGTTAATTATTTTTAAAATTGCCCAAAAAGAACAAAAAAAATTTGTTACTTCACTCTTTATCAATAATATCTATTTTAAACACAGGCCGAAAGTAGAAAAAATAACAAAAATAAATGTAAAGATGGCAATAACAATAACCCAGCGATTTGTGAATACAAATAAATGAAGCAAAATATTAACAAAAACTGCAAATATTTTTAAGATGTTCATTGTTCAAATACCAAATTACTGGTACAACTTTGGACCATGCAACTCATAAGTACAGTGAAACCCTTAATAACGAATACATCGAAAGAATTTATTTAATGTCGTCTTGACAATTTTTCAATAAGTTTTATACTATATTACGTAAATTTCAGTATTTGCGAAAATAAATAAATAGCGCCACCCCATTCACACAACCTATATCTAAGTTCCGTTCATGGCTGCACTATCTCTCCTGATCTCCTCTGGAATTCTCCAGGATGGCACTGCTATATGTCTGATACTTTGTGATCTTTATTATGTCCTTGTCTATCTTTCTCTACCATGTCATATCTCTAGCAGTGTCCTTTTTCCAGATACTGATGTACCGAAGACCTTAAGACCTTTCCGTGTTTACTTCGTATACAAGTCTGAACCTCGTCTCTTCTCGTTCCTCTCGAAACCCAAGAGGACTGATCCGGAAGCGCACCTGTTCCTGTTGCTTGTGCGGTACCAGGTGGTCCCTCTCCTTGCTAATCTCCCTGCTCCTCACCTAGACGAGACCACGCGCAAAAACGCGCTCGGACTGAACTAGGAGGACTTACTCTAGCTGAGCAGATACCCAAGGTGTGTATTCTTCCGTAGCAATGAATATGCGGGAACAGTTTTAAAGAGTTCCATGTAATCATTTAATTAAAAAAACTAAATATCTGCAACATTCCATTATCAGAAAGTGAAGAATACGACATTTAATAAATTCTTTCGATGTTTTCGTTTTAAGGGTTTCACTGTATATTTTTGGGTTCATATAAGAAATTAAAACTTTTATGATCTTCTCAATAGCTCTTAAAAAAGATAAGCTCCTTAGTGGAAACGTGCAAGATTTTGGTCTAAATGAAAGTTATCTAATTTAGCGTGATCTACTAAGGAGGGGGTGCAGGGCCGCCATGAGCCCAGCAAAGTGGTCTCCAAGCCTCTGAATTCTCAGATGAGTATTTAAAATGACCTGGCGCTAGCCCTTTCCTTTAGATTAGATATTATAGATTTTTCCGAAAAAATATTTATGCAATTTTTTTTTTGGATATTTAAAAAAACACTGCATAACTAAACTATTTTTCGTAAAACAATATTATTTATTACTTCCATAATATATATCCTAACGTTTAGGGGTAGCGCCAGGTAATTTTAAATACTCATATGCGAATACGGAGACTTCGAGAAAAATTTTCGGGGCTCAAGGCGGCCATGCAACCCCTCCCTCGGTCTACCTACCAATAGATACAGGATTAGCTCTGGTAAGTTGCTGCACAGTTTCAGCAACTTCAACAGCAAGCTGGCATTCTCCTGCATTACTCAGAGAACCCTGAATGTTTAAATTAGAATATTCAAAACATATTAAAATTAAAATAAAAAAACATATGTTTAGATCATTACAATAACTTGTTTGGAATATCATGACAGACACAATCTCAAGAACTGACGAGGATCAACCCAGACCGAAATATTTGTCAATAAAATGTGGAACTAACCATCTAGATACTTTACTTACTCTACAGAGGTTTGGTTCATCATCATCACCGAGCTTAAAATAGTATCAAAGTTCCGCGAAATAATAAATAAAAAAGCTGCTCTCAAATTTTTTTTATTGAATATAGGTTATATTTAAAAGGACTATAAATAAGCGGTATTTCAAATGACCCTCCATTCAAAGAAAACAATCCCCGATTCACAATGGTACCTTTGAAACCTTAACCTTCTTAAAAATATGGAAGATAACGTCGTTTTTCTTTATTATTTTTGTATAAGCAAGAAATAAAATTTAACAATCTATAAACAAAAACATGGATACTGGAGAGCTAATTCATACTTAATCAGACAAAGCTTTCAAGGGTATCGTTGTAAATCAGGAGGATCTCTTGAAATTACGCTTACAGTTTTGTAATTACCCTTTCTGAAGTTTCTGGATATGCATAGTTGAGAATTGTATAGGGAGCTAGCACTGAATCTCGACCCTGACATCCTGAACAAAATACATTTTAGATATTTCTATAACTACACAGCTTTTCTGAGTGGATTCTCCTAATATGCTACAGCTGAAACGAGAAAAGGCGAAGATGTGTTCCGTCCATTTGTCCTTGTTTTATGAGATCAAATAAAATTGAAATGAATTTGAATATAAGAACGTGTTTAGGAATATGTCCAACGGGTGCATTACATGTCAAGTTCTACGGTTTAAATACTTTTTATATATATAAAGTTGTAATCTCTGAACAGGGGCGTAGTTGAGAATTTGTCCAGGGAGGCTTATTTTTTTTTCTTTCTAGAAGGGGTGGCTCAACACCCGTCAGGGTTCAGAAACCAATAGAAATCCATGGATTTCACTGATCCAAAGGGAGGGGCTGAGCCCCCATATCCACCCTAAATACGCCTCTGTCTCTTGAATCTTGGTTTTGAGATTAAATTAAGTGCGTCGACTTTTATTGAGAAAAAAGAGAACATCGTCAAGTTAAACAAGCGCGGGAAAACGGCAAGAATACTATGAGTAAACTGGGCAACACTGGGCTCCTTTGCTAGTACTATAATAATAATAAAAGGTACTTTCTGAACCAACCCAGAGGAAACGGGATTCCAACCTTAAGTTTTAGAGATCGGTGTTTATTTCTACTTCAATAGTGGTTTCTAATATATTAATCAAATCCAACCTGTCCTTAGCTCTCCACCGTAGAAATATCGATTGGGCAAGAAAAACTGAAAATGTGCGAATTCCCTTTATAGGCGTCTGTGCAAAAATCTGCTTTTGTTATAGGCTTTCCAAGAGCTATAAAATGTTGAAATCCAATGAAATGAAGTAGGTCTAAATATAGATTTAGTTTGGTATAGGTAAAATAAGGCATTTAGGCAGCATGCCTGAGGACTCAGGCAGTTGTATAAATTAGCCCAGCTTTTAGCCTTAACAAGTTAACATGATGTAAATTAGAAAAGCCGAAAATTTGAGCTTCCTTGCTTAAATTCTTTTTGAGTTGTCGCAAAAGAAGGATATTTCCGTCGTCAATAAGACGACAAGTTGTAAAGGGTGTATGCGTGACATGCCTGTTTTTGACTTAAAATGACATCAACATAAATAAAGTGCTGATCCTTGTTTTTTAAGATTAAAAAGCAGATTTCCCTGTATTGAGTATTGAGCTTGAGAAGTGGTCCTGGGCTTATACCGTCATTGTCTTGTCTACCCCCGCCAGTACTGTACAGTTTTACTAATCTAAACAGTAAACATATTTATTTACATTTCTGCAGTACACCTTATTATAGGAAAAGTTCGTGAAAAATTAACCCAAATTAAATTCAAACTGGATTAGATTTGTGTAATCCTATACGGTGATTCTAAGAAATTTGCCGGAAAATGACCGGGAAAATTTTTAGTTAGGTTTTTTAGAAAATTAGAGAACAAATTACAAATTTAAATTTAAGTACAAAGAATTCTATTGCGAACTTTTTAATTTAGGAGGTAAATAAACAACAATAAATAGTAAATAATTATTTTACAAGTCCGGACACCGGCCCTATCCTGCATAGAAAAATTCTCATCTTTGTTTCTAAAATTTTTTTTTGTTTCGATAAACTTAGTTTCCATCGGTACTAATACGTAACAGTAAAATACATACACAAACCCTACCCCTCTCATCTTATTAATACTCACATTGGAGTGTACCATGTTTATACAACAATATTATTTGAATAAACACCGTTCTTTCTTTATTTCTTGATTTTTGATTAATCAAAACAACAAACCATGAATGGTGAAATTGTGAATGCTTAAGTGTCTAAATGTCTCATGCTGAAGTGTTAAAAAGGGACTGTGGACGTAATATCAAGTGCTCCTGAATTTAAAAAGAGTCGCTTACCCGATTCACGTTTAAACAGTTATTAAACCAAAATAGAGAAAGCTTTTGTCATTTTCAAATCCGGAAAAATATGTAATTCTGACATGCTCTACATTAATTTGCGGGTCACTTGAAATATGAAATAATGTGAACCTGTCAAAAAGTGATTGATTGAAACCACATTTCTTGGCTTTCAGACTGGTGACTGTGGGAGGGAGTTGTTCATGATCACCAACCAGGATCAACTTTGTGAACTTCATTTTCAGGGGCATCAAGGACTAAAAAAACGTCAACGTCAACAATGTCCACAACGTCAACAACGTCAACATCATCAACATTATCAACATCAACATCAAAATGAAACATCAACATCAACATCAACATCAACATCAACATCATCATCAGCATAAACAACAGCATCAGCATCAGCATCAGCATCAGCATCCACAGCAGCATCAGCATCAGCATCAGCATCAGCATCAGCATCAGCATCAGCATCAGCATCCACAGCAGCATCAGCATCAGCTTCAGCATCATTAACATCTACATCAACAGTAAACAGCATTACCATAATCAACATAAAAATTCCTTAAATGTAGATATGATTTGTAACTTTATTCTACAAGACAAGCAAATTGATTTAAAACTCACCTCTGGTTCTACACATTGACTTGAAATTGATTTAAAACTCACCTCTGGTTCTACACATTGACTTGCTTCGTCCATAATACAAACTGAGATTTTTCTCATGCATTCCATGTCACGTTTAGATCCAGTACCTGGAGTAAACAGTGATTTATCAGGAACCGGATTTGATGATTAGCATAGTTGAACTTTGTGGATGTAGTTTAACCACTTCTCTTGTTGGCTGGTCTAAGTTTTGGAAAAGTGACTTAACTTAGTCTACATATTTCAATATTTCTTGCATTCATCAAATCTGGTCCAAACCATCTTAAGCTTTTTAAAATAAAGTCATCATTCCGAGAACAAATTCATCAAATCTGGTCCAAACCGTCTTAAGCTTTTAAAATAAAGTCATCATTCCGAGAACAAATTCATCAAATCTGGTCCAAACCATCTTAAGCTTTTAAAATAAAGTCATCATTCCGAGAACAAATTCATCAAATCTGGTCCAAACCATCTTAAGCTTTTAAAATAAAGTCATCATTCCGAGAACAAATTCATCAAATCTGGTCCAAACCGTCTTAAGCTTTTAAAATAAAGTCATCATTCCGAGAACAAATTGTTGAAAGTTAAAAATTATAATTTGTATGACCAAAAGTGTTTTTTTTTTGATTGGTTACAGTGGCTCGCTACACCAATTGGGCCCAATTTTTTCTTCTGTGTTACCCCTCAGGAACTTAAAGGCAAGTTGAAATTAAACAAAATAGGCTTTTAGCGCCCATCTTCTATTCCAACTTTTAATTGTGGCTCTATCTCTGAGCATATTCTCTTTGTACAATATAAAACAAAAACAAAAAAAGTTCGCAAATTCAATAATTTTTCAAGATTTTAAGCATCTTCCCCGGGGTCATGTGAGGTCCCACAAAAAAATTGGGCCTGATAGGTTCAGCAGTTTGGACGTTTATCGGTTACACACAAACAGACAGACAAGCAAAGTATATAAGTAGATTGGCTACAGAAATTTCGATTTTCAATTTAATCTGAAATCCACCTGTAAAATAAAAAAAAAATCCGCTAAATTTATCATAAACAAATGAAAGATGCAGAAAGTATACAAGAAGCCTAATTTTCAACATAATTTGTTATCATAATCAATTGTTTTGTTACCTCTGATAAAGTAGTTATCCATAACTTGATTTAGAGATGAGGAAAGGGTTGTTAGAATGATATCAACATTCTTCATCAATCTACAAATATTTTATATAACCATAATTCATTTCATTCTACTCATTCAGCCATTTTTATTATTTCTATAAATTCCATTGCCTTTTTCCATTCCCCCCCATACTCATCGGATGCCATCACTTTTTCATTCCCATTTTCATTCCCATTTTAACATTACATGCAATGTCAGAATTTATTCCAAATAGACAAAAGATGATACTTTTCTTGAAATAAAAAAATCGCTTTGAATGCCACACATCAAATCAAATCAGAGTTTTAGGACGTCCTAATCCCACACGCCAACATAGAAGTGATTATATACAAAATCAATAATGATACGCCAACATAGAAGTGATTATATACAAAATCAATAATGATGTGAGGTCTTACGATTATTGGATCTTTTTTACTAACAAGGATGCGTTCTTAAGTTGTATGTTGGGTTTAATAATTTTTGTTAAGCTTGAAAATTCTTTAGGTTTATTACACCACCCCCACCCACCACCAACCCATGAACTTTTTTTCAAATCTATCCCATCTGAAGACAAACAAAAACCCGACCTATGAATAGCATCTTCTCTGATCTGATTTCTCTGTTTGTGTTCCAGAGGTTTGTTTAAAGATACTTTTATCTTCTCTTTTTCCTTCATTACATCCTGAAATATAAACATAGTTTGTTAGTCTTTTTGGATGCACGAACACCTTGACCGATTGGCCTAAAATTTTGAATGGGAAACTCGGGAGAACCATGGGAATTGTTAACTTTTATAGAGAAAAATAGCCAGAATAATAATTTTAGACCAAGCGCGGGAAAACGGCGGGAGAAACTAGTTCCCAAGCTAGTATTGAATCCTTGACTTACCCTCCAGTCTCTCTCTAGTTTCACTAGCTGCGTATCCTTGACTTACCCTCCAGTCCCTCTCTAGGTTTGCTAGCTGTGTATCCTTAACTTACAATCCAGTCTCTCTGTAGTTTCGCTAGTTGTGCATCCTTAACTTACCCTCTAGTCCTTCTCTAGTTTAGCTAGCTGTGTATCCTTAACTTACCCTCCAATCCCTCTCTAGTTTCGCCGCTAGGTCCAGGTTTCCCTGATCTTTAGCTAGCTGTGAATCCTTGTAGAGACCATTAGCTCGTGTCTGTTTACTCGTCAAATCACTTTCCAAAGAGCTTGAACACTTCACCTTTCTAAATAAAATATTTCTTTTTCAAACCTGAAGAGTTCTAGGTCGTCATTAGAGTCTTCTTTCCTGGGAACTTCACTCCTCATATTTTCTTTCAAAATATCTGCTGAAGCATATTCATGATAGCTAATTTCAACAAATATTTCAATATCATGACAAAATCTATCTGCATAATATCTAACCTTGTATCGGCAGTTACCATCATATCCAGGAGGTTATCAAAGCTGTGCGCCTTTATATTCGGGTTCATCGACTTGACTACCCCCATCCTAAATACAGTTTTATTCGTTAGGATTACTAAGCTGATTTGAGTTAGGATCTAGATATTATGGTCCATTGACTTAATTACCCCGTCCTAAATATAGGTTAGGATTAGGTTGCTGGTTAGTTAGGACCTAGATATTTTGGTCCATTGACTTTATTACCCCATCCTAAATATAGGTTAGGATTAGGTTTCTTAAAAAAGAAAATCAATGTATAAAGTATTAGGAAACCTAATGTAATCATGTAAACTATAATTGTTATACTGTGCCACACCTTAACCGTTTTTTTAAATCTCCGGAAACTTTTTATAGTTGAGTTTTATTCCAGAACTTTTTATTATCGAATGATGTGACCTCCACAAATAGAAAATATTTCAACTATGGCTTTATGCATACCAAACGAAAGCTAGGAACCCAGGGAATACAGTAGCAGCAACAAATCCAGTGTTTGACCTTCTAATGACCTCTTACGACCTCTAATGACCTAAATGACCTCCAAAAATGAAAATGTTTAACTATGGCTTTATGCATATCAATTAAAAGCTAGGAAACCCAGGAATACAGTAGCAGCAACGAATCCAGTGTTTGACCTTCTAAGGCCTCTAACGACCTCTAATGACCTAAAATGACATGGTTGAAATATTTTCTATTGGTGGAGGTCATTAGAGGTCATTAAAATTCAATTTTATTTTATTTTAGAAATTTCTATCACTAATTAGGCGTGCAGCCAAAAAATTGAAGAACATGCCATCTCCACCATCCCCTTTATATATTTAAAAAGTCCTTGAAACATGGTTGTAATAATAACATGTGTCGTATGTTTATATTTGTCAAAAGTTAAAATAACTATTTTTAAACATTTTTTCGACGTACTTTTTGAACTTTTTAAAAATCCTTCCTTGCACCTCAACCATTTAAGATAAACGTCATATTTTTCAGACAAAAATAGCCCAATCGGGTTAGGGTTTACATTGTCTGACAAACCTGATAAAGGTGAACTGCTTGGATTCTGGTAAACTTTCTTTAACATCCTTCAGTTTCAGCGCTAATTCATCCACAGCGGCATTCGAGGGTGCGCAGACAAGAATACGCGGCACGCTCGCACGGTCATTCTTGGAACTCTCCCCCACCACGCTACTGCAAAGAAAAACTTTTCCCCCTGATTATTGGTTAGAGACTCATTTTAAAACATAATTACTAAAAAAGAGAGAGAGAAAGCTATAAAAACAAAACCTAGTCCAATGACATAAAAGGAATTGAAAACTTGCTACACACTCAAATTTCTTCTCAATTATTTGTCGTGCAAAGGATAAATGAGGGATTCTTATTTTTCTAGCTGAAAATAGAATATTTTCTGTTGTTGATTCTTGTTTTTAAGTGACATGACAAAGATATTTCCCCCATTAATGCTTAGATAGAGGAGAGAGGCACTGATGTGAATCGGACATGTTATATATTACTCCTTTAAAGCTTACCCAAGTCTGGAGGTGATTAACTGAAGAATAATTCCAACAATAGTTGAGGATTTGCCTGTTCCAGGAGGCCCTAAACCAAACATAAAATTACAAATATAAAAGGTCCTTTTTTAATGATTAAATTTTACTTTTTTCAAACCTGGGATGACGACAAATAAATCATTGAAAAATATCTTCTTCATCCATAGTGATAGAAAGTTTAAAATGTATAATGTTTATTTCTGCAATATCTGATTTGTTGAAAATAAAAACAATTGAAAAATCAAGTTTTATTCTTAAATTTTCCCACATTAGCTTAAAAAATGAGTTTAGAATATATGGTTAAAAAAATATTGTCAAAAACCCAGAAGAAGCAGAAAAAAAGTCCTGAAGCGAAATTTTGTGTTAACTTTAGACCTGTGAACATGCACTTGATTTCTACAATTTCTCAAAAAATGATATGCTCAAAATTCCCTTGCTGGCTTTTGATGAAAATTGAGATTGGAACTCAGTAGACTGCATATAAATATATTACAAAGAAAAAGTTTAAGTCAATTGACTTGAAACCTGATGGTCCATTTTCAGCAGTGCGTATGTTCTGTGATTCAATCTTTATAAAATTTTAGAATTTGATAGAAAAAATTTATATGCACATTTTTGCTTTTCTGAACTTTAGATTTTAAGAGAAAAAAGGTTCGCGAATTTTTTTGAGCCATTGGAGTACCAAAAAAATAAAAAAAATTTGCAAAACATTAAAAAAAGACACTATGCAGGAGAGTTGCACAGAAAAGGTACAATTTTGCACCAGGCGCCACTAATCCCACTTCTTTTTGACTCACCCTGTATGTCTGACAATTCTAGAGAATTCATGAATATAAAACTGGGTTTGATTTTATTTCCATTTTATTCCATAGAACTGGACATATATTAAATCAATGGCGAATGTGGGAACAAAACCAATCTTAATTAGCTTGTAGTTTGATTGATATTTCGTCTATGGCTTTACGTTTCAGTTGGATCAAAGGGACTGTTCACTAGATTCTAGTGTTGTGATCTGAACAGTCAAAGATAATCCTTACTTTGTCTTTCAGACGTAACAGAAGTAACATTGATACTAATCACATTATTATTATAGGTTGGATCTAGAGAGCTGAAGATGTCTGATCCTTTGGACGGGATTCCAAGAATCCTTTGCTAAGATCATCGAGATGATATCTAGCTTGATAGAGGAGATAGAGGTCATCATCCAATGTATCCAGAATGCTGTTCACATGTTGGAGTAAATCAGCTCGGAGCCCATCTCTCTGGACTATGGTATTCCTAAGGAGTATCCGGTCCAAGTTCAGGATCCTTGTCAGGTCACATACAGAATCTATACTTTGGCAGGGACGAGAACTGGTCCTCGGAGCTGAGGTTGGTCTTGTCCGTCTCTACAGATGTTTCAGCCTTGTCCAAGTCCGGACATGGGGATTCACATCCCTTGTACTCAGGGACAAGCTATTGTAGATCTCCTCCATCCAGATATCGTACAGCAGGATCAGTAGGCAGAGGAGGATCAATACTATGCAGGGTAGCAGCAGGAGCACTAGAGTCTCGGGTCGTAGGCTCCTCATGTATCTCCGACATTGAGATAGACGGCTCCTCAAAGTAGGCGGGGGAGAGGAGGGTGCAGGGATTGATGGGATCAAGATGGAGTGAGCTGGGTTGGTTGATGGAGTTACAGCTCGGATAGAAGATAGCGGCATCAGGATTCATCGGGTAGTACACTACAGGGAACCTCTCGAGGTGTGAACCTTCTGAAGATCTTCGTAGTACTGCTGTAGAGGGGTCCGAGAAGTGCGGGCATCTAGTCTCCGGCAGCATCATCAAGCCAGGGGGAAGTCAACTCAACACCTCTTCTCAATGTTCAGGTTGTCTAAGTGGAATGTCTTGGATTAGGTGGTTCCTGAATTCGCTCAAGAGGAGAGAAATAACCTGATTGCGGTTTTCCATGTCACACCTTTCCTCCTGGTTCTGATAGTTCCTATTATTTATTATTAGTTTCCACGTTAGGTGTATAAGTACCATGATACTAGCATAATTTCCATATGTGATTAAGGCAGTCCTTATTTGTTCTTTCCAATCAAATATTTTCAGAGCATTTTGTGTAAGGCTATCTATATTGAATATACCTGGCCGGTTGGTCTGTAGGACCCACATGATCCTAAAGAGGAGCAGTATTGTGAAGTCATTTAATAACTTAGGGCTCTCATACTCCTTTGTGCTAGAAATAATTTATTATATGCTCTGATTTCCTTCCTGGAGAGGCTGTCTGTTTCTTCAACATGATCTAGTGTGTCTACATGGTAACCAAGTTGCTCTGGTTTAGACAGTTGAACCTGTACTAGCTGTATTTTCGGAGTGGCCTGAACCAATTGTCCTGTTATGGATTGAAAGATTGGTGGAAACAATTCTGCGCAATCTACTTGATCCATGATAGGATTCGTAGTGATTAGCCTAGATGTGTCTATGTATGCAGGTTCTTCAACAAGGTAAACAGGAAGGTAGTCACGGTTGAATTCTTGGTTTCCTTTGTAACCTGTGGTCGCCGTTACTAAAACCTCTTTGCATCTTAATTCTTGGATTATGTCACCTCTAATTCTAATCAAGGCGTCAGGGTGTATGGGACTTCATTCCATGTGCACAATATTTTCTGTCCCTAGTGCACAGAGATGTTGCTGAATCTTTGTGTTTTGAGATTGTAGCAGGGATTCGATCCTGTAGTTGATGTATTCTTCTGATATTCGTATTTCTAAGTCTATGTCTACTCCTTCTGGGTGTAGAACTAATTTATCTAATAATTCTGGCTGGTTTTCTATTGGTTTAATTAATTTTAACCTGGGGTAGTTGGAGGAGTACGGCTATTCAGCATTCCTTGTTTTCTTCCTTGCCGTTTCCATTCAAATGTTGGATAGATTTAAAATCCAGGATCTTAGTCCTAAGCAATTCATTCTGCAAGCCTCTAATGCTTTCTTCTATAACATCTTTGAATATGCGCGTTTTTCCGTCAGGGAAGGATCGGATAAAAAATTAAACTTGTCACGCAGGTACAAGTCGTAGATCTCAGAAGCTTTCTGAGATCTTTCCTTGTACTGTGTGTAGATCAAGTCTGTTGCAGATGCAGGTTCTAACCTTTCATGCACTGCTTTAACATAATCGCTCTTGCTCATTGTAAGATAGGGTTGAAGGCTGGGTTCCATTTCAGATACCATGTAGGAGCATGGAACTCGAAAAGATTGGTACAAAGTGTTCTTAAAACAAATATCGCTAACTTTTAGTGTTCTTGCGAAGCCACCTATCTTTAAAATATAATCATCAAAATTCTCTCTACTGTCATATTGCCAATTGTTTTTCATGAAGCAGATTTCCTCATTGATGGGAGAGTTGGTTGAGCCATTAGCAGCTTCATCCAGGATACTATATTTCCCTTCTTTTGAAGCTAAATCGATTGGATCGGGGTTTATAGCCCTGTCAAATCCAAGTTGGGAAGGAGGGGGGGGGAGGGGGCATAGAGACCCCTAATAGAGGACGTCTGTCTTCTCTTATACTAAGTCTATAATTGGGATGACCATTCCCTGCTGCATAATGTGCTACCGTTTCAGTAACGAGCGTGGTCAAAACATCAGATTGAGTAGGGCGCTTAGTCGCGGTATTAGCAGAGGCTAGGGTTGTAACAACCACATTCCTCGAGGTGGTCCGGGGGGGGGGCGTTCCTCCCGAGTTCTCACCTCCTGCAGCACCCTGTTGGTTAGGGTCAGTCATCTTTTAAATTTACCAACTCTATAATTCGAATTAAGGCTAGTTTTCTAAATTTGAATTAATTATCTGCAAATATAAAATAGATAAAATTTTCCACCCCTTAATTGAATTAATTATCTTCAATTTAAGGTTAGGTTAGCACTTTGTGACCAAATATTTAGTCAATTTTTTTTAAACGATTGTTCCTGTGAAGGCAGAACGGTTGATTGATTGTTCTGATTTATAGTGATAGTTCAAAAAATAAAAAAAATAATTATTTATTGTAGGCAAATAAAGTATAAGTGTATATAAAGGAGGGAGTGAGGAGGGGGGGGGGGGTTTATAAACTATCTATTACTTCTATATGACATCCTTGCTTGGTTGAACTGTCTTATTGAAGGGTTTGATTTTGACTGATTCATTTTCAAACATTTCGTTATGTCGATAATTTGGACGCGGTAAAATATATCTCCCGCTGAGTTGTTTTGTTGCAAATGCTGAAAGTTTGGATGCCGCAACATGTGCAACATTTATACATTGGAATGTATGAGAATTAAGACGAGTGAGTCAACTTTCTAGCATACAGGGGGGGGGGGTTAATTTAATAAAACTCATGAGAATGTTAGTTAATTTGGCTTGCTCATCTCATGCATTCTTTAAATTGGTATTTTCTTTCATAATGCAATTCAGCACATGGGGTTAAGTGAGTCATTTCATAATGAGTTAGATCAAGCAGATTTTGTAAAATATATTAATATTGAATTGCTTCTATTAAGTTTCAGGAATTTTATATTTCTACAATATCAATTTTTCTTTATTTATTTTCGGAACTTTTTATAAATATTTACTACGTTAGCCGTCTTTGTGCTTTGTACGTCGTAATATTCAGGACTTTTATAAATCTTTATAAATATTCACTAGGTAAGCCATCTTTGTGCTTTTTACATTGTAATATTTAAAATATTCAAAGTCTTGGCTGCTTTTATGCCATAATATTTAAAACGTTTTTTTTGTCTATACTTATCCCCGAACGTTTTTAATGTTTAAAATTATTTTGATATTTTGTTCTAAATAAGGTTCTACTTTTAATTTTCCTAATTGAGCGTAGGTGAATCAGAGTTCAATAATGTAAACCAGATATTTACAAAACTTATTGTATCTGATTAATCAACGACTGCGCCACATGTTGTGATCTGAACAGTCAAAGATAATCCTTACTTTGTCTTTCAGACGTAAATAAGTTATGGTTAAATAATTAATAAGTAGAGTTTATACAATTGGGACAGTGAGTTTACCTTGAATAAGATGAACTTTTGGTTCTTCCGGATTCTCGAGACAAGATCTAGATACGCTGACAACTATTCTTCTCTGCATCTCATTCAAGATCTTAAACTGAGATATATCTTTGATATTCACATGCAAAGCATCATTCCCGGGCCTAAAACAGATAAACTTTACAAACATTTTGGAGTAATATCTTTGAATAAATAATGTTAAGAAAATACAAAATGTATTTTGGAAAAAAACATTTTTAAAATAATGTTAAGAAAATACTAAATGTATTTTGGCAAAAGCATCTTTGAAATAATGTTAAGAAAATAAAAATATGTATTTTTGAAAGAGCATCTTCAAACTAATGCTTAACAGAAATAAAATTATGTATTTTGGAAAGAACATATTCAAAACAATAATGTTAAAAAAAATAGAAATATACATTTTGGAAAGAACATATTCAAAACAATAATGTTAAAAAAATAGAAATATGTATTTTGGAAAGAACATATGCAAAACAATAATGTTAAAAAAATAGAAATATGTATTTTGGAAAGAACATATTCAAAACAATAATGCTAAAAAATAGAAATATGTATTTTGGAAAGATTATTCTTATTAAAGTTTGCAAAATTCAAACTATGTTTACTAGCAAGAGTATTTTTTAAATGAAATACTAAAAATCCTTTACACATAAATGAACATTAGTTATGCAGTTTGGCCAAGAGAAAACGAGAAGTTTTTGGTCCTGAGGGATGATTTTAAAGTTTTGTATCTTATAAATTCATAGTTTTTATCGAATTACGCTTTTTTGTTGTCTTTAGAATAGAATAAGGTCTAGGATTTTAACTTAATTAAATATTTACTTTATTAGTTCTAAGACAGCTGATCAAAATCTAATTAAAATCCTAAGAGCCCCATAAAAATGTAGAATAGGAAGACGACTTTTAGACACAAATAATAAATACGGAACAAAGCATTACGGTACAATGTACACAGAACACTTTTGATTTTCTAGTTCCACGTAAAAACTATTTGATTTACAAGAACAACATCCAATACGATTGCTTAAATGTCGTTTTCCTATTCCAGAGTTTTAACAGTTCTCACTGTATGCTAACCTGACAGAAAGATGATTAAGCTGCGGATTAACAATACAATGTTTTAGTTTAGAATTGGGTAATTCCAGCAGGGCTTGAACCTTCCGCAGCTCAGGCTTTATCCGAGCCAGGAACTAAATATATTCAATAAAAGGGGAATGCTTGATTTAAAATGATACCTTTAAACCTTTATCTAATCAATTATGTGGAAAAATATCGTTGTTTTTCTAACTTAAAAACCTGACAATTACGGACCCATTCTTTCCGTAACAGAAACCACAATTGAAAATAATCCCCTCTTGTTTATCCGTTGTGAATTGAACTTTAGTTATAGGGTCAATAGAATTTAATTATTTAGTCCTTTTAAGTCAAAAGTGAAGGGAGAAATTAGCTCTGTAAAAACGTAAATCCCGAATAAAATCTAGAAATTACAGGAAGTGTTCGACTTAATAATCTATTACTTGATCGGCATGATTTTCAATTTTTATTTCTAGTTGATATTTCGGTGATTAAAGTTGACTGTATTGATTTCTTTACCCCTCAACTTAAAATCTCAAAATCAAGCTAAGAACATTCCGGTGGGTCTCCCGAATTCCCCAATCAAAATTTGAGGCAAATCGGTCCAAGGGGTTGAGTTACAATCGGAAAAACAATCAGACAGACAGATGGACACCAAGACAAACAAACAGATGTCACAACATTATAGATATGGAGCAATGTATGGTGGAACATATTGAGGAACTGTGTAATATTTTTAAAACCATTGTTAAGAAATAAAATAGTATAGAGCAATAAATGCGCCCTATAGTTAAGTTTATTGCGATGATTTCGATAAAAGTTTTCAGCTCACCTTAACTATGATTGGCTTGTCAATGCACAGTTTAGTTTTATCTGCTGGATTATCCGCTGCAAGCTTAGCTTTTATTCTGTATGTGGTCCAATACCTCAACAAAATTATTAATTAAAATATGCTCTGAAAGGGAGTGTTCGCGAAAAATGAAACATGGTATAGGCTTACGTCGAAAAATATTTGATGGTGATTGCTCCTAAACTTACTTCTATCTGATGTGTCTATAAGGAGAAAATTGTTAAAAACGACTCATACTAAAGAACGTAGCGTCCATACAAATTCAGATGATTTTATTTCCAAACAAACCATTCAGCGACAACAAAATCGTTGTTAAAAGTACATTGTATATGAAACAAGTAAAAAATATTATGGAATATCAACTTATTTGAATGCTTAGAAAAAAATCAATGATTATAGGTTGTAACATCTAAATGATAAGTTTGGAAATAAATTAATTTTTTACGATCCTAATTGAACAGTGCAACTTTCTGAATTTGTAAGGACGCTAAGTTCCTCGGTTTGAGTAGTTTTTAATAATTTTCTCTTATTCCTAAACATCACCGATTCAAATCCTCCTTTAATCTTAAACTTTGCATCAGTTGAACCGATAGTAGGTAGTTCAGCGACGTAGCTCAAATTCATTAAATTCTGTCCCTGAAACCATTTCAAGCCCAATATTATCTTAATTTACCCATAAAGTTAGTTGAACCAATTTAAACCTTTATTGAAAACTAAATTTTCTCTTTAAGAGTCAACCCACTCGATTTAGTTAGAATTTTAAAACTAAACTAAGGACATTACCGTGGTGCTACCAAGCTCTCCTATCAAATCGGCCAAGGGGCTCCTGATATATGATCGGACTTACAAACAAACACTGCCTTATATATTAAGAGAATACCAATGTACCATAACAAAAAACTAAAAAACTCACTCGACATTCCTTTCCTTCTTAATCTTCATAATCAGATTCTTTTGCTGATTCTCGTTCTCATTTAACTTCATGTCATTTATCCGAGTTTTCTTGACCTCCTCCACATAACCAAACACAGCTCGGATCTCCTTCTGCCTCAAGTTATTGATCTGGTAGCTGAGCCCCAAGGACACAAGCATACCGTTTTGTCCCGGGTCCCTTTTTGCCTCATTCTAAATCAAATCAAGTAATCAATCAATCAAATAATAAAAATACAATCAATCAATCAATAAAAATGCAATCGATCAATCAATCAATCAAATGAAACCTTATCAATCAATCAAATCAACTCAAGTTCAAATAAGCCCATATCAAGCCAAATTAGAACATAACAAACCCAACCAAACTCAACCAGATCAAACCAGATATAACCAAACCAAACCAATTCAAACTGTAAAAATAATAAACCCCATGTTAAAGTGAAGTGATCAGAAACGTGCGATGGAACTAATAACCAGACACTGCTGAGCTCTTGGAGAACTTTGAAGAAATTTTTGTGATTCTACGACTTCAATTTAAACCTATAAGAAAAAATCCCTTTTTCTCTTAAAATAGTTGAAATATTCATGTTTAAGAAGGAATATGCAAAGTTAATCGGCATAAATCTCGGATACTCCTCTAACCTTAAAGGTCTGAAAAACTGTTAAGAAACTTTAATAACATAGCGTTAAATTGAGCATTTTTAATTTGAGGAGTGATATCGAGGATTGATCAAGGATTCTACTGATCAAGGATTAAACTGAACAAGGATCAAGGATTCAACTAAACACGGATTAAGGATTCTACTGAACAAGGATCAAAGATTGATCAAGGATTGAACAGAACAAGGATCACCAGAAGATCGAGGATTGAAACTATAATCTTTTAAAGAAAACAAGCAACAGGAGAAATCTAGCCTGGATGTCCCAACGTAAGTCTTTGTATGATAATGTAAAATTATAATGTTTAAAAAGCTAACAGAGCTGAAAACTTTAGAACGAGATATCCTTAATCCCGATTACCTAATCTGAGTATCCAATAGACACACTTTAGATTTTCTTCTTAAACCGTTCTTTCTTGGATATAGTAGAGAAAATTCAAAAACCTGCTTTTTAAAATAAGCGAGTCCCTCCCGTTTCTGTACATTAATCTTAAATGGCGCGCAAAATTTCAAATTGATCGGCTTCATATACGCAACTCTGATTGGTTAAATTTCATTCACTTTTCAGTATACAAGTATAGAAGATTAGGTTGGTCGCGATATTAAGAAAAAGAGAGGATCAAGCATTAATCTCGATATCCAACATTCTAAAGTTTCAGCTCAGATCCTTTTTGTATTTTAATATTGTTCAAGAAAGCTTAAAGATCTTTTTATGTTTTAAGTTTTAAAAACTGATAAAAAATTGACTAAAGAAAACCTAAATACTTTTAACACTAACCTTTTTCTAGATTGGCAAATTTTCTAGAAATAAAATATCAAGGAAAGGTGGGATATTTTTACTCAAACCAAACCCAACCATACCAAACCAAACCAATCCAACCAAATTAATCAAACCAATTTAATTCAAACCAATCCAAACCAATCCAAATCAAACCAAGTCAAACTAAATCAAGCCAAATCAAACAAAATCAATTAAAACAAGAAAATCACACAAGCTTGAACTATTCTGTGAATTAATGAATTAACCTCTGTGAGAAGGCTGCAGCATGTAAATCTCCTGAACTTTGAATCTGTTGTAATCTCCTGGACCATGACAGGGAGAACATCCTCTCCTCCTCGTGCCTCCTTTTCATCTGCTTCTCCGCTAACAAAGGACCACATCTCCAGTAGGATCAGAGGGAGAAATAGGCGCTTATACTCCTCGTAACAGTTAAACTTAGCGGGGAGATTGATGGCAGAGTAGTTAGAGTGAACTGGAGGTTCTTCCTTGTACAGCTTTCTCTCCTTAATCCACTTGACAGACCAGTGCAACATAATTTTGATGAAATCATCCGTTGAAAATTCTTTCTTTTTCTCCTAAAACAAATATGCATTATTGATGAAATCATTTTAGATGCATCATTTACAATCAGAAAATCTAGAATGAATGAAAATCTATGATAAGTGCAGTTTAAGGGTGCATCTAATTGGTTTAAGTTTTATGAAAATATTCCTTGGTTCTCAGAGCCAGTTTTCAATTGAGCCTCGATGAATAAAAATAATAAAAATTAGACGAAAACTTTTTCCATGGAGGGACTATTTTTTAATAAATAAATGGACAAATAAAAATCAGCAAATTTTATCAACCAATCTTTGACATGCTAAATATAAGGTAAAGTGCTTAAAAGAGAAGAAATGAATATCGATTTAAAAATCAGAATTGGGTTTTAAGGTGTGTCCCCTTATGCTTCCTAAAAAATAGCACTGTTCAAATGCTAGAAAACTTAATTGTACCAGATTGCTCTTAATGCTCTTGTACAATTTTTCCTAGTCCAATTTCTTTGGTTAAATCAAAACAAATCAGATAGTTAGGTTAGTCCGACACCCAGATGCTAATCTCGAAGTGACTGTACTAAATCAGGAATGAGTTGAGAGAGGGAAGGAAGACCAACCACAACAATTTCTCGTCCAAGCCACATTCTCATTTTCTCGTCCGAGCCATCTTGAAATTCTCGTCCTTCCCACTGACAGAGATGCTAGGAGCCTATTCAGCTTTACACAAATTTATAAATTATTTGGGAAAATTTAATATTTTATTTGATAGATTTTCAAAAAATACTTTTATCTGCAAGGGTTGGACATTGGACGAAGATTTTGAGGTGGCTCGGACGAGATATTATTGTGGTTGGACTTCCTCTCCTCGTAGAGGTCTTACGAATTGTAATGAATTCAATAATGCTTTGTTTTATAAGATGGTTTGACCTGAAGACATTTGTTTACCATATTTCCATATTTGGTAGTAGTTTTATTTCACACATCGTCAATGTACTCTTTATTATTTTGGAACCATCATGAATTTATTAGTTGAGGCTTACCAATTGATTGCCTTGGTGGTTCATGATATCCTTCGCTTTCATATCTTTGACTTTGAAATTTTTGTTGTCAGCTTCAATCAATCGAACATCTGTCAATGGCAATCCTTTCTAAAAGAACATCATTATTGTCATTTTATCCTTTTTTCATCTTTTTTTGTAATTTTTTGTAATTTTTTATAATTTTTTCTAATTCTTAATAATTTTTCATGATTTAAAGTTTTTTTATACTTAGTGATTTAAAAAAAATCATTTTTATCTTTGTATAATTTGTCATTTTAACATTTTTTCATTTTATCATTTTAAAATTAACATACACGATATCATATTACTAAAACTTACCGTGTCTCTCCAGGAAAGTTTCTTCCTCTTCTTCTTCTTCTTCTTTGAGGACAGATTTTGAGCGCTTACTGATGAATAATTCAAGAAGACCGGCTGAAATAATATTCAATTCAAAATTAAAATAAATTATTTTTTAAGGGGTCTCAGAATACCCCTTTAAATTGTTTCAAAAAAGGTTTTTTTTTGAAGAATTACGATTTAGGAAACAATTTGTTAAGAAAAATGAAAAATTTGGTTTCAACTGGCAAAATATTTCATCCTTTTCTAAAACAAAGATATTTCAGGATAAGTAAAATTTTTTTTTCAATCCTGTATCGTAATTAAGAATGAAAAAACAATGACCAACCTTTACAGGCTTCCTAGATATATCCTGGGATAAGACGTTGTAATCAATATTATCAGCAGACATCTTCTTCATCCTATACCCTTCTTCAGTTCGCTCCATCTTCTTCTTTCTAGCAGCCATCCTAGTAGGTCAATCAATCAATCAATCAATCAATCAATCAATCAATCAATCAATCAATTAATCCATCCATCCAATCAGTGTTTTTGTGCCGACATACTTTCCACATATCAAACTTGTGAACTTAATAAATCAAGAGATATGGATTTACAGCTTATATAAAATACAGTGGTCACCACGAAACAGTGGATTAATTGTTGTCTTCTATAATTTATCTGATTACTAAATGATATTGTCAGGGACCAGGTGTAAAACCTATACCTAAAGCCCTATTTAGGAAGTAACGAGGAGTGACGAACCCAGTGCTCACATAAACCTTGAGCTACAACAGGACCTGGCCCCACATCTAATCATCAATCCTCATCTTCAAGCTGCAAAAGTTATAAAGTACTTTCTATTTAACCCTATATTTTGCCATGTTTAACGAATATTTTACCTTGTTGATTGAAAGCATATTTAGCCTAATTTTATTATATAACTGAAAGTTTTATCTAAAAAGTTTAAGTAAAAAGATTTAAAACTTATATATATATGAGAGGAAGCACGTGCAATACCATCAATCTTAAAATGTAACCATGTATGTAAACATATTTACTCAAAAACATTCATTAAAAAATATTTAACTAGAGGCCTTTTCCAGACCAAACAATATGGTCATGTTTGAATGCAAATCCGAATAACTTCTCTACGATATAAACAAAAGGTTTGAGAAATATTATAATACTGTACATTCCTTAACGTACTGTATTACTTTTACATGGGAACAGTGTACACGTTGTTGTACCCTGATCTCATTCCTCCCCGGTGCATCGACAATATATACCCCTGTTCAGGAGCTGAGGACAATATCGTTGTATCCTGACCCCAGCTGACCGGTTTAAGAGAAGGAAGACAGGTGTTGTTCTGACACTTGTACAAGAAAGCTATACTATAAACAGTAGTTCTGGAGCTACTGCTGTACCTGTACCTCGACGGAAGATGATTGTGCTTGTACTATATAATCCTGGTTTGACCTGGATAAGAAAGAGACGCTGTACTCTCTGGACCTGTAAACATGAAGCTGTCCTCTGTTATTGCAGCCATGAGTTATTAACAGGTGTGTTATATCTCACGTACTGCTGTACCGTTGCTGTACATAGTACTCGCAATCTTGACCATTATCTACTCTAACGTGTTCAGGACTTGAAGGAGAGTGTTGATAGTGAGTTGAAGATTGAAGGGAGATTGTTGTTCTTAACCCCGGAGTTGACAACCTGTTAGTTGGAGCTGAAGAGGAGTATGCTGAACCTGGGGTGAGAGCCAGATATTCTCAAACCAGGAAACAGATACCCTCCTGGTCTAGTGAGCTATGACCAGAACGATAACAGGTGTGTTAAACGATGATTTAAAGTGAATTTAAATCTAATGCAAACTATTTAAGGAGTAAACCTTTGGAGATAAGGGGATCCGGTTAAATAAACAGTCTCGTCAAGAAATATACCTTCGTGGACGGTGCTCCACGCACTCAGTCGATGCACCAAATGTAAGCACTCTTTTTAATATATTCGTGTGATTGATTGATTGTAAAATAATGATTAGTTGATGGTATTGCTTTAAAAATTGTTAAATTATATGGAACTGATTAATATTGTGATTTATTTTTTCAGTTTCCACTGCAAGACGTGCTTTCCCTGTTCCTAGACTATAAATGAACTGTGAATATTTACAGAAACAAGCGCGTGAGAAATGGGTATGATGACTGAGTCTGCGTCTGGCATTTGGCGTGAGGACCTTATTGAAAATTAGGTGAGAAATGCACACCAGGACATAATTTTGGAAATACATAAGCAAAACTTAACAAAAAAAAGAAGAAAGAAAACGTCATTCACTCCACTGTTTTCTGGGTACCACTGTTTATAGTTCATGAATAATTATGTTATAAAATAAAACAAGACATTCATATATATATGTTCCCTCTGGCCGGCCAAACGGCTGGACCAAATGGGCTGAAATTTTTTGAAGAAACTCATTGATAGCCTGGGGGTGACAAGGGCAAAAAAATTCGAATTTTTTTCCCCACGGGCAACGGGGCCCTTCAGCTCTTAATTATTATAATGATATAATTGTCAGAATTTATAACTTTTTCAAGATGAAAAAACGACTTCATCTTCCTCATCTTCAGACTTAACACAAGGAATATGTTTACAGATTCTTCAAGTAAAAAATGAATTATATATATATATATATATATATATATTTCAGTTTTTAAATTTACATTTTTATTAAAAAAAGAATTATACTAAACATAATGTTTCACGTCTATCATGACGATCCTCAGTAGTTACAATTCTTTGAACAATATATATATATATATATATTCTTTGAATATATATATATAAACAAACAGAGATATAGATATATATTCAGTAGTAATCTCTGTTTGTTTGTATGTCGGATCATAACTCAGGAATCCCTATAACCGATTTGTCTTAAACTTTGATGGGGAAACTTTGTAGAAATACGGGAATGTTCCTATTTGGTTTAAAAGGTCAAAGATTAAAAGAAAACTTTGTTTCCAAGCAACGCTGGGTTTCCGAGCTAGTCAATAATAAAGTAAAAAATAATAAAAATAATAAAAAAATATTAAATGATTTGATTTATTATCGTCATTTATCATAATCATTAAAATGTGTACATTTTCATTTTACAACCTTTTTGTGAGCTATTAATATCCAAAAGTTTTCCATAAAGTTTTTAACTATTGTAAATTTTTCTTTTAATCATTTCTAAACATAGGAATTTAATCCACCCACCTGTCTGTCATAGCTTCTGCCTCTAGAAACCCCACTGGCCTCTGACCATCATCATCATCTTCGTCTTCCTCATCTTCTTTTTCAGCTTCTACCCGGTCCTCGTCAGCCTCGGACAGGTGGCGAACACGAGGCTTCACAGCGGGAACAGAATCCGAATGTTCTGGAAGAGTATTTCTACGTCTTGTGATTCCAGCAGCTGCTTGTACATTCGTTTTCTTCTCAGATATTCTGCAATAATCGATCAATCAACTATCCAAACAATCACTAAATCAATTAATCACTTAATTAATAAATCAATCAATCAATCAACCATTTGAAAATAATCAATCTGTAAGAACTGTGGATCTTTATAAACTAATGTGTGTTCAGGGTGTTCAAAGTCGAGAAGTTCTCCAGCTTGTCCTACGGAGAACCCCTATCTTCAAGCAACTAATCCTAGAAATCTCTACAAATACATTGAATCTACCATTATCTTTCTTACTGTCCAAATTATCAATCTAAGATTTTAATGTAAACCTTGCTAAATGCCTATTTTATATTCTTGTAATTGAGTCTAATTTTCTAACATCATACGTCTTAAAACATAACTGTAAATAAGTTTTATAGTGCTTGAAAGTCTAGCCACAATTTGTTTTAATAATTGGTCTTGTCTTTCAGACCAAGATGGGTTAGTTGTACTCTTCTAACTTGTTTTCGTTCTCTTTCTCCAGGTTTATAAATCATCCGTGATTTAAATATTCACATGGAAACTTTTACTCCATATTGCTTAATTCTTTTCTAACGGATGGTTTATATAATATGTATAGATTTGTTGTGATAATTGTAATTCTTCCCTCAATAGTTCCGTGCATGCCTCCACGCACTGAACCAGGCTGGCCTTGAGTTCCTGTTGATCTAGAGCTTTAACCTCTCCGCTGACTCGTGGAGCTAAACCTATCTGCATCCTTGGTCTCTGGGATGAAGATGCTCTACTCTCCTCTCACCTACTAATCCTGACACCCTGTGCCTTGGGTAGGTCATGAGTTCTCTACGTATACAAGACTCCAGTCTCAACAGAGTCCGAGTGCTCCTGTGTCTTTGGACGCTTGGTTGAGTTCTCTACAAACAAGACTCCGATCTCAACAGAGTCCGAGAGTTCTCTATGTTTCCTCTGATAGTATCCTAGAGACGTCTCCATCTCTATGTACCAGACCTCCTACAACCTTGGCTTGGTTGTTCTCACTTCTCCGGCATCTCCGATAGAAGGAATCTATCCTCTCCGACATCACTGACGGAAGGACCTCTACACTGTATCCCTGATCTAAGCTCCTCTAGATCAAATACAGGTACTAATCTCGATTACAATTCTTGTGATCTCTGTGAGAAAGACAATACTTGAGAAGGATATTTTAAGATACACATAAAGATCTCAACTCAACTCTATAAAGCTCATATTTAGTTCTTGTACCCGAGACTGTGGTGCATTCTAAACACTATAGGCTACAAACCTCCGGACATATCAACATTGTAAGTGAATTTTTCTATTTATTTAAAATTAAACATTTGTTATATAAAATTGAATGTTTTACCTGGAGAAAGTTTTATTTTTAAAGAATAGAATTTTATTTTATCGTAAAATTAATTAACCCTGGACTGATTTATTGTGTTTTCAGTTCACGGTTGAGTCCTGTATAAACTGCCTATCTGAAATATACATAAGATTTAATCAGTGCAAATTGAGGTGAGCCGAAGAGAAAGAGTTCATGCTCGCTTTTATGTTTGTAGTTATTACCTGGTTCCTAAAGGTAAAATTTGAGCACACAATCAATCATCTGATTATCAAATGCCGCAAAAATTGGTGATTTATTAAGATAATACCTCGAAATAACATTTTCTTTTTCAACACAATAATAAAACGTACCTTGGTTTTTCAGCAGGCTTTCTAGAAACAGGTTTCATGGTTGTCTGCATATCCTGGATAAAAAAACATGTAATAAAAATGAAATGTAGACTTATTTTATCTATGTTTTCTTAATGAAAGTTACATGTAAATGCGACAGTGGAGGAATTCGTCAAAATTGTTCAAGTTCGACAAAATCAGCCACAGGATTCATCAGAGAAAGGTTTAAAGAGTATTACTGTAAATTGGACTTGCTCCAAGATCTTTGACTGTCACTTAAAATTTCAAATATACGAGAGTTTTAAATCTTCATCCTTGATTTATAAATTACCTCTAACAATTTCTTGTTTTTGGGCTGAGAAGACTTCATAACCCCCATAGGCCCGGAGGAAGTAGGTTTTGCCTTTTCCGGCTTCTTTCCTTTCTCTGCAACCTCCCGCAGCCTTTGCTTTCTCTCCTCTACTTGCTCCGTCCTTGATTTAGGTCGGTCAACTTCTGGAGCTTTCTTCTGGAACATTCCTCCATACTTGGGAGTGGGCTCAGCCTTCTTCAAGGGTTTACTGCCTTGCTTCGAGGACTTGGAGAGTAGCTCCCCGACAGTCTGCTGGGAGATACCTCGGTTAAAGGCCTTGCGATGAGGTTGAGGTAGGGCATCCATAAGAATAGGCCCTTGTCGTATTGTTGGAGGCTTTACCTTTTCTGGCTCAACAGATTTGGTGGCAGTTTGTTCTGACTCAAAATCAGAGCTGTCGTCTTCAAACAGATGTTTTTCAGTCAAGGACTTCAGGTCTTGTTTCTTGCTTGATGATTCTTGTTGTTGGATTGGTTTCGACTGTTTCTTTAAATGTGCTTCTCCGGCATCCAAGATTTTCACAAGCTCTTCGTTGTCAGAATCATTTAGAAGATCATCAATTGATTCATTGTCTGTATTATCTAATACTGACCTTGAGCATTCATCATCTTGGTCTAAACTATCCAAAGCAGAACTTGTACGATGATCCAGTGCTGATATTGGGCAATGATCATTATCATCAGATCTAGACGGATCCGCTATTAATGGTTTAGAGGAATCATCATCAGATTGTGCATCATCATCCATTGGTATTCCATCATCATCACTAATGCAAACCAGTTCCGGGGATTTTACACTTTCATCTTTCTTCAAGTCTTCATTTGGATCCTCATCTTCAAGTTTTTGTGTCTTCTTTGCAAGAACTTTGGTTGCCAATTTCTAAAAAATAAAATTTCCAATACATTTAAACAGATAGAAAATATTTTAATAGAAAATGTTAATTTTGACAGGGAAACATTTGAGATAAATCTTTCTTTATGAACTCAGCCAGTGGTTGAAGGTTGTTAATGATTTTTTAATAATTTTTTAAAAATATTTTTTTAATATTTTGCACACAGCTAGCATATTATGAGAAAATCAAAATTAACATCCATGGGTGGCTAACTTGATAAAGAATGGCTCTAAAGCCGTTGGCAAAAAACATGTATTCATGGGTACTTACTTTTACTTGAAAACTTAATTACCCCCCACTCTTTCAAAATCATTTTTTCACCAGATTTTTATTACTTTCATGTCCAAATTTTCCCAGAGCTTTGAAAAGTATTCCACCCTCCCCGTAATTCTAAAAAATATATTCCATTGCTTGGATGAATTTAGATTTTTAGACTTTCAACTCATTAGTTATGAATCTATAAATTTAAAGTAGTAATCTCTGTTTGTCTATTTGTAAGTTCGAATATAGCTTATAAACCCGTTAACCAATTTGCCTCAAATTTTGATAGGGGATCTCGGTGAAACTACGGAATGTTCTAAGCTTTGTTTAAAAATTATAAGTGGATGTACTTTTACTGAGAAAGTTTTGTTTACAGGCAAAGCTGGGTTCCCAAACTAATAATTTGTTATAAAACTTATATTGATTTCTCCTGTGACCCCTGTATTACCCAAAATTACATGAAATGAATAGTCTATTTATAATATTAAACTCACCGCATATTTTATCTTTTCTTCATTTATCCTTTTCCTTTTCTCTAGTTCTTCAATCACAATTTCTCTATCAAAATCCTTCTGTTCAGCTTGGAATTCATCCAGTACGCAACTAAAAACATCATTTATTAAAGCCGATGAAATTATGGTTTACGTTCATAAAAATATTTAGCAAAACATGCTTTAAATTTTCAAAACTATATTTCTTGCGTCTAAAGCTTTTCTGAAGATTTTAGGAGCACATTTTTCAGAATTGATTCATTTCTACATTGAAAATGCTAAATGCTTCGCGAAATCACATGGGTTAAAAAACGATGACGACAATCAACCCAATATTTTTTTTTTTGCATCACAAAATATCTTCATGAGAAATAAATAAAAAGGATTTTTGATAATGTCCAATCTGAGTTCCCCGATTCATTAAAATTCAAAATAGGTCATAAATAGTAAATACATACCTGACCATATCTCTGCTATAAAAGGGTGACTGACAAAGGAACTCTGTAAGAGAGTTCTTGATAAGAATTTCCTTGGATATAGTTTCTATAAAAACCATCTGCTCCTCTCCTCTCAACTCTGCCAAGCACTCCCTGACCAGCCCCCGGCTACATCCAACCTTCTTCATCACCCCGTCCACCAACCTCTGTTCAATCTCATCCCTGGAGTTAGTTGGTACTTTCCCGTACCAAGGTACATGCGACTTTTCCCAATTTATTTTGTGGCTACTTCCCGTAAAGTTACCTCCCCCCACCCCCTACCCTACTGTCATGATTTTACGACTATTTTGAAAATTCCCTAGCCCCTAAGACTTCCTAGTCGAATAAGATTGTTGAAGTTGTATCTAATCGTGTCCTTATTTAACCTTGGCTCTTATCAGAAATTTAGGTGCCGATGTCATTGTCAAGTCTATTCCAATTATTCGTATGAGAATTACTAGTTGAAGATTTACTCGTTTAGGATTTACAAAACTAGTTATATAGAGTCTTGAAAGAAATAAACATTTAAGAAAATTCTACCTAGGATCAATTCTTTCAGAAAATGTCACAAAAGATTAAGACTTTCAGAAAATGCAACATAGGATAAAGTCATGAGGAAAATGCCACATTGAAATTAGTCACTTTACAAAATGTCATTTGGAAATGGAAACTGCCACATGGGCATTGGGCAAAAATTAAGTTCTTAAGAAAATTGCCCCATATTAATAAGTTATTAGAGTAAATGCTACAGATGAACTATTTAGGCAAGTGGCCTTTAGAAATTTACCATTTTAGAAAATTCCTCTGTGGAAAAAGTAATTTGTGTAAATGGCCCCGGAAAAGTACCTCCCTGGCAAATTTGAAAACATTCTCATATGAGATTGGTCCCCCCAGCTCCTTGTCCTTTAATATTGCAGCTTTCACAAGCTCAGTATCAGCAGACAGACCTAGAGTCTCTAGAACATCGTTTACAAGATCCTCTTCCACATCCTCCTGGAATTAAGAATATAAAAAAATTGAGTTTAAACCAATTAAATAACAAAAACTTGCTTATCAAAATTTACGTAATCTTGCCGATATATTATTCACTGTATCTTCGTTTTGCGTCACCCTGTAAAAACCCTCATTTTGGTTATGACTACAAAGGAAAATTGTTTTGAAAACAATATACACCCACTCACTGCTATAAACACCTGGACTTTTTCTTCAGAATATTTTTATATTCAGTCAACTGAGTTATAATATCAATTTTCACAAAATGCCACCTAGGAAAATCTAAGCAAATATTTTTTTTTAGAAATATCTTAAACCAAATGCATTTAACTGATGTTTACCTCAACAACTTTTTTATGCCTGGTACTAAGGCAGTCATACAGTTCACTAAGAGGTTTTATTTTTTGATAAATTTTTTGATAAAACGTGTCTTATTACATTCCAGGAAAATTTTAGGACCCTGCCATTTACAAAATAAGCATAGCATAATTAAGCTTTAAAACTACAGCTACGTTTGATTTTAGACCTGAATGCACTTGATTCATACAATTGGGATTATAACTCAGTAGACTGCATATCAGTATAATTTTATTCCTAAAAAAAAGTTCAGGTGTTTTGAGCAGTGTGCCCACAGCCCAGGCCATGAGAAGAAGCTGTGAAATAAATGAAATATTGAATAATTAATTATAAACCTGGTTGTCTAAAAGAAGAAGCTGTGAAATAAATGAGATATTGAATAATTAATTATAAACCTGGTTGTCTAAAAGAAGGAGCTGTGAAATAAATGAAATATTGAATAATTAATTATAAACCTGGTTGTCTAAAAGACTCTGGCTCTCCTCTTCTCCTCCCCCTGAGCTGGTTCTTGTTAGATCAGTTGAAAAGTTCGTACAAACCTCTTCTTCAGTGAAGCTTTGAGAACCTTCACATTTTATCTAAATTATCAGGAACTGTATAGTGAAGACTGTGGACCCATATCCTCCACTTATAGAGTAACATGTTAGATTCACAATAATAACCTTTAAACTTTTCCCGAACCGCAATTAGGAAGACATCTTCGTTTTAATTAACAAAAAACCTTTTTAATTTTAACAATTTACTTCATCTAAAGCATAAAAAAGAACCGACGATTAAAAGAACCAATATTTCATATTGGAAAATAAGGATATCCCATTCATTCTTGATTTGGCAAACTATTATGGGGTATTAATGTGAATTGAACCTGGTACTCCATTAAAAAGAAGGCTAGTAGAGTCAATTGTTTCTCTTTCCAAAACATGTTCTGTTTATTCAGATCCTTAATCCGTGCTCAACAAAATGGACCGATCCCATTAAAAAATTCAAATTACTTGTTCTCCCCCCCCCCCCTTCTCTGATAAAGTGAAAATCATAAAACCATTTATTATATACCTTGACAAAAGTTTTGATGGGCAGCTTATGTTTGGCGACGATTGTGCGGAATAAACCAGTTTGAGATGAAGCAACAATATCGTTGTCATCACTATCCTCTACTCCTGAACTCTCGCCACCACTCTGAATAAGTTATTTTCTATTATTCAGCTTTTTTTAAATATTCTAACTAGTCAAGAATCCGAAGTCCGAGTTTAATGAATAAAGAGCCGCGTCTTAATTCCGCCAAAACCCGGTTTCAATTGAGCACCGGCTTAAACTAAACATTGAATACAATTTTTATTGCAACCAGCCATATTTGAGTGGCCTCTAAAATTCTTTAAATTAGGCCTCAATTCTTTTAAAGCATACAAATAGATTTACTGATGTTTTAACAAATAAAAATAATCTGGGGCCTATAATCCGCATTTTTTTCTGCAGATCCGGATCCAGAAAGTCAAAATATCGCGAATCCAACAGATCCGGATCATAAGAAGTGGTAAAATATAAGTACATGATTTGAAAATAAGTATATGGAAATATAAGGATATGGTTTGCACCATTTGGGATTGACAAACAAGACAATCCTGCTTATCATTCGAACCTAGTTAGGAGGCCAACAAGGACTGATGTAAGGAGCAACCTATTTTCAAACAGGGTTTTATTTGGATTTTATTAGGGTTTATTGGGCTTTTTAATTTGAAAGTAGTTGAAACCTATTAAAATTCATAAAATAAGACTATTAAAGCAATAAGTGAACTTTTTAAGTTATGAAAAATAATAATGTTGTGATAATATACTATAATCAATTATCTATAAATACTCTTCAAATACAATAATATCACCTCCCTTATTCAATGGGGGTATTACTACAATTTTTGGATATTATAGTTCTATAAATTTCAGACTAATTCTATTTTCTCACTTTGATACATATTTCTGATGGGGGGGTGGGGCTACTCAGATTATCGGTAGATATTAAATATTTATATGCATAAGAAGGAAGACCACTGTTAAATACCGAAAAACTTCAGCCCATTCACACAAAAAAAAGACCAAGAACTTTTAAATTCTTTTTCAGTCGCAACGAGTTTTGAAAGCTCTGATGTGGTTCTTCTTGGGTTTTCAATACCTTAGATACTTGTTATAAAAACAATCACTGCAGATGATAGATTGCTTCAAAAGTTTTCTACAATTGGGTTTGTCTGGTCTAAAACCAAAAAACCGTCCTGAAGTCCAGTGTTAAAAGGTTGACTTGCTTGATTTATTTCATTTTTTTATAAATAACTCAATATTCGAACAATTTTAGCTTCAATAAGATCATTGTTTAAAGTCTTAGGAAATAAATAAATGTGTCAGTTTTAGTGCTGTGCTCTCTTAAAAATCGATACAATTGAAAGTAGACCTAATGTCTTGAAGATTTATCATCTTAAGAATCAGAAAAGGTAAAAAAAATTAAAAAAAACAAACAATAAATTAAATAAATTAAATTAGGGCTGGCTTTTTTATGTCAACCCTGCTAGCTGCTGAAGGTGCATATTTTTCAGAACCCCCCCCCCCTCCGAACCAGGGTAAGGAAAATTAAAAAATTAGTCATTAAGTTCGTTCAACCTAGCTTATACTATACTTATAACCTAAACATTAATGTTTATTCCCATAATTTAAAACCTCTATTTTCTCAAATTAGGCGATTTTATACCAGGCATTCTGGGGGCAAAAAAAATCATGGGGGTAATCAAATCTTTTTAAAGAAATATTATAATGCTGTGATCATAATACAATTATGTAATTATTTATAATTAACAATAAAAAAATCAATATAATAACCTTATCTTCTTCCCTTCTCTTGTATTCTAGTATTTCAACGTCCAAGTCGCACTCACTCTGCTCGTTCTCTGGCTCGCTTTGCTCGTTTTCTGGCTCGCTCTGCTCGTTTCTTCCATCCTCCGACAAAACAGATTGCGACTAGAGAAAGTCTGATATTTTTTTTCGTTAAAAATAAAAAAAGAATTAAACGCTCGTTACTTGTAAAAATAGTGAAAAATAAATCTTTCTTTTCGAACAGTCAGATTTAAAATTTTAGTAGATTTTTTTGGATTATTAAATAATTATCAGAACTTTCCATGGATATATATTCATCTTCATCGTCAGAATCGTTGATATAAATAACATCATCATCATTTACATTAGTAGCCTGTGGAAACCATTGGGGATCGAACCCAGCAGACTTGATTAGTTCAGCTTTTATCTTCAACTCCTTTTCATTTTCTTGTTTTATCTTGACCTCGGGTTTAGTCTCTGAAGTAGGGTCTCTGGAGACACTTTTAGAGGTGGGAGGAGCGTACATATCCTCATCGGAATCATCAGATATCTCTAACCGTGCTCTTGGGCCTGATCCTGAGCTTGGTATATTTCCAGATCCTGGTTTAGGAACAACTCCTAATCCTGCTCCAGTTCCATTTCCTGATCCTTCTGCATCTCCTATTTCCGACTGAAAAGCAAGAACAGGATTTCTCTTTTTTAATGCAGATTTCAGAGGCTTGAGCACTGTTCTTTCTTTCTCCCCTGTTTTTTTAGAAGATCTTGCAACTTGTTCTTTAGAAATAATCTCTAAAGATCCTACAGCAAATGTACCAGCGGAGCCTTTAGTTTCTCCTGTATCAGATACTTTTGCAACTAATTCATTGCTAGATTTGGAACCAGGCAGTACATCTAAACTTGAACCAATATTTGGAATTTCCGATCCAGAAGAATGGTCTGATGATGGTTTAGGGTCCGGAGTAGGTTGTCCAGACCTACTCTCTTCTGAGGTAGAGAAAGGCCCCGAACTTGATCTAAAATAAACTTAAATATAAACCATCTTAAAATTATGGTATAAAGACGAACAAACCTAAATCTCAAGCGTATTTGCTGCTCTAAAGCTAGCGAATTATTTGAAAACAAATCAATCAATAAATCAATCAATCAATAGATCAATAAATCAATTCGTCAATCAATCAACCAATCAGTCAACCAGTCAATCAATCAATCAACCAATAAATCAACCAATTAATCAACCGATCAATCAATGAATTATTCAATACGCAATTTAGTCTAAAATTTACTGACCTTCATGCTAACGAAGAACAGGGGTGTATATCTTTAATTTTGCCGCCGCTTTAATTGGGTTTGGGCAAAAATAAAAAAGAAAAAAGGAAAAAGGGGAAAATGAAAAAAGAAAGGAAAAAAGGGAAGGAAAAAGGGAAGGGAAAAGGGGAAGAGGGAAGGGAAAAGGGGAAGAGGGAAGGGAAAAGGGGAAGAGGGAAGGGAAAAGGGGAAGAGGGAAGGAAAAAGGGGAAGAGGGAAGAGGGAAGGAAAAAGGGGAAGAGGGAAGGGAAAAGGGGAAGAGGGAAGGGAAAAGGGAAACAGGGAAGGGAAAAGGGGAAGAGGGAAGAGAAAAATAGGAAGACGGAATGGAAAAGGGGCAAGAGGAAAGGGGAAAGGAAAATAGCCGCAAAAAAACAAAATTAAAAAACAGTATCAGAAATGCTTAAAAACTCAGGGGGACGTTGAAGTTGACCTTTCTAGGGCACAAAAAGCTCAATTATACAACTAGAATTCAAAAATTTCTTTGCAAGGGGGATAAATATGATTCTGAAAAGGGGGTGGGGAGGCAAAAATATGAGTCTCACAAATAATATACACCCCTGATGAAGAAAATTTATAAATCAATTGATGTTATGTTTATCTTAAATATTCATGCTTTTGAATTGAATACCTGGGTGCTAGAACAGGGCTGGCATTCAGAGCTCTGATCACGGAGAACTTTTCATTTGCAATTATACTTCGCCTGAATTATTCTTAGTTAAAAATTAAAAGCATTAAGATGAGGAGAGTGAGGACGTAATTTTAAGTTACCCTTAATTTATTGAGTGGCTTGTCAGATTCACAAGGGTATCCTTTAAACCGTTTATTCAAGGTTTTTTTTTGGTTGAATTGGGGCAAATAATCAAAACATTAGTTCAATTTTTCATTTCCCCCAGATCATTAAAACTCGTTGTTCCCTTCCTCGCTATATATATTATATACCACTTTACATTTTAAACATTGATCCGGATCCTGGATCAATAATAGAAGAATGAAAAGAATGTCGTTTATTTTTATGATAAAAACTTGCTAAAATACTCAGAACTGAAGAAATCTTTAATGATCTCTTTTTCAACAGTTCAAGTTTGGGTTTTGAGAGCAAAAACTTATTTTTTACAGTTTTTGGTTTACTTTGCCCCTTAGATCTGTGAATCCGCTTATTTCTGCGGATCCGGATCTTTAGCACTGGTGTATACCGTCAAAATTTCTTAACCTGATATTATCCTGACCAATGATCTCCAGTTCAAAATTGATTGCTTCGTCACTGCTAATATCCTCATAGTTCCCTGGTACAGGCACTAGCCTGGAACCTGGTTACAGGGGAATATGTTTTAAAGGGAGCGTCTGGCTAGAAATGGTAGCTGAGCTGAGAATGCATTGTTGTAAAGAAATGTTTCAGAAATCATTTGAGACCAATAAGACGTTTGTACGGTGTATAATTATACAGAATAATTCTGAGTGAAAATATAATCATTAAAATCCTCGTGGGTTGTCCAACCCGACAGGCAGGCGTGCAGGGCCACAACCTGATAGGAATGCGAGCTGCGCCACTACCAGCCAGACAGGCATGCCGCGCCTGTCATGTTGTGACAAAAAATCGTCAACTGGCAAGTCCCCCTCCCCCATGTTTCTATATCTTTACTTTAAGATTCATTTAGTTTCTCATATAAGGATGGGGAAAGGGGGGGTGTAAGTGTATAGAAACTATATAAATCATATCCCTTTGCCTGGCAACCCTGATTTAAATCCCGAAGGTCCGGTGAGTCGTGAGGGTCGAGTTTGCTTCCTGAAATCAGATTGTTGAAAAGGTCTACCCTGAGCTGACCCTGACGGTCTGGAGCTCTGACCATCTTTTCTCTCATCCTTCGGGAGTTTGATAGATTTGTGTTTACGTTTTCTTTTCCTGGTCCGTTGCTTTCCCCCTGCACTGTTTTCTTCGTCACTTTCTCCAGAACTTTCTCTCTCACTTTCACTCTTACTCTCGGAATCACTTTCTATTCCACTTCCTTCGCCAGAATCTTAAATAATTTACAATCCAGAGTATTTCTGGAAAAGTAGCAAAAATTAAACTTTTACTATTAAGCCCCAAATTGTTTACCTAGAAAAGCCAGGAGGGGAGTTCCTTGTGAACCATCATCTGCCAACCCTCTCCACCTCCTAGAATTCAATCAATCAATCAATCAATCAATCAATCAATCAATCAATTCATAAATACATAAATCTGTCAATTATTAAACCAAATTAATCATTCAATCATTGAGTCAATTATTCAATTAGCCAATAAGTCAATAAGCCACTATGTCTATATGCTAATGAGTCAATGTATGTACATTATTTGATTGTATAAGTATATACCTGGATATTAGCTTGTACTGTACTACAGATACCGTCTTCCATCTGCGTACACTGTACTGCACATTAAGCTCCCCGTCTTTTAGTATACACCTGGACAATTCAAGATTTGAATTAACTAACTTTTAAAATATTTTTAAAAGGGACTGAAAGCATAATTTCTAGTCTCCAGGGAGGGGGGTAGGCTAGCCACACCCGTAGGGCTTCCTATCCACAATTTACTCACTAACATCGACTTGTGGCAAAGCGCAAACCCGTAGCGCGTCCATATGAAACACTTTTGTTCAATGAACAAATTCTAAAATTAAATATAAAATTGACTAAAAAAATTAAGCAAATTAAGTTCCCTTCAACATGAAAAATTAGGGTAAATCTTTAGTATTAGGCTACGACGATTCCCGACCAAGTGCTGCTGCTTTGACAGGCAAGAAGGATGAGCATTGCTAAAGTGATAGGCCATAGGGCAGAGCATTACGGCTAGGACTGCAGAAGGCCGGACGTTGCAGGCACAATCCTTTTAAAGAATTATGTTTTCATTTAAAGAAGAATTTCTTTTAAAATAAAAAAATTTCAAATAAGATTTGTATCTGGAAAGAAAATAAACGTATCAAAATTACGAAACTTTCAATTTTTTTTCTTTCCGTTTAGTTGACGGCTAAATAATACGAGACTAAGACAATGATCTTACTTTTGATTGAGTTTGGCTCCAACTGCTCTTTTCGGTAGAGGAATAAATTTCACCGAAACCTAGCACAAATTGGATTAGTTTCTTTGCCCCAAATAGTGTATTTTTAACATTTGCTCTCCTAAAACTTTGCAAAATTTTAACCCTGAGAGAAGATGTATTCAAAAAACGAACCAAAACGATCGTTTTTAGGTCAGTTTTTTCCTTCTAGTTTCTCTTTGAATAAATAAAACCTTTTAACATATAATACAGTTTTGAAATGTTGGAATCTTCAAAAGTTCACAGTTTCACAGTTTGTGTGTGCTACCTTTCAAAAGTCCAAAAACCTTAAAAAGTTAAAGGTCAAGAAAAATAACTAAATTATTAACAATTTAACATTAAATGAAGATATATTTTAGGAATTTTACTTTTCCTTATAAAAGGGACTGGAATTATTTCAAGTAACCATACACTTAAATGTGTGGCATTGCCTAGTTCATAAACCAATATTTGTTTAAGAATGAATAAGATATCCTCGATACTCTATAAAAGTGTCTTTCAGGTTTAAGAAAAGGAGGAAATGAAGCAGATCGTAAGAATTTTACACTTTTCACTGCCTCAGTGAAAACTATCGCGGATAAGCTGCCATTAGGACTTTGAACTTTGCGGATATTCCCCGATAGATATAAAAACTTTGCAAATACAACTCCAAGCCCTGAAATTTGGTGAATACTTTAAGATGTTAATTTGAATTCATATTACTACCTGACTTTTCTTATTTTTCAATGTCGAAATAATAGTCGCAAGATCTGGTTCACTATCACTTGTAAGGTCTACACTACTATTGGAGGAACTGAACGAACTTGGAGAAATCCTAGTTTTCTTCCTTACTGGGGCATCATCTAAAAAATTCAACAAATTATAACAAAAATATCAATATTTTTCTTAGAATTTGTTTACCTTCACTTCCAGAGTTGTTGACACAAATTCTCTTTTCTCCCTTCTATTTCAAACATGAATATAATATTTTCCAAAAAATGATGATATTTAAAGATAAAATTATCTAGATTCGTTCCGATGTCAAAAATATTTTTTTTTAGCTCGCTTTTTGATAGTTCTGAACAGTGAACAGTGACGTACAATCCCTTTAAATAATCTTCAGGTATACTCTTTAAAGCTTTGTCAGATCGAGAACGGATTATATGTTTGTTTGTTTTCATTTGTGAATTCTCTGAAAAAGTTACTTGCGCATTTCTTGCTTTAGAGACAAAAAATAAAATGTCAGAATTAAACACTCTTTAAGCCAGAAACAACGTAATCTTTCAGATATATTATGAGATTAAGGTTTCTAGGATACCGTTGTATATGACGGTTCACTTAAAATGGCAGCAGTCCCTTATTGTTTATTACAATTTCTACTCAAGTTCCTTATTCTGAGTAGAGAGATTATTTCTACTGGATGTAGAAGAACTTGCTACGCTCTGTGCTTCCTAAACAAGGTAAAAAGTAGATAAACAGTTTTCATCAAAGCTTTATAATGCCATAGCTATTGGTAAATATTTTTCTTGGATGAACATAATAGGTGGTATGTGGATTGAAATCAGAACTTTAAATTAAATGTAAAAGGAACAATCTAATAAGGTACAAAAATTTTTTTTTCTTATTCCTATTTTTGAAGATTTTACAAGAGTTTTGGTGGAATGTTGAAAAAAAATGTTTAGGTGAAAAAAGTGTAAGAACTAAAAATTAGGAACATTAAGAACGAATTGCTGATTTTAGGCCAAATCATTAATTTAAAAGAAGGAAGCCACTATGAATTCTGGTTCAAAACATTGTATCAATCAAAGCATTATTCAATCAAACCATTGTATCAATATAAACAATTTACAAATCAAACCAATTATCAATTAAACCTTGTATCAATATAAACATTGTATCAATCAAACCATTTATCAATTAAACCATTGTATCAATATAAACATTGTATCAATTAAAACATTGTGTCAATTAAAACTATGTTACAGTTAAAACACTGTATCCATTAAACATGGTATCAATCAAAACAGTTTATCAATCAAAACATTGCATTGTATCAATTAAAACAGTGTATCAATTAAAACGTTGTATCAATAAAAACATTGTATCATTCAAACCATTTATCAATTAAACCATTGTATCAATATAAACATTGTATCAATCAAACCATTTATCCATTAAACAATTTGTATAAATAAAAACATTGTATCAATCAAAAAATTATATAAATGAAAACATTGTATCAATCCAAACATTGTATCATTTAAACGTTGTATCAATTAAAACATTTGTGTCGATTAAAATATTGTAAAAGATTGTATCAATTTTACCTTTGAGTTTGATTTCTTCACATCGGATTCATTTTTAGAGGCTTTTAAAGAGGTTTCTTTTGGAATTTCTAATGGTTTCTTTTTTAAGTCTTCAATTGTTTTTTCTATGAGGCCTTCGAAAGGTTTCTCTACAGAAGCTTCTAAGAGTTTCTCTTTAGGGGCTTCTGTAGGTTTATCTTCAGAGGCTTCTTTGGGTTTATCTTCAGAGGCTTCTGTAGGTTTTTTTTCAGGGGTTTCTGAAGGGTTTTCTTTTGAAGCTTCTAAAGGTTTCTCTAAAGTGGTTTCAACATGCTTCTCTGCTGGTTTATTTTCAGGGTTACCCGCAGGTTTTGCCGACTTTCCATCTTTGTCGGCGTATTCATTTTTCTGAAGAATCTGGTAAAAAAAATTTGTTAAATAAATTATATTATATATATGATCGGGCATGACTGTATCATTACAAATGTCATGCTAACTCTGTGATCCACGTACTCCGGAAGGAGGCCGAAGATTGCAGGGAGGGGTGGGTACTGGGTAACATTCGTGGCTTAGCTAGCAGCAATTAAAAGTAGCTTTTTCAAAGATTCTCCCCCCCCGTAATTAAAAAAAAAATCTGGCATGTTTATACCCCTCTTTTTAATACTTTTTCTTCAAAACTATCAATGAGTTTTCTAACTTCAGTGACAAGACCTTACAAGCCTCAATTAAACAGGCTAAGGTTTCAGGATAACACAAAACACTTTGCCACACTTAATTATCGGACTCCAACAAAAATGCGGGAGTTTGATCAAAATAAAAAAATAAAAATCTTTCTCGTATACAAAAGTAAAATTAAGCTTAAAAATTGTATAACCTTTAGAAGTACGTAGTTCAACCAGATTTGATATTTTTTCACTTTATATTTGCAAAGATTAATCTTCTATGCAGGAGGACTAGTTTCTCCGATGCAAGTTGAAGAGTTAGTGGATTTTTAAAGGATAATATCTTTTCCCGTATTTACTACTACCTTTTCGAGGATTATTATTTTTGATTTAAAGAGAAAACCAATCCTCTACAACCCCTGCTTTTACCTTAAATACTGAGGATGAAGAGGATGTTTGTAAAGAAGGACAAGAGGATGGTTGAGTTGTGGTCGAGGATGCATGAGGAGGATGGGATGAGGTTTCCAAGGGTTTAGATGATGATGAATGTTGAAGTGTCGAGGATGAGGTTCCATGAAGAGAGGAGGATGACAAATTTTCTCCAATATGTTCAGATTCTGAAAAAAAGCAAATTACAATATTGGCAATTCTTAAAGACATAACTCCAAGTGACCCTAGATTCATAGCTAGAAATCTATGACAATATAAAAATTGCCCAAATTCAATTCTTGCACATACAAAAATTAAAAATCTCATTTGGTTAAGATATTTTTTTTTGTCAAACCCATGAAAACAAAAATACATACAAGTTGATGTTTTTCTGGCGCCCAAAGTTTGGTATTCTGTGAATCAAAATAGATAGAACTTAGTTTAATAAATTAAGGCAAGTTAGGAAAAATCAACAATTTTCATTTTTGAAGATAAATTTTCTCATATTGTGTCTTAAAATGTGTCAAAATTTAATGGGTTTGCAAACTAAAGAGCTCAGACAATATCGACAATGGTCTAAATTTAAAAAAATGTTGAAATAAAGAGAATGTGGTTGTAATTTTAAGTAAACCTTAATTTGAAGATTTACAACGGTTCCCTTAAAACATTTGTCTGATCAAAAACATGGAGATATCGTCGCCGTTTTTCCAGCTTTCTAGTCATTATTTCAAACGATTCCCGTGAACATAGTGAAGATGCATCATATTCGAAATATGTTTTGAAGACTTAGAGAGAAAGGACGAAATCAATTTTTTTTTTTTAATTTAAAGTAATGATTAAATATTATTGAATAATTTAAATTTTTTAATTTAATTTAGTTTTAAAATTGAAGAAAAGGTTGAATGTTGAAGCACATTTGCAGGTTTAGAGGGACTGTTATTTTAATTTAAACTATGTTAAAAACTTTATCTGATCGATAATTTGGCATCTATCCTAGCTAACAATTTCCAACATTTTTCCCGTGTTTTCTTCAACAATTCACTTCATAGAAAAATAATATATTTTTTTAAGAAAACCGCTTGGATGCTTGATCACACAAAGGGTACCACTGTGAATCATAAATGCCACTCTATAAATACAGTCATAATCAGAAATACCCGTAATTGATTAACAATCAATCAGGTGATTTTACATTAAACGCTCAGAATAGGCAGACCACATTTGGAAAGGGCAGGACTAGAACTGTTTTGTAATTATCTTTTCATTAATCATTATGTTGTAAAGTCGTCTGATTATTTGTTAATTAATTCCGTGTCTTTCTTATTATAACTGTTTTTTAGGATAAAAATAGATTTACCGACACTAGGAGGCGGGGTATCCTCGTCTGTTTCAATATCATCATCTCCGTTTGCATTTAACTTTAAACACAAACAATTAAAATTAAACCAGGGGTATAGGTTTTCTTTAAAAAATTCCCCCACTCCCATTTTTATAATTAAAATGTCATTTTTGACGTTGATTTGTCATGTATCACAACTTTTATTGTGACCAAAATGGACTTTTAAATAATAGTCTTTGTTGAAAGAAAACTTTATTACGATTTTTTGTAAAATTTGTATTTAAAATAATAGTGAATAGTCAACCATTGATCAAATGAAACTACAAAAAAAGCTGGGACTCCTAAAATAAATAAATACCCTAGATGAACATTAGCAAAATCACAAATCCCCCAAAAATCCCCCCCTCCCAAAAAGAAAGATCTTGAAACTATTTATTTTAAAAATAGAGTTTTATTCGAGTCTCTTTAAATGTAAACTTTGAAATGACCGGCAATAGAAAGCTCAGCGACGTCGCTCAATATTCTGATCCTGGTTTAATATTTGTGTTCCTGGTTGAAAGCCGGGGGTGCTCTGATACAATAAACATATGTTTCCTCCCCTCGATCCTTACTACTACGATCATCTTGAGTTCCAATTCCTATCAGATCTCCCGCATTCAAGACTTCAGCTCCGTTATTGGGCAGACGATCCTATAGCAAACAAATTATAAATTACACATCAATGGGAAACATTTTCCTTCATCTATATATAAATTTAGTTTGTTTCGGTGTCTGTTTGTTTGTCTGATTGTTGCCCTGACAGTCTAGGTCATACATACAACACTCATCTTCATTGATTTTCTCTGCATCAAATGATTTTTTGAGGAAAATAAATTAATGAAAAAACAAGCCTTTTGATGTCCAATTTTTAATCTCCCCCCCCCCCATTCTTAAAAAATATACATTACTGAATTGAGGATTATCTTTTAGCATCATAAAACCTCTATTTAATATTTATATTAAAAATATTACTTTGATGAAATAAAAAATTGTATAAATAAAATTAAAAAATGCTAGTTAGAAGTTTACCGTATTGATGAAGGTTCCATTACTAGCGCCAAGATCTTGAAGAGACCAACGGACATTTTGCCAGTCTTCTGGTGATCCGTGTCTGGAATAATTTTGAAATATTTTTTTTTGAATATGTGTTTTTAATGGGCCAATTCACACCGGTACTCTACTCTTTACATCGCTGTCTGAGTAGCAGTAAGGTAGAAGTTCTTGTTTTTTCTGCAGCTTATTTTTTTACTAGAAACAAAGACAGAAAAAAAAATTCTGCTAGTTAACGAGGATATCTCATTCATTTTAAATCAAAAAGGGTTAAAGAGAACCATTGAAGGCTCATTTAAAATTACGTCCATGTCTCTATTAAAGTCTCAAACTATTTGTTCTGTCCTGGTGGTATTTATCTAGAATAACTGGCTTGTAAGAATGATTGATTTTGAACTCTAGGAAATCAGCTAATCGCCCACCAGAGGTTGATAGTATATCTATTATTATGATCTATTATGTTTTATTATGATAAAATTGATTCAGACATTAGATTTAAACTATAATTCAATTCATACATAGGTTTTCAACTAACGACTTTAATTCATCTCTAATGTCGTCTTCTTCACAGTCCTGGAGCTGTAACAAATGCTGCAGACATTCGATATTGTCTTCTTCTTGAATGATGAGCGGCCCACATTCTTCAAAAATGGCTCTTGGTAGGCTGTTTAACATATCTAGAGAGAATTCGCCAGAGATATTTGAAATGTTGCTTCCAAAGTCGCACTGTAGAGAATATGCAGATATCGATCCAACTATGCAAAATAGACTGGGCAAACTTGGCAAATCGTCTCAGCAAAAGAACTCTCATAGAGTTTATTTCTTTAGAAAAATTCTTCACAAAATAAGTATGTGTAGGCTGTTGCAAGTTTCAGCAAACTTTAACTGTAGTGTTCCAAGATCGGTAGGTTTGACAGGCATATTCACTGAAAAGTTTCCAAATATTGCTTCCATAAAAGGAACAATAAGTTTGCACAGCAGATAACTTTTGCAATGGTGAGAAGAAATGGAAAATTCCCAATAATTCAGTAACGCGCCAGCTATAAATGTAATCCAGGAAACATACTCTTCAGCAATCGATGCCAAACCAATGGACACGATCTTATCGGCTCTGGATGGCAATATGGACACAACCGTAGCTATCAAACAAGCTCTTGGTGATCAATGCCAGATCATTGGGCATGTTCTTATCTGCTCTGAATGTCAATACGGACACAAGGGTAGCTATCAAACAAGATCTTATTATCGAACTTGTTTTTTATAAATGTTAAGGTTTCCATAACTCTTGATTTCCAAGAAGACCCAAATCGATTGGACTGCCTGATGGTTTTAAACTAATAAACTAACCTTATGAATTTTAGATGATTTCTCGAAATATTTTTGGCCGATGGAATCCATTTGTCATTTTCAGCTTTTTTCCTGCCAACACGAATACAACTCTGAAATGTACAAAGTTATATTTCCCACGTAAATCACGTAAATTGGACGTTATGCTAATTTTATTTTATCAAGAACGATTTTCTAAATAACTTGAAAAAAATTCAATATTTTTACTTGACGTCTATTCAAAATTGATTCGGTTTTCAAAATTGAGAAAACAAAGCGTGAATACGAACAGAAAAAAATTGGAACACGTCGAATTATTTTAAGGTTTGTAAATTGAAAACTCTTCCCCAACTGTTCAAAACTTAACTTCAGGTTATGCTTATACATAATTGTATTACAATTTCTAAACAATTTTCTAAAAAAAAATTTTATTTTTATATTTCGCGTCTATTAAAAATTGAAAAAAAAGCGTGAATATGGACAGAACAAATTTGGAACATGATTTTTTTTTTTAATTGAAAACTCTGCCCTAACTATTCAAACCTAACTTTAGGTTATGCTAATACTTTATTGTATTTTGTACAATTTTCTGAATAATTTTCTAAAAAAATTTAATGTTTAAATTTCGCGTCTATTAAAAATGGAGAAAACAAAGCGTGAATACGGACAGAACAAATTTGGATTGGAACATGAATGTTTTTAAGGTTTGTAAATTGAATCTTCCCTAACTGTTCAAAACTTAACTTTAGGTTATGCTCATATTTTAAAGTATTTTATACAATTTTCTTAATGACTTTTTTTTCTTAATTTAATGTTTAAATTTCGCGTCTATTAAAAATTGAGAAAAAAAAGCATGAAAACGGACAGAAAAAATTTGGAAAATGAATTTTTTAAGGTTTTTAAATTGAAAACTCGGCCCTAACATATTCAAAACATAACTTCATTATAGACGACAAAGATTTTAGAATAAGGTCATGTTAAATTTTGGAGAATGAAATCTCTTAACTGGCGCTAGAAATTTACATAGTTATTATTTTCCCGAATATCTTACGTGCCACAGCCGCAGCGCTCGGCCCCCTAGCCTGTCCTGGCCGCAGCGCTCGGCCCAGAATTTATCTTAACCTAACCTAACCCTGAAATGATAAAAAAATTATAGAAGGGGGCCCCCCCCCCTTCTATAAAACTTGTTCTCCAGGACAGACCCAAATTATTTGGTATATTCCTAGAGAACGATTTTTGGATTTGGATTGGATTTCCTATCAATTTTGTACATGGATCTTAAATTCTTAAATGTAAGACATGTGGCCGCAGCGCTCGGCCCCCTAGCCTGTCCTAGCCGCAGCGCTCGGCCCAGAAAACTTACTTCGTTTGTCTTTCTGTCTTTCAATTGATCTGATACAAAATTGTCCTAATCGCTATCGCTCAGTCAATCTTTCGATTCAGAAAAATGTTATGATTTTTTTCTAGTGTACTATTTTTAATTCAAAGCATTTACAGTGTTTAAACCATATGTTTTCTTTTCAGTTGTTTGGAATCAAATATAGATTTGAATAAAAATAAGATTTTACTAGAAATCGAATTTAGGCACTTGAATAAAATGATGTCAGTCACAACTACTATTACAGGCCTATCATTTAAAGTAAACTACAAGCGCACATATTGACATAATGAATTTCCGGAAATTTCCTAAAGAATGATTGCGGGAACCCACAACGTAACTTCCATCCAACTCTACTGCTTGATGATTAAATGATTGACTATGATTGAAATAAAATGATTATGATTTCTGAAATAAAACGAGTTGCTAATATGCCGCAAAGAGTTGTAAAAATAAAATAAGTTTTGTTGTCCCCCAAACTAGATCGCCGTAAATACCGCTTGTAACAAATGTTGATGCGGCATTCAAATGTTTTCTGCGCACTGCACGTCAACTCAACTCAAACGTTTCTACCTGCAATGCAATGCAGTTTCGTGTAGGTTATTCGCTGTTATTTTAGGCAACTGTTAAGTTTATTTAAGATGCCAGTAACAAGGCATAAAGAAATAAACGATAATCAATCAATCAACTGTTAAGTTGTTCTATGAATTTAAAGATTTATTTTTATCTTATTTTCAGAAGTTCGGCTGCATCATGACGTGGGTTAGAGAGGAATATAAGTTTTCTCTTCTAGAACGTTTTCTTACGAACTTGTTGAAGTTAGTAAATATTTTATTAAACTATTTACAAAATTGATAGGAGGAGGGGGGGGGGGCGTGGTAATTTCCTGGAGAACAAATTTTGGACTCCCCGGCCCCCCTCCCCTTCCTTTTTTGTACATTCATCTCATATTTTAACATATGTATTAAATTGGTCATGTGCCCGCAGCGACAGGCGCCCTATTCGCAGCGCTCTGTCCAGAAAGTGCCTGGACCTGACTTAACCCTAAATATATACTAATTTTGTTGAAATTGGAGGTCTGTCTTAGCCGCAGCGCTCGGTCCAGACTTTTTTTTAGCCTAATCTAACCCTGAAGTAATACACAATAAATATTTTTTTGTTGAAAATAGTTGAAATTCAGGTCATGTCTTGTACAAAATTGATGGGGGGGGGGGGCATTTGATTGTTCTCTAGGACAGACCCGGTGGCGTTCTCTGGAACAGACTCTTAGAGTTACATCAAGGTTAGTTCCTAAGGAACGCTTGGTAACTTCCAAGAGAACGATTTTTGGTTGTGGGTTAGATGTAGTGGTAAAATTCTAATGTACGTTGTTCGGACCTCCCTCCCCCCTCCCATCAATTTTGAACATGCATCACATGTGTACCACATGGATATAATAGGTCATGTGGTCTACCTCTAGGAAGAACCCAATGTATTTATGATGGGGGTGGGGTGTAGATTCAATTATTTTTAACGTACGGGTTGCCGGTAGTTAACTATTCTTCTTTAAATACTACTAATTAATGAAATCGGATATAAATTCCTCTTAATTTCATAGTAAGGGAACGTCCGTTTTCATATTTTATTCTGGTTCATCCTAGTAACTATTTTTGGACCCTGATTTTAACTATTTTTCAACAAAAATTAATTAGGTTTTTTTATTGTTAGAGTAAGGTTAGGAACTTGCACTAAATATGGGTCTAACGGCAGGGGGCCGAACGCCGCGGCAAGGACGACTAGAGGGCTGTGCATTGCAGCCACATTTTCAACTTTGATCATATGTTGCAAAATTGATTTGGGGGTGGGGGTCCATGACCTCAATAAGATTACTGCATCATTAAATGTGTATTGCTTAGTAATTTTGATTTGTGATAAGAAGTGGAAGCGTGCCTCGCCATGTTGCGTTTATAATGGATGGGAACAGACGATTCGCGAGGCAACAGAATATGGAGAAAATTAAAGGGCACTCCGAAGGTAAATCAATGTCGAAAGAAAAACAATATTCTTTAACATATTTCGAAAAGTAGTTATTTATGCAAGGAAACCCGATTGGTTATTTTCTAATGCACGCTTTCTGTATATTTTGTTTCTGGAAAATTATTTCACCTAATTTAACACTGTTCTGATGTTTTTGAGAAATAATGATATATTAAATATTTATTGGCAAGTTTGAACCCAATTTTGTTTCCCTAATTTAGGGGACAAAATTATATGCCCTGCATTATGACTGCAATTGATTTTGATGGTGTGTTTTCTAAAAAACACAAACATACATATTTGGTTCACTTAACACGATTAACAAATGTATTCTTAATTCTAATCGAGGGGGAAAATATCAACTATGAACTGTAAAAAAAAAAACTTTTGCTCTCTAACTCCAAATCTGTGTTCTTAAAAAAAATTACATTTTTAAAATGTTCCTTATCGCTGAATTGTTTATCGAGTTTTAGCATGAAAATAAGCATAAAAGGAAAATAATTTAAAAACTATTATTTGTTAATTAATTCTGTAAATCTTTTAGAAACGTTCATGACTTATATCCGGATCCATTTTATAAAAAAGCGGAACCAGGATCCGGAATCACATATCAAATAAAATGTATCCTGAGCACTGGACTTTCCTGTGAGGATAACTAATGTTTGTCTAATCTAGGATTTGAGAGGTTGGCTGATACTCTCCAATGGTGTAGATATTTAGGAATTACCACGGTTACTGTTTATGCTTTCAGGTAAATTGTTTCTTAGTTTATCTTATCTAATTTACGGGGAATATTTGAATAATAATAAGATTTTACTAGAAATCGAATTTAGGCACTTGAATAAATGATGTCAGTCACAACTACTATTACAGGCCTATCAATTTAAAGTAAACTACAAGCGCACATATTGACAAAATGAATTTCCGGAAAGTTCCTAAAGAAAGTAAAAACCACTGAAGCGAACGGCCCACATTTTTTGTGGGACCTCCCAGGGAAGGGATGGTTAGAATTGAAAAAAAATTCAAAATCCACGAAGAAGAAAAAACTATAACAGAGCAACAACTAATAGCTTAAGAAGTGCCCTAGAATAGGAGCTTAGTTTTGAATATTTGGTCGAAAAATATGAAAAAGCAAAGACCAAAAAAATGAGATTTTTAAACTTTTACAAAATGTTGAAAAATATCAGATTATTGATTTCCGAGGAAGAGAAACTGAAGCAACATGGTGTACGGGTTAAAATAATAGGTAACGTTTTTTATGTTAATTGATTGTTTTTCTATCTTTGGAGTTGATAATTTCTTGTTGACAAGATAAAGCCATGTTGAATTATCTTTTATAAATTATTTTACTTTTAAGTTTGTTTTTTAAATAATTATTAAATTTATATTTTTGGTCGTCAGCTCCTGTCAGGGGGGTGCGAAGGTCCTGTATGGGGTGGTTGTTATCAAGGTGGTAGACTAGTTAACAGCCTACTCACTGTTGCTTGGTTGATATTGAGGTGGTAGACTAGTTAACAACCTAGTCACTGTTGCTTGGTTGATATTGAGGTGGTAGACTAGATAACAACCTAGTCACTGCTGCTTGGTTGATATTGAGGTGGTAGACTAGTTAACAACCTAGTCACTGTTGCTTCATGCTTGGTTGATATTGAGGTGGTAGACTAGATAACAACCTAGTCACTGCTGCTTGGTTGATATTGAGGTGGTAGACTAGTTAAGAGCCTAGTAACTGCTGCTTGGTTGTTATCAAAGTGGTAGACTACAACCTAGTCACTGCTGCTTGGTTGTTATCAAGGTGGTAGACTAGTTAACAACCTCGTCACTCCTGCTTAGTTGTTATCAAGGTGGAAGACTAGATAACAACCTAGCCACTGTTGCTGGGTTGTTATCAAGGTGTAGACTAGTTAACAACCTAGTCACTGTTGCTTGGTTGATATTGAGGTGGTAGACTAGATAACATCCTAGTCACTGCTGCTTGGTTGTTATCATGGTGGTAGACTAGTTAACAGCCTAGTCACTCCTGCTTGCTTGTTATCAAGGTGGAAGACTAGATAGCAACCTAGTCACTGCTGCTTGGTTTTTATCAAGGTGGTAGACTATTTAACAACCTAGTCACTCCTGCTTGGTTGTTATCAAGGTGGTAGACTAGATAACAACCTAATCACTGCTGCTAATTTGTTATCAAAGTGGTTGACTAGATAACAAACTAGTCACTGCTGCTTGGTTAATATTGAGGTGGTAGACTACTTAACGACCTAATCACTGCTGCTGGTTTAATCTTTGATATCATTATTATCATCATCATTATTTAGGGAACATGAGCTACCTGCCGGATGATATTCAGCAGCTTATTGCTCAGGCCGAGCAGATCACGGAGCTTAACAGTGGGTCCACCTTGAATGTAGCTTTCTCTTACACAGCCAGGTACAAGATATGATGCACATAGTCTGAGGATATGTACAGATATGGTACACAATATATGAAACAGACAGGAGCAGTGTGTATACTTTTCAATGTCCATAAAACTGATAGGATAAGATTTTACAACAAAGTACATAAAATTTACAGGCAAGAAGTTGATTATATATACACAACATGGCAGTGAACGATTTTCTATTTTAAGTTTTACATGATAGCATGTATGTACAGTGTACACGGTGATCCCATTTAAAGGGCCTATCATTGTAGCTCTTAATGACCTGCGTTAAAACAACAGTACCCTTTAAACCTTTTTTAAATCAATATTTTGTATTATATCATATCTGTTCGGTTCCATAGTAGTAAACCTATCGTGTAAGAATTCCCATTATTACACGGTTCAGGAGGAACAATTTTAAAATTGTTCGCTTACTAGCGTTTAAGAATGCTTATTCTTACACTGTAGGTATAGAATTTTCATTCTTTAACGCTCAGACCGTGTAAGAATGGAAATTATTACACGGTCAGAGCGTGAAAGAATGTATATTCTTACATGCTCCAAGCATTAAAGAATGGAAATTCTTAAACTAGTTGCAGAATATTCATTCTTACACGCTCCTTATATTGATTTTTTCAACATAGATCAATATTGAAAATGACTTAATTATTTTGTACTGAAAACATGGACAGGGCAAACTCACCTTTTTCTTTTACATTAATACATACAAACTTGCCTTTTTTAACTTAAAAACAACATGGTCACTTACCTTTTTCTTTTATATTTAAATATGCAAGCTTACCTTTTTTACTTCGTATAACATGCTCACTTACCTTTTCATGCTCACTTACCTTTTTTGTTTTTTGAAGTATTGATAAACCTTAATTCAGAAATATCAATTTGAATCTCAACCCTAGTCCTGACAGAAGAGTGGAAATTAACATTTACTGACCTTTCCCAAAAATATGAACGATGCTTTTAGCCTTACATTAAACACTTTCATCAAACTGCCGAGTCTCAAAGCATACTGCCCGACTGCCTACTTTATTAATTTTTTTAGTTCATCTTTATTTCAAACCAAGTTTGGTGAGATTTTGCAAATCTCTGCATACCTGTAATAGTATGGTCAGAGCTTTTCAGTCCGAGTCACCATATCTCACATAGTTCGATATGATGAAGTGAAACCACAATCAAAGTTTTGATATACCTTAATTCAGTAATATCCATTTAAATCTCAACCCTAGTCCTGTGTTTAATTAACATTTTCTGAAATTCTGACCTTTCCAAAAAAATGGACAATGCTTTAAGCCTTACATTGGACATTTTCATCCAACTGCCGAGTCTCAAAGACTGCCTACTATTTTGCAAATCTCTGCATACTTGTAATAGTACAGTCGCTCTGGAAAGGTTGTCATGTCTTCAAAATTTCAATTAATTGTTTTTCACTTTATATTAAAAAGGGTCTCCAAAATTCCAAATTCATTTGTAATTATTAAAAAAATAGATAAAATAAAAGATCGATTTGTCCCCCACCCCACAGCTAAAACTAGTTTTAAAGTACCTCAGTCTGAGTCAGTCGTCACCATATCTCGCATAGCTCGAGATGATGAAGTAAAACCACAATCAAAACCAAAAAAAAGTTAATTTTATAAAAACTTATCATTGAAATACTAGTGTCACAAACTTTTAATGGGGTCTTAAGCACTCCATAGCAATGAAAACAAACCAGTAAATCTTGCTTCATGAATAAAAGACAAAATTCATCAGTTGATGTCGAACTGATTCTTACTAGATAACCTGCTTTTGTCTCCTCTTTTTTGAAGATTTAGGATCTAATATCCAGGAAATGATTTCTTCTGTAATTGAAAGCACGATTTTGTTCAGTAAATTCAGACAACCTACTACTATACCTTCTCTCCATCTAAAAAAAAACTTAGAGCACATTTAACATGCTGTGTCTAAGTATAGTATCAACTTGAAAAAAGAAGCAAAATCATAAGAAATTAATAAACAAACAAACTAAATTAAGGATAAAATCGCACCACATGCATTACTTTCAAACTAAGAACCAATTTTTACTTATGAAATGGTTTTTAACATTTTAACATTTGAAAAATAAAAAACAGTGATAGTCACAACAAGAGCATAAAACGTATTTGCAACCTTTCATAATGTGAACTGTTCCAATTTGAAATAGTCGGATTTCACCAGAATTATCTTTTACTATAATTTCTTGGGTATGTGCCCAATGCCCATGGAACCTCACAAATATGATGTAATAATAAATAATCTTATGAGGATAAAAATGTAATGATGGAATTCTTAAACTCGATGAACTACATTTTTTTCCTCATAAGATTATCATAATATATCTTCCTTTTTTGTAGCTTACAAATTGGTTCAATTCTTACAACTTTCTGATTGTTTCTTGAGTTGAAATGTGCACGGCACTTTGAGTTGAAAGTACATTTGAAGATAATCAATTTTTAATAAAAAGGTGCATTCTTCAGACAAAGCTTTTTTGTTTTCAGTTCCCTTTTAGCTGTACAATCTGTACCTTACCTACTGTTGAATCTGTACATTTTCTATTGTAGAATTTGTAGATGTCCTTGTACAATCTGTACATGTCCTACTGTAAAATATTTACAGGTCCTACTGTACAATCTGTACGCTTCCTATGTATATTTCCTTCTTTACAATATGTACAATATGTACATGTCCTACTGTATAGGGAGGAGATAACCCAGGCTGTGAGGAGAGCTGTGAATAAAGTTCAAACAAGCCAGATTCAATCTCAAGATATTGATGAGAAACTTATAGGTGACCATGGATCTGAACAATTAACTCTAATTTTCTAATCTTTGCAACCTAATGTCGTAACTATTTTTTATTTAAAAAATTAATTCTGTTAGATTGAAATATAAAAGGTTTACCTCGTAATACGACAAGGAACATATAAATCAGAAAATTAAACTTTGAGGTTAGTGTTCAGTTCCTTAAAAAGAAATGGAACAGCGTAATTTACATTAACAGAATGATAATGATCATTGAAAATCAACGTATTGTTAAGAAATTATTTATTATTTAAAAAAAAATTTAAAATTGTAATTGTAATATTCCTAGAAAGTAAAAATCTTTAGAAAAAGAAAAAAATTACTACTTTTGTTAAAAAGGAATTTTTTATTGAAATCATTAACATAGCTTTCTATAAGATGGTTTGCTGTATACAACTCCAGGCGATAAAGTTGATCTACTAGTGAGAACCTCAGGTGCAATAAACAAAACCAGGGCTTATAATTGTTACCCCCCCCACCAACACCACCCCCTCGTGCAGGAATTTTAGAGCGCAAAATTGAAAAAAAAAACTAGTTTTGGGGAAGCGGGTTAGCTTGCCTGCTGAAACTACTCATATCCCCCCCCCCCATACCTTTTAAAATATGAAGCACCCTTGACAAAATATACTTTGTATATATTATTTAGTGCCTTTAAATATATCAATTCTATTTCTCTTGAGTTCTGAATTTATTGTTAGTGATAATTATCTACATATGTGGCTGTGATTGCATTGACAGGGGCGGATACAAGGGGGGCGGGGGGACATTCGCCCCCCCCCTGAATTTGGAATTTTTTGTTCCTATTTTCAGAATAGCTTCTCAATAGCATGCTTAAGGGAAAGAAACCCTAGTGCCAAACAGGAAAAATATCTGTCTTAATAAACTATATAATGTGTGAAAAGTTAAAAATCTAGTTTTTTAGTTTTTAGTCATTAATTTTGACTCTTTTTGAGTCTTTTAAGTCAAAAAAAATTTCTCCTACGGCGCGATTTTTTTTCCTAATTATGAATTTTTTGTTCCTAAAAAATCTTGCCCCCCCCCTTCACTTAAATCCTGTATCCGCCCCTGTGCATTGAAGGTACTGTAAGCATAATTTCATGTGACCCACATGAAAAATGGCAATATCCGATTAGCTATGGTTTCCCTCAAAGCTGAGCAGGAGCTTGTTTTGATATCTATTTATTGTCAAATGTGGTTTCTTGCGCATTTCTACTGCAGGAAAACATGTAGGAATTATCTTAATTCAATTTTTAAACATTGAAAAATTACATTATCTTCCACATTATTGATCAGATAAGATTTTAAGGTTAACGTTGAGAATTGGGCATTGTAATCGTTGCATGGAGTGTTTTTTGAAATAATGCTTACACTACTTTTAGGAAACTACTTACACGGCCATACTTAGTTTATTTACTTGTTAATTAAATCCAATCCACGGCCACACCTAGTTTATTTACTTGTTAATTAAATCCAATCCACGGCCACACCTAGTTTATTTACTTGTTAATTAAATCCAATCTTCAGGAGAATGTCGACTCTCTGATTTCCTTCTTTGGCAAACCTCGTCTAGTATTACTTACTTTACTCAGGTGAAGCAGGGGTCCATATAATTCCAACCAGTACATTCCCAAATGTAGATTGATTGATATAAGGGGCATTTTAATCATCACAATCATTATTGCAGTTCTTAGGATCCGGATCTGGATCCGTTGAATCTGCTACATTTTGGCTTCCTGGATCCGAATCCAAGGGGGCAAAAATTCTTCTGCTCAAAAGCCCAAATGAACTGATGAAAAAGAGATATTATTCAAATTTCCTTATTCTGAATGGTTCATCAAGTTTTAGCATAAAAATAACAACAACAATAAAGAAAAATATTTGATTTTTCTCCTGTGTTCAAAAAATCAAATAATTTCAAAGAAATATTCAAGACCTGATCCAAATCCGGATTCGTATCCATTTCTTTCCAGTGGGGAATCAGGATCCAGATCTGCATCAAAATTAAATGAATCTTATGTTCATCAATCATCTTAATCAATTATCAATTTATCATTGTCATCATGATATCTCTAGGTTCTCTGGCCTGAGTTTGATTTCTGGCATCTGCTTGCAGCTGTGTTCTACTACCAGAGGAATATGTTCATCATGAACAGTCTTCTCAGCTCAACCAGCAGCAATAAACAGCTTTGCAGCTCCACTAGATCAAGGAGCAGTAGCAGGGAAGCTCTTCAAGATGCGGAGACGAGGTTTACCGATGCTATGGAGCAAATTTGCTCTTAACGCTCTCAGATTTTCAGATTTGGTCGTTTGATTTGCTCTGTGATCCGCATGGATAGGGGCGGGGGTCATTACTCCATTAATAAAGTGGCATGTCCGATTCGTAACCTTTGTCTGATAAACAATTATTTTTCAATAAAAACGTGTTAAAATCTGACAATTTCATTCCTTTGTCTCGGCTGCTCTAAATTATCAAGTAACTTTTACAGAGTAACAACAATTGAAAAATCCACAGATCTTATTCATTTTTTTATCATATAAAGGCTTAAAGGATACTGTTGTGAATCGGACATTCATAGTTGTAAACGAAGGGTCACCAGAAACAGAAATTTTAAGTCCTTAAAAACCGGTTTCAAACTGTTGGGTCCCTAAAATAATTCCTGTAACCCCTTTATCTTTTGGTACCTTGAATATACTGCAACCCCTTTATCTTCTGGTACCTTGAATATAATTCCTGCAACCCCTTTTTCTTCTGGTACCTTGAATATAATTCCTGCAACCCCTTTATCTTCTGGTACCTTGAATATAATTCCTGCAACCCCTTTATCTTCTGGTACCTTGAATAAACTGCCTTTCACTTAGTTTTGTTTAAGTTTGATAAACTTTACATTTATTTTTCTAGTTGTTATTATTGATAGATTGTTTTAATTATTGAACTTTTTGTTTTTTTATAAACTTATCTCTTTGCAAATTGTTTTAGTATTTATATTTCTAAAAAAATTCAGATAAAATGGCAGATGACGCTTTACCTAGTCCTAACTTTGATAAAAAGCCAGAAGGTAGTTTTTTTCGTGAGGGAGGGAGTCTAGCCAGAATAGCTGAAAAGTTGAAAACGAAAATTGAACAAAAAAGAACGATACAAAACATTATTTACATAGAAAAAAATATATTTATTATTATTTTTCAGGTTTTATACAATTCAGTTCTACCCCTGTTCATGGGAATCCGTTTAAACCAAAGGGAAAGTTTCGCAAAATTCCAATTCAAAAATCTATGATTTTCATTTTTTCTTTATTGTAATTAAATAAACTTTTTTTCTTCTTTTATCTTATGTCTCTATTGAATTGATTATGTTAATTCATTGTTGGTCTTTGCAGTAGAAGTTATTTTTAGAAAAGCTTAGTGTTGACTGGATAGATAATGGATTTAACATTTAAAATAGATACGAGATAATACAAAAAAGGTTTAAAGGGACTGTAAGCGTAATTTTTAGTGACCCTTATTCACTATTGCAAAGATATCAAGGCCTAAGCGCTGAAAAGCAAAGACTGAGGAAGATACCTGCCCCGCCCCACTAGGTCGGCGCAGCTGACACCCCCTGCTTTCTCTGTCCCGGGCCGGTAGCGTACAATTCGTCAAAACCCCCTGGCAGACAGGTCTCCAGGGGCCTAGACAACAATTTTTACTCAAAAACATCCTGGAAATAAAATAAACTATCAATTTTAAAACTTAAAAGAACAACCGTTTCTTTAAAATTATTGATCAGATAAAGGTTTTAATGGTACTTTTGTTAATCGGCCATGGTGTATGGTGGGCAACTTGTAATAACGCTTACAATCCCTTTAAGGAAAAAAAGTCTTATAATTGTGTAAACACTCACTTTAAAGTGAAAATTGAAATTTTGTGCTAACTAGTGGGGAAAGAAGAATCGTCAGGATAATTGGACAAGGTTTGGTAAATCTGAAAACCACGAGATAAATAATTCAAGGTAAGTGCAGAAATTCATTAAGGAACTGTATGTAGCTGAACACAGCGCACACTTAAATTTGCAATTAAAGACAAGTGGGTTTCGATAAGGTTACACACACCTATTTCGTTACTCGACGATTACACACATTTTTTAATTGTACCGGTGTAAATCGGTACAGTGCTCTTTGCATAGAGGTACACTTGAAATAACGATTACAGTCCCTTAAATTTAGAATTCATATTGTAACTACCTAACACCTTGAAATAACGATTACAGTCCCTTAAATTTAGAATTCATATTGTAACTACCTAACACCTTGAAATAACGATTACAGTCCCTTAAATTTAGAATTCATATTGTAACTACCTAACACCTTGAAAGGCAAAACATGTTTTTTTTCGTTGGTAATTTTTGCTTTGCTTTGCTTTGCTTTTCCCTTTCCTGATTAATAATAATAATGAGTTTTGTTTCGCCAGATATTGTTTAATGGGCAAATATTTTTTATAACTCAAAAATATGTAGTCACCCTCTTTCACAAAGCAAAAAGTAAATGATGTTCGAATAAAATATGTTTGATGAGAAGGGGAAAGATTTTTCTAAAATTATCAATCTTACAAATGGATATCCTTGAATCTTGTCATCATTTAGATCCCCTGGATGGTCACAGGAAGCCGGCTCGCCGAACCAGAACCATGGGAATCAGAACCAAGGATATGGGAATCAGAACCAAGGATATGGGAATCAGAACCAAGGATATGGGAACCAGAACCAAGGATATGGAAACCAGAACCGAGGATATGGGAATCACGGAACTAATCAGTCCTATGGAAACCTAAGTTCTGGAAATGAAGGAATGAAACAAAAGTTACTTGTTACTCAAATTATTGCACATTCTCTTATATTGAAGAAAAACTGCTCTTAGAAAAATATTGAGACTTATGAAAGATTATAGAAAAGAATGAAATACTTAAATCTATTTATTATTGAAGTAACACAAATTTGTTTCTCCGTGTAGGTTTCAGACACAATAGTCCTCGAGGAGGGGGGTTTGGTTCCCCATGTAGAGGGGGCTCCAGTCCCTCTAACAGGGGAGGATACGGATATGGGTCCCCTTCCCCCAGAGGAGGAGGAGGGGGCTACTCCCCACGAGGGGGGTTAAGGGGACAAAATAGTAATCAATGGAATAATTCACCAAGGTCAGTTAAAATTTGTATTTTTAAATTAGATCAAAGAAAATCATTAGTCTTACCATAAACGTTATTTAAGTTGTATTATATACTTCAAATTATGATTTTCGATGCTCTGGCCCTGGAAAATGCAAATTAGACATAAATTGGCAAGTTTTTTGTTCTTACCCTTTTGATACTCTTTACCCCAAATCCCCCCTTCCCCCCTGATTCGGTAAATATAACAATAAAGATTCTAGCATCTGCAGGGGAGGGGGCGGGGAAATCATTTTTACTGTCGGTCTATCGTAAAAACATAAATTATTGAAAACCCAGATTTTTATCGCCGAATGTTTTGAATAACGTGGTTTAGAAGTGTCGAAGCTGTTTTTTATTGAATCTGAAAGTATTTTTTAGCTTTTTAATTTGCTCCATTTTTGTTCAAAAGATTGAATTATGGGATTCAATGAAAAGATCTTCAATATCTTCCTTAAAAAATCCTTGTTTTGGTATATTCGCATTTCAACGTTAGCCTGCAAGGTATGTAAAAATCGAAATTTTAATCGATGCGCAGTTACATGCAAAAAAAATTTTAAAAAACAACGTTTATAGTTTAAAAAAGATGTCTTTCAACATAATTTTTTTAGGCAGCAGTTTAATGGAAATTCGAATTCAAACTCTTTTTTCCATCCATCAATGGTTGAGGTAAATACAGTTATATTTTATTCAATTTACTTTAATTTTGCATTGATTATTATGGGTAAATTATGTCCGATTTCGTGGATTTGTTCGATTTTTCGCTCTTTGCCTTAGAAAATCAATTCTTAAAGACACCCCCAAGATGATTATTAAATCATCTAAGATATAGTGCTATTTTTCTTATTAAATTGTACAGCTTGCATACAAAGTTGTCAACAAATTGAAACGTTTCTATGGATTAAATCCGTGAAAATTTAGTTTTCAGTGAGATTAGTAGAGAATAAGATAACTCAGAGAATTTGATTGATAATAAGTCAATTGAAGAATAATAAATTGATTGATGAATAGTTGATTGATTGATGAATGGTTGATTAAGTGATGAATAGTTGATTAATTTATAAATAGTTTATTGGTTAATAAATTGTTAATTGATTAATGAATAGTTGATTGATTAATGAATAGTTGATTGATTAATGAATAGTTAATTGATTAATGAATAATTTTTGATTAATGAACTGCTGATTGACTAATGTATAGTTAATTGATTAATGAAAAGTTAACTAATTAATGAATAGTAAAATTGATTTATGAATAAGTTATCTAATCAATGAATAGTTGATTGATTGATGAATATTTGATTAATTTAATTTTATCGGATTGATTGATATATAATAAATTGATGGGGATAAATAGTAAATTGATTAATTCATAGTTCATTAGTTAATTAATAGTTAGTTGATCAAAAATTGATTGATTGATTGAGTATCTGATTTTTTAATTTATTGATTGATTGATTGTGTTTTGCCAAGGATCCTTGGAGAGAATTAGAACAGAGACGAAAATTAAGATTAGATCAATCCCAGTCTACAATGGACGAATCTAGATCAAGTAGGGACGAATCTGGCGTCTCAAAGGACGATTTTCATCCTCTGTCTGAATCTATGATACCTCAAGTTGGAGACAGTTTACTTCAACGGAATTATGTAAGATTTTGTAAACTTTCCCTTTTTAAGATATTATCAGAATTCGCGGATTCAGCCTTAATCAATAAAAATTGAATTTTTTACCTTAATCATATCTTTTTCAGGCTTTGGAGGATTCCCAGTTGATACCAGATTCAAGAGAAGACAACAACGTTTAGAATTGATTAATTGATTTCTCAAATCAATCAATCAATTACTTAACAGAATTATCTATTAGTATGTCATGAAATTTAAGATTGACCTTTGATTTAAATTCTATTTGCTAAATTTTAAAGTTTTTTCCTCTTTAACTGGTTTTGACAGTTGTTTATTTTCAGAAACCGGTTTTAGACTAAGATGGATTTCCAGAACCGAGTTGGTTCGAAGACAGGAGGGGGTGGACCCGCCTCCTGGTCGGAATCTAATCGGGACCGGAGGGAACGATTGGCGGCTTTAGCTGCCGAGACCATTGATTTGGCAAAGGTACAAAGAAAAAACGATTTAAAAATGTTAAACTATCAATTTTTAATATTTTTATTTCTCTATTTTTAGGATCCTTACTTTATGCGGAATCATTTGGGAACATACGAGTGTAAACTGTGTTTAACTCTTCATAACAACGAGGTAGGTTTTCTATTGACGTAGTTTATTTAAATAATTCTTTGATACATATATATCTTATATGCATAGATTATCTATGAATTCAGTATTTAATCAATTTCCCGTTGTTACTTATTACAGGGCTAAATATTTTGTAAAAAAAAATTCTTCTCTTACCTGATGGTGCGGAGCGCACAATTTTTTTTAGTTTTTATCGTCGTATTTGATAAAATTAATGATTTTTTAACAATGTTAATTTTTTTAACTTAATGTATTAACAAATTTGCAACATTTTTCAATCCTTCTTCCTAGTCTTCAAACATAGATGCCCCCCCCCCACCCCCCGTCTATTTATTTTTCCTTAAATTATCTTTCTATCCTTTTTTCATCTACAGTACTTATCTTGCATCTATTTAATTTTCCTTTTACATATCTTTCTATCCTTCCTATTTCTTTTACAGTACTTATCTTGCATTTATTCATTTTTCCTTTTATTTATCTTTCTATCATTCCTATCTCTTCTTCAGTACTTATCTTGCGTCTACTTATTTTTCTTTTATCTATCTTTTAATCTTTTCTATTTTTTCTTTTGCCTAGTTCACATACTATTGCCTAGTTCAACCACTTTTGCCCAGTTCAACTGTTTTTGCCTAGTTCAACTACTTTTGCCTAGTTCAACTTCTTTTGCATAGTTAATTATTTTTAGCATGGTTCAACTACTTCTACCCAGTTTAACTATTTTTGCCTAGTTCAACAACTTTTGTCTAGTTTAACTACTTTTGCCTAGTTCAACCACTTTTGCTCATTTTAACTATTTTTGCCTAGTTCAACTACTTTTACCTAGTTCAACTATTTTTGGCTAGTTCAACTACTTTTGCCTAGTTCAACTACTCCTAAGTTCAACTTCTTTTGCCTAGTTAACTGTTTTTAGCTTGGTTCAACAACTGTTGTCTAAATCAACTATTTTTGCCTAGTTCAACAAGTCAATTACTTTTTCCTAGTTCAATACTTCAACGTAGTTTAAACTTCTTGCTACTCGTTTGGTCTGGTTCCTGTTTGTACTTTTTTAATACTCACTACTCACTGTTTTTATTTATCTATTAATTTATCTTTCGATATCTAATATCTATCTTCCTAGTAACTTATATTTGTGAGACTTGTGGATTTGAACCCTTTCGTTTGTTAATGTATTTTCATTTGACTCTTATCTCTCACTTCATGTGTCGCACGTGTCTCAGGGATGTGCTAAAGATTTATTGTTCCTCTTTATAACTCGAGGTAGAAGAAGATAAATCCGATTTAATTTTAGAATTTAGCCATCTCCTAATCAGGCGATAACTGAAATAAATAGACACAACTAAATAATATAAATTAATGTAATTCTAGGCCAGCTACTTAGCGCACACCCAAGGGAAGAAACATCAAGCTAATCTCGCTAGAAGAGCTGCAAAGGAGGCTAAAGAGGCTCCGGTACAACCTGCTCCTCAGAAGGTAAAATTTAACCTCTGTTGCCGTTTGCCGAGCTTTATAACTTTTGACCTCCTTTAACCTTTTCCCTCTGTTAACCTTTGCCTTATGTCAAGGTTTGACCTCCGTTAACTTTTGTCCTCTGTCAAGCTTTGACCTCTGTTAACCTTTGCCCTCTGTAAAGCTTTGAACTCCGTTAACCTTTTACCCATGTTAGCCTTTGCCCTTGTCATGCTTTGACCTCCGCTAACCTTTGACCAAAGTTAATCTTTCATTTCCGTAAAATTTGACCTCCAGTACCCTTTGTCTTCCTTTCAGCTTTTGCCACATTATAACTTTTACCTCTCTTGACCTTATAGTTTCTACTTGTTCTAATCTTATTTTCTTTTAAGCTTAATTTGTATGTTTGGTCTCATTGCCTTTACTCTTTGTTTTATGCATAATTTGACTGACTGCTCTTGTCATATTGTGATCTGGATTTTGAAATCAAATATGACCTTCATTTAGACCTTAGCTCTAACTGACTTCTACGGAATGATGACTGATTGATTGTTTGACCTTGATTTTGACCACAGCTGTGACCTGGATTTTGACCCTGGTTGTGATTTTTTTACTCTAGCTGTGAACTTGATTTTGGCCTTAGCTGTGACCTAGATGGTACCGAAGCTGTGACCTTGATTTTGACCCTAGCTGTGATCTTGATTTGTAATCTAGCTGTGACCTTGATTTTGACCCAAGCTGTTACCTTAATTTTTACTCTAGCCGTGACCTTGATTTTGATCCTAGATTTGACTCTTTTTTTAATCTGGCTGTGGCCTTAATTTTGACCCTAGCTGTGATTTTTTTACTCTATCGGTGACCTTGATTTAGACCCTAGCTGTAACCAAGGTTTTGAGCCAAACTGTTACCTTATTTTGGCCCTAGCTGTGACCTTATTTTGGCTCTAGCTATGACCTTATTTTTGCTCTATCTGTGACCTTATTTTGGCTCTTTCTTGGACCTTATTTTGGCTCTTGCTGTGACCTTATTTCGACCCTAGCTGTGACCTTATTTTGGTTCTAGCTGTGACCTTATTTTAGCTCTAGCTGTGACCTTATTTTGGCTCTGGCTTTGACCTTATTTTGGTTCTAGCTGTGACCTTATTTTGGCTCTAGCTGTGACCTTATTTTGGCTCTAGCTGTGACCTTATTTTCGCCCTAGCTGTTGCCTCATATTTTTTTTCCTAGCTGTGACCTTATTTTAGCTCTAGCTGTGACCTTATTTTGATCCTAGTTGTGACGTTATTTTGGCTGACCGTGTTATATCTTCTGTTTTCTTAAGACCGGAGTAGATATCCGTAAGTTCGTGAAGATTGGAAGACCTGGATACAGGGTAACCAAACAGAGGGATCCAGAGAACGGTCAGCAATCTCTTCTCTTTGAGGTAAAAATAAACTAGAAATCAGTCTTATTTAATTGATATAATTGATTAATATGTAATTTCAAGTGATGCTCCAATTTTATATTTACATCAGGACTCATTAAAAGGATGACAGAGAAAACTTGGTTCTTCTATTTGAAAATTGTTTTAAGATTTGTGGGTCTCTGTTTGAGCTGGAGATATATTCTAATATATTATATAAAAGGTTAAGCTGGAGATATATTCTAATATATTATATTAAAGTTTAAGCTGGAGATATATTCTAATATATTATATAAAAGGTTGAGCTGGAGATATATTCTAATATATTATATAAAAGNTCCTGTATCCTGTATCATGTACCCTGTATCATGTATCCAGTATCCAGTATCATGCACCTAGTATCATGTACCCAGTATTTAGTTTGTATATATGTATGAAGCCAATTTTTTACAGATTGATTCTTGCTGAAGAAGTTTAAACCCTCTTACATGAACTGAACACAAAAGACAATGAATGAAAAATTGAATTTTAATGTGTTTTTTTCAAAAATGGGATTTTTTTTCGAAAATTGTGCTGATTGTACAGATTTTTTTAAAAAATGTACGGATTTTTAAAAAAAATGTACGGATTGATTTAAAAAAATGTACGGATTGTACGGATTTTTTAAAAAAAATTGTACGGATTGTTTTTCGAAAATTGTACGGATTGTACGGATTTCTTCTGAAAATGTACGGATTTTTTTACGGATGTGTTCAAAAAAGTTTTGGCCACCCTGTAATTATAATTCATCCGCTGTTATATTTATATAATTGTTTGGATTAAACCTCTAGACAGAAAATGCCAATATCTTTTGTTATATATAGATAATTGTTTAGATTAAACCTCTAGACAGAAATGGCAATATCTTTTGTTATATTTAGATAATTGTTAAGATTAAACCTATAGACAGAAAATGGCAATATATTTTGTTATATTCAGCGTTTCGGATCCGGATCCGGTCGGATCCGTATCAGGAAACGTTGATATGGATCCGGGTAGCGCCAAAAATTAACCAAAACCATGGAATAAATAAATCAAAATGGTTCGTAAATGTATTGTTTACATGACGAAAAATTTTCAAAATTATCTTTAGTAATTTAATTTTTACATTTATACAATAGTAATGACGACATTTTTAACTTTAGGATTACTATAGTTTATAAATTATAACCTTGCATAACATTTAATAGGGAAAATCCGATTCACAGAATCAAAAGTTACCTCGGATCCGTATCCGGATCCGGATCCGTATCAGAGTCAGGATCCGGATCCATCATCACGGATGCGGATCCATCATCACGGATGCGGATCCGCAGATCCGGATCCGGATCCGCATCAAAATGATACGGATCCGAAACACTGGTTATATTTATATAATTGTTTTGATTAAACCTCTAGACAGAAAATGGCAATATCTTTTGTTATATACAGATAATTGTTTAAATGAAACCTTTAGACAGAAAATGGCAATATCTTTTGTTATATTTATATAATTGTTTTGATTAAACCTATAGACAGAAAATGGCAATATTTCATGTAATAATAATTATATAATTGTTCAGGTTGAACCCCCAGACAGAAAATGGCAATATCTTCTGTTCGCTGCTGAACCTTACGAAACCATCTCCTTCAAGGTAAATCAACTTTACTTCCAGAGGAACCTATCCGATTTGAAACCCAACTGACTCGTAACCTAACGTGCTTAGCCTAACTGACCTGCAACCTAACTGACTTGTAACCTAATTGAATTTTAACCTTATTGACTTGTAACCTAAATGACTTGAAATAACTTAACAACTTGTAATAATAACTTGTAAAGTAACTGACTTTGTAACATAACTGACTTTTAACCTAACTGACTTGTAACCTAACTGAACTGTAATCTAACTGACTTGTAACCTAATTGACTTTTAATCTAAATGACAGGTAACCTAACTGACTTGTAGCTTAGCTGACTTGTAACCAAACTGACTTGTAACCGAACGGACTTGTAGTCTAACTGACTTGTAACCTAATTGACAGGTAATCTAATGAATTATGGCGTAAACATTTTGCCAATTAAATTACATCAGAATTTAATGATTTGACAACCGAACGACTTGTAACTCTTAAAGAATTCACAAAAGAATTACTCTAAATGAATAATTTGACTTAAATAAATTTAATTTATAATTCCAGGTTCCGTCTCGGGAGGTGGATAAATCTGAAGGCAGATTCTGGTCTCATTGGAACAAGGAATTAATCAATTCTATCAATTAATAACTTAATAACTTTGCGGACTTTGCAGCATTTCTTTCTAAAATGAGTAAAAAGGAGAAAGTTTTTTCGGATCACCCTCGCTTTCTATCTCCACGGTGATTTTCAAAGTTAACTTAAAATTGTTGGATTAAATATTAGGATAATCGATCAAATATTAAATTTGATTGAATTTGTTCAGGAGACGAAGGAGTTCTTCCTGCAGTTTAGTTTCAAGCTGATAGATCCAGCCAAGAATGTGCGTCCCCCTCCTCCTGCTCTTATCCCACCTCCGAACCGTCCTAATGTTCCTCCTCCGAACCTTCCGCCCCCACCCATGCCGCCAGGCACAGGGGTCCCGCCTCCACCCCCTAATTTTAACAGGATGGGGGGTGCCGGACGGGGAATGCCCCCTCCACCACCAAACTTCAGAGCGTAGAAGCGAAGGGGCATTTGTGTTGTGTTCATTTTGTGTCATCTGTTCAATCTTATTTACACAGTTTCAGAATAAAGTAAAATAAAAATCAAACTCATTTTTTCATTTTTCAGAGGCGCTTTGCGCCAAAAAAGGAGTTAAAATCACTCCAGGACAGAAGGTAATTGTTAAATAAAGCAAACACCATATTAATCCACATTAAAAATGGCATCAAAATAAATAATTAAACTTAGTTTTGGTAGATTTAAATTTAACAGTTATGACGTAAACAAGATTACAATTAGGATAGGGATAATAGAGCACTGGTACTTTGGATCCATTTCTTTTTGATCCGGATCCGAATTCGGATCCTGGATCTGCTCTGATAAATTAAAAATTAATCCGGATCGAGGCCATCAATATTTCATTAAGATTTACAGATTTTTTTTATTAATTTCCTCTTTTGCTTATTTTTATGCCAAAACTTGATTAACCATTTATTGAGATAAGTGTTTAAACGCAAATAGTTTTTTTTAACAGGTTTTGGTTGTTATTTTAACCTTTGGATCTGGATTGCGGATCCAGATCCAGGAAGCCAAAATGACGCGGATCCTAAGCTCTGAAAACGTTTGAACGTTGAAAAGTATTGAACTTTTTCGGGTTTATTCTTTTTTAAGTTTGCTGTGCTTGCCATGATTTAGATTTTTCAGCAAAATTTTTCTCATATTTGTTTTTAGTTCCAATCTTCAAGAACTGGAGTTCTGCGTCACTTCTCCCAATTAACCATTTCCTTGCAATGATAGATAATGAAATAATAATTAAAACACAAGTCGACATATCAAATGTATTTCGTTGCAATAATAGATAATAAAATCATAATAAAAACACAAGCCGACATATCAAATATATTTCCTTGCTATGATAGATAATGAAATCATAATAAAAACACAAGCCGACATATCAAATGTATTTCCTTTCTATGCTAGTTAATGAAATCATAATAAAAACATAAGCCGACATATCAAATGTATTTCCTTCCAATGATAGATAATGAAATAATAATTGAAACACAAGCCGACATATCAAATGTATTTCCTTCCAATGATAGATTTTTAAAATAACTTGATCTGGAATAAAAATTTCCTTTTTCTGATAATTTACAATTTCCTTACCTTGAAAGGTATTCGAGTGAGTTAAAAGAGTCGGGATTTTGAAAAGTATTGATGAACGAAACTGCATTGTTAAGAGACGTGTTGACTTTTTCGGGGTTTGATTTAAGAAACTTAAAAGTTGTGTTTTTTAGGAATTTCTAGTTCAGAAAAATTTATAACCTAGTTTGAATCTTTGTTTAAATTTTTATGTTCAGTATACTTCTCGAATTTAACAAGCATGAGAGAGAATTAAATTAATGAAAGGTTTAAAATCAAAATTCAAGTATTTAGAATTTTAAAATTAATAGTTTCTGATTTGCAGGATAATTAACTGATAATTAACAGCTTGAAGAATGCAGGTTTAAAACATGTTAATTTCTGAAAATATTTTTTTTTTATATGGGAAAAAAATATTTTCTATTTTTTGTTTTGTCTACTAACCCTTATTAACCTACTATGCATGGAATGGATATCATATTTTTTTAGAATTTTAATAATTAACCTATATTTTTTATAAAAATCCCTCTTTTATTACCAAGAAAATGCACAATGAAGAGAGAGTAAACTTAAATCTTATGTGTCCCACATTGTATCAGATCATTAATGGCTCTAAATTACGATTTTGTTGAATATACAGAAAAATTCAGAAGAATTGGACCATTTCGCAGAAAATACTAGATTCTCAAGTATTTATTGCGTATTTTGTCGTTAATCCAACATGATGTGGAACGCTTTGAAATTTTTTAGGGACCATGTTAAAAATATTCTTTTAGAGAAATACGAGAAATAAGATTATATGTTTTTTCTACTAACCAACTAACAAAAATAGAACCCCAAATAGCATAAAATATTTTAGCATGATCGGTGTTGTTATAATTTGATCTCCACCTTAATTAACGAACTAATTCCATTACTCGATATCCCGTTGTGGGAATTCACTGGAGAGAAAATTGTAATTGAGGGATTAGAGGGATCAAAAATATATCTTCAAATTTAAAAGTGCTAACATTGGATATCAATATCAAACTTATAAATACAAAAGTTGAGATCTCACATTTCATAATTGTTAGACTTTAATATTTTTTTGTAGTACGCTATATTTAATTTTTATTCATGCAAATATTTTCTAGATCTGCGGTCTAGGGGTTTCATATTGGGTCCCCTATTCAGATCTCAAGTGTTTTTTTTTTATTTTATGTCTTAGTATTAGAGCATACAATTTTGAGATATGTTAATGACTGCGCAGATATAGAAGCCGAACAACCTTAAACGATTAATAGATCCCCTTCCCTCATTTCGCCCAACCTTACATATACTAATGGTGACAGCACCGAATGTATTTTACTCTAAAGACCAATCCTGATATTTTTAGCATTTTAACGATGAAACGAAGTCAAAACGCACTAACTTCCCTTCAAAAGTTTGTTTAATGATGTCATATGCGGACTTGGAAGAGAAATTATTGCAGTACGCCGTCCCTCCCTTATGTAGCATGATAACATTATCTAATTTACGAGAACGTCTTTTTGGTTAAAGATTAAAGTTTTTTTCGATTCAATCAATTTTAAACGATTGTATAAATTTTGCTCTTTTCAATTATTTTATGATTGATAATGTTTTTTTTTCTTAATTTAGAATTCTAAAGGAGGGGGAGAGGATGGCTCGGGTGGGAGTTCCCCTAGATCTACCAGAGGTTCTCCGCCCACTGACAGGGGTGCCACGCCCACTAATACTAGACTTGATAATCAACGGAGTACAGGTATGTGAATGAAATTTAAAATAAATTTTTTTTGTCTGAAGCACCAAGTTGTTTGCATTTAAAATAAAATGAGAATATTAAAATTTTAATTAATTTATAATTTTACAGATTTTCAAGACAGTGGACGTAGTAATGGTCATCAGGAAAATGGCCCAGGACCTCCTTTACAATTACCGCCGGATCCCGGAAATTCTAATAGCAGAGAAATTCACGAAAATCAAGGAAATCAAGAAAATCAAGAAAATCATGAAAATCAAGATGCTCAAGAAACTCAAGAAACTCGAGAAAATCAAGAAAATCAAGAAAATCAAGAAAATCAAGTAAATCAAGAAAATCAAGAAAATCAAGATAATCAAGAAAATCAAGAAAATCAAGAAAGTCAAGAAAATCAAGAAAGTCAAGAAAATCAAGAAAATCAAGAAAACCAAGAAAATCAAGATAATCAAGATAATCAAGAAAGTCTAGAGAATCAAGTAAAATTAGACAATCATCAAAAGTCCGGGTCTCAAAATACTCAAAGAAATAGATTTGATCCAGATTTTCAGTTTGAAGAAGACCAGAGCGTTGTGTCTGCCCAGATCGTTCCTCCAAAAGAAGGCGCCATTTTTAGACAAGATGCTGCAGTTCTGGAGCAAAATGTCAAAGATTTGAATCAAGATGGCGACGTTTTCAATCAAGATGGAGTCTCTTTGGAACAAGAATGTGGTGAAAGTGATCCACAGTCGCCAAACGATATTACAACTACTTATAACTCTAAACCAGAATCCCCAGAATTACAGGACTTTAAGAATCTCAAGATTAGTAATGTATCTACACCTGTACACTCCATCAAGGATATTCCTGATATTAGCAAAAGAGATTTATCCAACGATACTAATCTCTCTCAAGATATTAATGACATAAACCCACGTGAAATATCCAGTAGTGCACCAAATCCAACCGTATTTCTGGAACCGCAACGCAATCTACTGCAACCAATTCATGATAGAACAATATATGGGGATATGAGCGAGTATTCAGATTCGTCCCAACTGGATCCTAATGTGACAGTGTTTGATGAGAACAAGGATATAGGAAGACAATACAATAGATCAGTTTCGGAGCCACCTGTGCGACCAACACTCCTTGAAGGTAACCAAGAAATGTCCACCAAGGAGGAGGGGGACTCCATGCATAAGTAATCTTAGATTTTGAACATAGGTTTACCTGTAGCTTGTAAATCGGCTTATTAAGTAAAATGGGTCTGACACTGTGGACACTACAGCACTATATTCCTGTTCGTGTTTCATGTTTGATGGACTATAAAAAAAAACTTGAGTCTTAACAGTCGTACTTCTTTTCCACGGTTTTCTGGGTCTCCCGGGTATAGAAAGGGATTTGGTTAAAGGGATCGATCGAGAAAACCATGAAAATGTCTGATTTTTTCTTGCATTTTTCTAAAACTTTATGTTTTAAAGTTTATTTTATAGGATTGGTAATTGGCCAGCCATGTGAACCGGAAGTCGGAATTGTCAGACCGGAAGTTGTCGAGGAGAAACATGGGGGAGGGGAAGAGAAAGACAGATTGGGTCCCTTGCTCGGGTCTAATCAGAGCTTGGCTAGTCAGGATTCCAGGCACAGCAATCCCCTCATCAAATTGCACAAACCCAGTCTCCACCATCGCCTTTAAAAAATAATTGACCGTTTTTCTGTTAGAATGAGTCCGAATCTGCTTAGAGCTCCAATGGTCAGGTATTTTTTTATTTTAGAGTAATTGTTTAAGCAATTTATGATGATGATAAAGTTTCTTAAAAGGTTGACTTCAAAAGTAGAATAAATCTATCCAAAATTACTTTCCGGAAAAGACAAAAAGAAAGTCGTCTTCTTTCCATTTTTAGAACAAAAACGTTGTGAAGGATTTTGCAATTTGTAACTGTTATCAATTGTAAAAAAGAGCGAAGAGGCCGAATTTAAAGAATTTGAGCCGCGGCTTAAATTTGAGACGTGGCTCAAATATGGTTGGTTCCACTTAAAATTGTATTCAATGTTTCAAGATTTATGCCGGCGCTCAATTGAAACAGGTTATTGGCTTTCAGATTTAACCTCCTATTTCATCCTGTTTTATTTGAACAAATAATAAAATAAAGTTAAGTAGCACATTTTAAAAAAATTGAAGTTTTCTGATTTTTGTGATGTTTTAAGAGGAGGGAGGCAGAGTACAGAGAGTTTGCAAGGCTCTGGAGCATCACCGAACCTTGGGAAGTTCGGCTCCACAGAGTTCATATTCTCCGTAAACAAACACAAGAAGGTTGATCTTGGAAACTTTAAAAGGTTTAACATTTTTTTCCCATTCGCATCTATCTGTCTGTCTATCTTGTCCTTCTATCTATCTATCTACCTTGTCAATCTATCTATTTATTTATCTTGTCCATCTATCTATCTATCCATCTTGTCCATCCATCTATCTTGTCCATCTATCTGTCTATTTTGCCCATCTATCTATCTATCTTGTCCATTTATCTATTTATCTTGTCCATCTATCTATCTATTTTGTCCATCTATCTATCTATTTGTCCATCTCTATCTATCTATTTTATTCTGTATTAGATTATCCCAAGGAGATGAGCTTGAAACTGGAGATTCCAACGTGTTGAGAAAAGCAGCTTCATTGGCACAGGTTGACCAGGGGATAAGGAGTCCTAGTCAGGGATATGTGTACTATCATAATTAACACTAACTAGCTAAAGTGCCCGGTGTTTCCCGTGAAATTTTAATAAAATCAAAGTTTAAAAAATAAAAATTCGATTTTTGACAAACAGATCAGCCAATTTTGTCCAGCTGTTTCGCCAGCTATAGCTAACATATATACATCTATACATATAATTATATATTATATATGAGCATAGAGCTTTATTATAACTATTTTTAATGTGTATTGTTTACTGCTGTTTGATTTCCACACTTTTGTGACTACAATTAACAAATGTTAATGAGGGAGAGCTCTTGAGCAGTAAGGTTAAGATACCGCTCTATTGGAAAAGTATTGTATTGTCATTGATTCTTCACCAAGCTCTTTCTACCAGTATTACAGAGTTCATATCTCTCCCGGCGGCATTGTTAGAAAACTAGATGAGGGACAGCTCATGAGCAGTAAGGTTAAGTTACTGCTCTATTGGAAAAGTATTGTATTGTCTTTGATTCTTCACCAAGCTCTTTCTACCAGTATTACAGTGTTCATATCTCTCCCGGCGGCATTGTTAGAAAACTAAAGTTGGTAATTGTCATGAGGAAATTTAGCGCATTTATAGAAAAAAAAGTTAGTTTTATATCTTTGTAAAAGTTAGAAAGTTATGGCAAGTGCAACTTACGGCAAGTGTTACTTATGGCAAAAGTATTTATGGGGAGTGTAATTATGGCAAATCTATCTATGTCAAAAGTAACTGTTCGCTGTGTACTACTTCACATGAGTTTAGTCAAGAATTGCTATCCCTTTCTTCTTATTATCAAAACGAAGAAAAAAAATGAACAATGAAAAACTAAATTACACGAAATTTTTATATCCATCCTGTTGCTCCTCTAAACCCAGTGTCCCTCGACTGCCATTGAAATACTGTTATTAAGATATTGAATCAATATTCTCACACTTGTAGAATAGATATGATATTATCTATCTGTTCAGTTGTTAGTAAACAAAAGAGTAAACAGTACATCATAGTAAACCTTACATTATTGAGTACATTACTTTGAACATAATAGCTATACTACACTACACTAAACTACACTACACTAAACTACACTACACTACACTACACTGCACTGCACTACACTACACTACACTACACTACACTACACTACACTACACTACACTACACTACACTACACTACACTACACTACACTACACTACACTACACTACACTACACTACACTACACTACACTACACTACACTACACTACACTACACTACACTACACTACACTACACTACACTACACTACACTACACTACACTACACTACACTACACTACACTACACTACACTACACTACACTACACTACAGAATAAATAACAGTACACATGTAGAAGCAGGGAAAAGATCGAACCATCTCTCTCTCGGAGAAGGAAAGAAAGTTTTCCCTCCCAGAGAAGGAACGGATATTGGAGGAGAGGAAGGGGAGCCTGGAGAAGGAGAGAAGGATGGATGAGGAGAAGGTGGAGGGAAGGAGGTTGGTTTCCTCCTTCAACTCCTTGATCAATGAGGATAATTGTCTCAGATTGGCGCTCACTAGTCAGGTAAAAAGGTGACTACAGGGAAAGAGAAAATATGATATTTGTTTTAGAAAATGTTGATAATAGTTTTATTATTTTAGGATTTCAACTACATTTCTGTTAAATTTATCGATCATCTTCTTACCATTGGTGTGCTTCACTCGTTACAAAACTTTACTCACTTTAAGGTTAGTTTTTATCATTCCTGTTCAACTCCCCCCTTACCTTGCTCCCTAACATGACCCCTACGTCTACAATTACCATACCCACTCCCTTTCCTAGGTTCACACTTCTTATTATAAAATGTTTGTTTTCAATACAAATCGTAAAAAAGTTATATTTCATTTTTATGTCATAATTTTGTTCTCCTAAGCATTTCTTTGTAATCCTCTCCTTGCGAGATAAGGCCTAAGAATGCATACACAACGTCAGTAAACTACTACAAACTACTTAAAGTAATAACTGATACTAGAACTGTATAGGTTTAGTTAACAACTATCAATATATACAGTAAACTACTAAAAATACTGATAACTGATACTAGAACTACTAGGTTTAGTTAATAACTATCAATATATACAGTAAACTACTAAAAATACTGATAACTGATACTAGAACTACTAGGTTTAGTTAATAACTATCAATATATACAGTAAACTACTACAAATACTGATAACTGAATTAAATAATTTACTGTTCTTAATCGCGCTGATTTAAAAGTTTTAAATGAGAGTCAATTGAAAGTACGCCGACATCTCCTTTAAACGATAAATCTGTTGTCTTCTGTGTGAGAGTTAGATATGTTTAATGTTCCAAGTTTATGGTTTGAAACCTGATCTTGCATCAGGAACAAACAGATTTCAAAGATTAATGTTTGAGTTCAGTCCCGTCAAGTTCATTCCTCGAATTTATTTTAGCCAAGAGAAAATCTAATTTAAGTTGTTGAAAAGTGACTTCTTGTTGGCAGAACATGGAATTAAATCTTTTCAGTGTTTAAAAGTTGGGCCCAGGTACTGAAAATAGTAAAAAAAAATAAAAACTGCCCTGGGTTCAAACTGGGAAACTTGATAAATTGCGTTTTTATGATGTAGATTACTGAATAATGTGAATAAAATTATACTGAACTAAAAATTAATTTTTGTACGCCTTAAGACCACCTTCCAATGCTGATTTAGTGTAGTCTCTTTAGTTTTGGAAATGGTGGAAAGCAGGGGCGTGGAGGTTTAGCCTAGGGGTGTGAACTTTTCGCGCGCGTAAGCGCGCCAAAATTTGATTTTTTGTGCACCCCCATAACGGTTGGTGTGCAACCCCCAAAAAAACCGTATTAAGAAAAACAATTTAAGTTTAAAATCTATATTAATCTACCTGACTATTAGAAATCTGATCGTAATTACCAATCATAACACTTTAAAATCTAGTAGTGAAAGAGCAAAAAACTTTGAAAACATATATTTTATTTTTTTTTGAGTATATCATATATCATAAATCATATTATGACAAGATTACACTGGAGACAGGTTTTTTGTAAGTTTTTTAACGGTACCTTTGTACCGCTTTGTGAGAGAAAAGATAACCAAAACATTTTTGATAAAAATGTTCTCAAAGTTCCCTGTATAAATATTCCCTAACCAATAAATAGGTCCGGCGGGTGATGTTTGCATCTACATTATCCATATTGATGAAAATTGTTCAATCCATATTAAAAAATTAAATAAATTTGGTAACAAGTTATGGAAACATGCAGCTGTTTTGAACCATTAAAAAACGGGTAACAATAGCATTTCATTCCAATGATATGGCCTTAGAATTAACAAAAATATTTAAAGCTTTAATAATACTGCCTCTTAATTCCAGAACTCTTGGTTTGTTTGCAACAAATATCTTTAATATTTCCTTATTCGAAACCTGGTCCAGGATGTCGTAGAGCATATGCATCCTGGGCAGGTTACATAGCATCCCGCTCCCAATTGAGAGACTGAACTAGATTTTAAATAAATATTGTAAATAAGATGTAAGAAAGAATTATTATAAATTGGACAAATTGTGACATTGTCAAATGCCAATTGATAAAAAAAAATCTGAATATATATGTAAGTTCAATATGTTAGAGCCTGCCTGCATGTCTACGGGGTCTACAGGGGTGCCGGCCCCCCTAACGCCCCTGGTGGAAAGGGAGTCCCTCTGATTTTAGTTTAAAAGGACACCAAGGGGGCTTAATGCTGCGGCAACTCTAATCTAAACATGGATGATTTAAATTAAAAATATTTTACTTAAGATTAAAATTGCATAATGATGCACACTAGAATAATAGTTGGGCGTCTAGAATTCCTGACAAAAAAAAACTTCAAAATTTACTTAAATTCCCTAATTCAGCGAGAAAAAAAAACCTAAAGAAAGTCTTCTGCTGTAAAAAATTATTCACTATAGAGGGGGGGTGGGCAGACAAATATACACCCCTGGAGAAAGTTACCAAATTCTTAAAGAAAATCATCTGAACAGTTTTTTTTTTTTTTTATCAGGAAGAGGGAGTATACTGTTGGAATAAAGGTAATCCTAAAAAGGGAGGATGGAGATCCAGCTTAGGACAAGAATCTGAGGAAATAACAAGGTGAGAGTTCTTTGACCGAGTTATAGTTCTTAAAAAAAAGAAATTGACCTCAACTGGAAACTCTTGTGTTGGATAACCTTACTCCTGTTCGCTTAATCACAATATCCACGTTGGACACTTTTGATTTTCTGCTTATTTCTCTCTTTTGATCCCTGCTGGGTTTCCGACCAATGAGAGTTCTCAATTATTGTGCACAAAATTGTCCAGCTTCCGATTGATTTGTTTGTTTTCTGCAAACAACACTCTGATTGGTTGAACTTTAGACACTTTCCTGGTTATCAAATAAAGATTAAATTAACCCGGACAGATTATCAAAAAGAGTAGATGTTATCCACAATACATGATTTTCCAGATCTGAAAACTTATAAGTGTTAAGAAGATATCTTTGGTTTTTGTGGCTCCTTTTAAAAAAGCCGAAAACCATGTAAAAATTATATATCTCTTTAAACTAAGGTCTGGAGCTAAATATACAGAAGCAGAACATCAACAAGCTCTGATGGGTCTGAAAAGAGAAAATAGGTGAAATTTTTATGATTTTACTGTAAAATAAGGAAAAGCAGTTACTGATAACAATTTAAAAAATACGCTAGCCAGAAAATTAAAAATATTTTTTTCAGAGAAAGTCTTGAACAAATGAGGAAAGAACAAGATGAAGCAATTTTCAAGGTATTTTTTTTTCTTTTTCTGAATTATTTACCGCCAAAAATTAAATAGATCTAATTTTAAACTGACTTGAATATTTTCAGACTCTTGATCAAGTTAAAAGAATTCTCTCAGTAAGTTGCATCCATAAACATGATTCATAACAAAAAAATAAAAATTTGACTAATGGGAGAAATCAAATAATCAACACAAAACATTGGATTACACTATCTAAAAACTAGACATATACCCAAGCCAAGCAATAATCTTACTGCTTAAAGGGACAGTAAAGGAAAAATGAAAGGGGGTATAGGCTGAAAGCTAATCACTTTAGCTCTTGATCGCGACCCATGAAAGTCATATCTGATGTTCCTGTCTCGAGAAATTGATATAAAACTGTGTCAAATACATACGAAAATTAATATATATACAATTTTGTATAAAAGTAGTAGGTTTAAACAGATCATATTCAGCAAATAAACAACCAATCTGAAAACGATGATATCCCAGAGGAAGCTAATTGTAAATTAGGTTTACTTTTATATTTGTTATTTCTATTTTCAATAGATTTCATTCATAATATTATTTTTACGTCCGTATTACTTGACCAGAAATTCCATCAATGGCAGTGCAGTAAAGTGGTCACGTGATACAGGCGGAGACACGTGACCAGTATACTGCTCTGCCATTGGTGATAGTTCTGGTCACGTGATTTAAGTTTCAGATTTTCAAAATTTTACATATATGAATTTTCGTATAATTTTAACATAGTTTTATATCAGTTTCTCGAGACAGGAACATCAGATAAAACTTTCATGGGTAGAGATCAAGAGCTAAAGTGATTAGCTTTCAGCCTATACCCCCTTTCATTTTCCCTTTTCTGTCCCTTTAAGTAAGTTTTAAGAAATAAATACTTCTATCAAAAAATCTGTAGAATTTTTAGATTCATGAAATGTGATTAAATGCTGTTAAATGTATAAACGACACATTTTCAATCTTTCGGCCCTCAGAGTTAAGCTGTATTTCAAAAACTGGGTGTTATGTTTAGGTGCAAATATGTGAACACTCCCTTTAATATCAATGAATGTACTTTGTCTGTAGGTTGATCGTTAATAATAATAATAATAATGTATATTGTATATAGTGCATGACTTGGGTCTTAACTCATTTCACCACAAATTATTAACATCTGAGAGAAATGTAATAGTAAACCCATTATTGCATCAAGAATCAAGATACCATTCCACAGATTACAAATGAGATTTATAATATAAACTCTGTTGCAAGCTTTCAACGAAGGTTTAACGATTTTTTTAAATCTCGCTCCCCCGCCCCCCCCCCTCAAAAAGGTTTTTAAAAAACTTTTTCTTAAAATACTTTTTAGTATCGTCTAATGTTTTTTGATAAATTTATTTTTCTTAATTTATTTCAAATTCACTATGTATTCTAATATTATACTAACCGGTGTAAATAGAAAACGACTACCCTGTTCTTTATTAGAAAAACAGTTACGATAAGTTTGTGAAAAGCTGTCTGGGCATTAGAACTTTGAGGTCTATCTAGAAATGATTTTCGAGCTCAATTTCTTTTAATCTCCCACAAAAAGTAATTAAACACAGAACAGAAATCAGGAACTTGAAGGAAGTGTTCGCTTAATTTAAACCTGAACTTTAACCGTGAGGTTAAATATTTAACCCTGTGGTTAAATATTTAACTCAAAACTTGTTCTAAAAAGAACAGAGGCTAAAACTATTGGCTGGAAATGGCTTAGCTAAATTGAAAGAACTCTTTAGTCTGTATTCATACAATAAACTTTTAAACTAAAGAATTTAAGGTTAATCACAGGGATACATTGTCAAAGGAAATCCACTAAGAAATGATTTAATTTAGTTTTAATTTTAAGGTAAGAGGTGAGCAAGCAGAAAGCATGGTTTACTACATGGAGAAAATTCAAGAGCTTGAAACAGAGATTGGTAGGCTTAGAAGTCTCAGGTCATCTGATAAACTTGACAAGAAGGATAGTTTAGCTAAAGAAACTGACAAGGATGTAAAGAAGGACACTAAGCCACCTCTTACAAACTCTGCTGGTAAAGTAAAGGAACTTGTCAGTAGAGAGAAGGAAGATTTGGATGAGATCATTCTGACTAAGACAAGGCTTGAGAAGGGAATTCAAGTTGATCTAGATGAGAGGCCTCCTCCCCCTAGTCCTGTGAAAACTGTAAGTAAGGGAATTCAGGTTTCTCTTGAGAGCCCTGCAACTCCTCCCTTTGCCACACCCATGGAGGAGAACAGATCTATTGTTTCTCCTGGTAAAAGTCCTCCTGCATATAGAAACCCTCCACCCCCTCCTCCACCTATGCCTGGAATGTCCGCACCACCACCACCTCCACCTATGCCAGGAATGCCATCACCACCACCACCTCCACCTATGCCAGGAATGCCAGCACCACCACCTCCAATGCAAGGAATGGCTGGCCCGCCTCCTCCACCACCTATGCCTGGTATGGTAGGGCCACCCCCTCCTCCACTGATGCCAGGAATGGCTGGTCCTCCCCCTCCCCCGCCAATGCCAGGGATGGGGGGACCACCTCCCCCTCCTCCGATGCCTGGCATGGGAGGACCACCCCCTCCTCCAATGCCTGGTATGGGAGGACCACCTTCACCCCCTCCCTTTCCTGGAATTGGTGGGCCACCACCTCCTCCTATGATGCCTGGAATGGGGGGGCCACCACCTCCTCCTATGATGCCTGGAATGGGGGGGCCACCACCACCACCTATGATGCCGGGAATGGGTGGACCCCCACCTCCTCCAATGTTTGGAATGGGCCCACCTGTTCCAGTTAAAGTGGGACCAAGGAAGCCAGAGATAAAGCCGAAATCCCAGATGAAACCTTTGTACTGGACTAGAATCCAGATGACAGCAAATCAGTATCCTGCCCCTTCAACACCAAACACAAAGATATTATGGGAAGAATTGAAAGAAGTTGAGATGGAAATGGAAGATTTTGATGATTTGTTCTCTAAAGCAACAGTGAAACCTAGAGAAAAGAAGGAAACGATCGTTGAAGAAAAACCAAGTAAGGCAAAGCCTAAAACTATGCTGGATTCTAAAAGAACCCAGAATCTAGGAATTCTTATCAAATCGAAAGGTCTGGAGATAAGTCAGATTGAAGATGCTGTTTACAATTGTGAGTCTAATATACCTCTTGATGTTCTGGAGGCTATCAAGGAAGCTCAGGGAACTAAAGAGGAGTTAGAGGCTATTAAAGGCTATCTTGAGTCGGGAGACGAAGCTCCTCTAGGTAAACAACAGTTTTAATCAATTTCGTATTTAGGACAAAACGCCATCTGATTATTTTATCTAATTTAGATAAACCTGATAGGTTTTTACTGGATCTAGATGGAATATCTTTCTTTGCAGATCGACTGACTTGTCTCACCTTTCAATCTAAATTTGTTGACAGGTATTATTAACTAACAGTGCTGAGGAGCCGAATTCTCTAGTTTGCCTCACAAAATTTCAAAAAATCCTCTGTTTAATTTGAATAAATGTCTGATTCACAATAATACCCTTTAAACCTCTATCTTATTAGCAGTGAGGAATAAAGCACCGTTTTTAATCTAAAAATGTGTCAAATTCTGACAATTTTCTTCATGTTTTCTGCATTTAAGAGAATATTATCAATATTTTAGCAACAAATTGGATATCTTATTCATCCTTAATCAAATAGAGGTTTTAAAGGTTTTGTTACGAATCGATCATGTAAGTTTAAAATTGGAGGTTCACAAGAATTTTTCTAAGTTTTCATTATTGAATATCTGCATTGTACAAACAATTAGTTTATTTCAGTATATCTGATATAGAGAACCGCCTGAATAATATCAAGTCAGTCTGTGAATTAGTTTATTTCAGTATATCTGATATAGAGAACCGCCTGAATAATATCAAGTCAGTCTGTGAATTAGTTTATTTCAGTATATCTGATATAGAGAACCGCCTGAATAATATCAAGTCAGTCTGTGAATTAGTTTATTTCAGTATATCTGATCTAGAGAACCGCCTGAATAATATCAAGTCAGTCGGTGAATTAGTTTATTTCAGTATATCTGATATAGAGAACCGCCTGAATAATATCAAGTCAGTCTGTGAATTAGTTTATTTCAGTATATCTGATATAGAGAACCGCCTGAATAATATCAAGTCAGTCTGTGAATTTCTGATGCATAATGAATATTTGCAGCAAATGCTTGGAGGTAATTTTTGCGCTTTTTATCTTTTTTGAAAAATAAGTAAAAAAGTATTTATATTTAAAATACGGTACTTTTAATTAATTTAGGGGGGACGGAAAATTGCATGGGGGGTGGGGTAAACTGATGTAGAAATAGAAGTATTATAAACTGTTGCAGTGCCTTCTTCCACTCTTAGTTATTCAATCTAAATATTTTAGTTATTCTTGCTTGTGGAAACTATTTAAATGGCGGCAATAAGCAGAGAGGTCAGGCGGATGGTTTTAACATTGATATTCTTCCAAAACTCAAGGAATTGACTCATGTTTGAAAATATTATTCTCAAAGTGATCAGCACGTGATGACTAGCAATTTATGATAAGAACGTGATTATCAGAACGTTATTGTATTACCTGTAACAAGCAAAGCATTTTTGTTTCTGTTAAGTTTAGAGTTAAGCTGGTTTTACTCCCATATGGAGGGGGGGCCGGTGGGGGGCTTTCTGATTAAATCTTTTAATTCTTAATTCTTAGTTACTGTTTGAAAAAACATGATACTTTTCTTCATGTTATCGATTAATTTTAAAGAGAATGTCGACGAGTTTTAACTTTCTGTGCAGTTTTAATGATTTAAATCAACTACATCTACTCAACAAACATAGTCCATTTTAAGATCTAATAGAATTTTAGGTCGGAAAACCCATATGTCGGATGAGTTCATACACTTTTAAGTTGTTGGAGAGACAAAAACACTTCAAGCAACGAAAAGACCAGCAAACTATTTATATATTTAGTGCTTTGTTATATCAAAGATTGGATTCATCATTGAAAGATTTTGCATTTACAAATGTCGTCATTTCCTTGAAAACACGTGGTAAATAAGTGTTCCAAACCCAAAGAACAATAACTAATAAGTAAATGTGAAGTTGATCGCTTGACTAGGATCTGAAGAGTAAAGATAACTCCACCAATCTTCTAGCCTACATCATACAGACCTGTATATCTAGGTTTGATGAGAAGAAAGGAACACCAGAGGTAAATATGATTAAAGCGACTGCTGTGATAATTTTAAGAGGGGCATGTCCGATTCACTACAGCACCAAATTATCCATTATCTGACCAGTAATGAAAACCATTTTCTAGCTTTAAAAGTGTTAAATTCTGCCAATTTTCTACATTGAATCTGCAGCAACGGGAAGTCCATATTGTAGAGAAACCACAATTAAACATAACTAACTTTCATAGTGAAAATCATGTATATCTCCGTTTTGCTAGTCACTTAAAATCAAAATTAATTTAACTTTTGTATAGGCTATTTTACCAGTTCCTGAGCCCAGTGATGTAGAAAAATGTATCCATATAGATTTTGAAGCTCAAAGGGCAGAGACGGAAAAAATTAGGTTTTGCATTTATTTTCAATTAATGCTATTTTTTTTAAATAAATGGTTTTTGTGATAACATGTAATTATCCAATAATTGGAGAGAGAAAAACTGCACGTTTTATAATAATTTTGTGATTTTTCTTTCGAAAAACTCGAAAATTTTATAACTGAAGCTTCAAGTTCTAAATTTTATAAGACTTTAATAATGGTGGCGCCCTTTATAATCTTGCAACTTGAAAAAAGGCTCATACAGTCAGAAACAAAATTACAGTGAATGAAAGTCGTCTTTATGTTATCCTCCAATTAAAAACGTAGCTAAAGATCTTGTTATTTGTAACGGTTAATTAGCACGCATCTCTGAAACGTTTAGAGGTTGGAATTTTTGTGTTGTTAATCTTGGGATCAAGCATTGATCTACATCTTATTTAATGGAGGGATCAATCAATGATCCTTAAATTTATAAGTGCCCACATAGGATATCAAGATCAAGCATTCAAGATTAACAACAAGATCATAGGGCATATTTTCAGATATGGTTAAAAGGGGGAGGGGACTTAACTTTGAAGGGGTGAATCATAGTTTTAACTTATCCAAAGGCTCAGTCCCCCCACCTGCCCCCCCCCCTTGTAGATACCCTTGATAAAAAGATTTTTTTAGTAACTAGTTACTTAAATGAATATCAAGGTCATTAACTTGGTAATGTGTTTTAGAAAGGAGTTGGATATGGTTCTTCATAAAACAGATCAGATTGTTGAGAAGAGTAAAGAAGAGTTGAAGGAACCTTTCAAAACCAAGGTAGGAAAGTGCTGAGAAATGTTTATTTGGTTTCATGACACCAAAATTCGATAAAATTTATTGTTCAATATGAGCAGAGCAAATAGTATTTTTTTAGGTGGTTTTTACTAGAATAAACCCCCGGATTTAGGAAGCCATGAAATTGCAGATTCCTTGAATTTGAAACCATCATTAACCTTTCTCATTCAATAGTCTTAGATTTTAATTGCATTTGTATTAATAAAGTTTCTGCTGAAGTGTGTAGCTTTTATAAACGGCTGACGTCTCTCTGAAGGAAGTCACTTTTTCGAGACTTCTGTACAATCTAATGTGTATTTAATGATGATGTTATAAAGCAAATCTCACATCACATCTTTGTTCACTTAGTGATGTGCCTTCAGCTCGTTTTTTCTGTCAGGGTCAAAATTTGGTTTAGTTTTAGATAAGCAAATTGTTTTATAAATATTTTTTCTTAACATTTTCTTTCTTACACTAAGTCAAATTTTGACCCTATCAGAACATATATGCGCCCCTATGTACAATGTACGTTGTAACATTTGAACTATTTTTTTGTCCATTTAAACTATTTTTTTATTCATTTGAACTATTTTTTTTGTCCATTTGAACTATTTTTATATTCATTTGAACTATTTTTTGTTTATTTCATTAATAATATTTTAATAGTTCAAATGAAAATAGTTCAAATGAACTAAAAAATAGTTCAAATGAGCAATATATTTACTCATTTGAGCTATTGTTCATTTCAACTACTCACGTGGCCCCACGTGCAGTAGTTGAAATGAACAATAGTTCAAATGAACAATAGTTCAAACGGCAGTAGTTCAAATGAGATAGCATCAGGAAAATAAATGATTTTTACGGGAAAATAATGAATTTTTGGGAGATAAGTATCAAAAAGAATAAAAAAAAAAGGTTGCTGTTGATGTCCAATTTTTTCTTTGTTTCTCAAAAATTATTTCCCCCCCCTCCTGTCTCACTGTTTATAAGTCTGATATTTAGATGACCGAGTTTTTAACTAAAGCAGAGAAAGATATGATTGATCTTGTGGAACTTCTGGAAGAAGTCATTAAACAGTTCAGGTAGGACAGAGGTCGGAATTAATTAATTAGAAGTTGAACTTGGTATAGGTAGTTGAACTAGGTATGCATAGTTGAACTAGGTGTAGGTAGTAGACTAAGTATGGATAGTAGAACTAGGTAGGGATAGTAGAACTAGGTATGGATAGTTGAACTAGGTAGGGATAGTTGAACTAGGTAGGGATAGTTGAACTAGGTATGGATAGTTGAACTAGGTATGGATAGTTGAACTTGGTAGGGATAGTTGAACTAGGTATGGAAAGTTGAACTAGGTAGGGATATTAAAACTAGGTATGGGTAGTTGAACTAGGTATGGATAGTTGAACTAGGTAGGGATAGTTGAACTAGGTATGGGTAGGTAAACTAGGTATGGATAGTTGAACTAGGTAGGGATAGTTGAACTAGGTATAGATAGTTGAATTGGTAAGGGATAGTTGAACTAGGTATGGGTAGTTGAACTAGGTAGGGATAGTAGAACTAGGTATGGATAGTTGAACTAGGTATGGATAGTTGAACTAGGTAGGGATAGTTGAACTAGTTATGGATAGTTTAACTAGGCATGGATAGTTTAACTAGGCATGGATAGTTGAACTAGGTATGGATAGTTGAACTAGGTAGGGAATTAATTAATTAGAAGTTGAACTAGGTATAGGTAGTTGAACTAGGTATGGATAGTTGAACTAGGTGTAGGTAGTAGACTAAGTATGGATAGTAGAACTAGGTAGGGATAGTAGAACTAGGTATGGATATTTGAACTAGGTATAGGTAGTAGAACTATGTAGGGATAGTTGAACTAGGTAGGGATATTAGAACTAGGTATGAGAAGTTGAACTAGGTATGGATAGTTGAACTAAGTAGGGATAGTTGAACTAGGTATGGATGATTGAACTAGGTATGGATAGTTGAAATAGGTAGAAATAGTTGAAATAGGTATAAATAGTTGAATTGGTAAGGGATAGTTGAACTAGGTATGGGTAGTTGAACTAGGTAGGGATAGTTGAACTAGTTATAGATAGTTGAACTAGGTAGGGATAGTTGAACTAGGTAGGGATAGTTGAAATAGGTATGGATAGTTGAACTAGGTATGGACAGTTGAACTAGGTATGGATAGTTGAACTAGGTATGGATAGTTGAACTAGGTATGGATAGTAGAACTAGGTATGGATAGTAGAACTAGGTATGGATAGTTGAACTAGGTATGGATAGTTGAACTAGGTATGGATAATAGAACTAGGTATGGATAGTTGAACTAGGTATAGGTAGTAGAACTAGGTAGGGATAGTTGAACTAGGTAGGGATAGTTGAACCAGGTATGGGTAGTAGAACTAGGTAGGGATAGTTGAACTAGGTATAGGTATTAGAACTAGGTATAGGTAGTAGAACTAGGTATAGGTAGTAGAACTAGGTATAGGTAGTAGAACTAGGTATAGATAATTGATCTAGGTATAAATAGTAGAACTAGGTATGGATAGTTGAACTAGGTAGGGATAGTAGAACTAGGTAAGGATAGTTGAACTAGGTAGGGATAGTAGAACTAGGTAAGGATAGTTGAACTAGGTAGGGATAGTTGAAATAGGTATGATTAGTTGAACTAGGTGTGGATAGTAGAACTTTGTATGGGTAGTTGAACTAGGTATCGATAATTTATCTAGTTATAGATAATTGAACTAGGTATAGATAATTGATCTAGGTATAAAATAGATAGTAGGACTAGGCATGGGTAGTAGAACTAGGTATGTACAGTAGAACTAGGTATGGTAGATAGTTAAAGTAGGAATAGATAATTGAATTAGGTATTATAGCTCTAGCTCCCTCGAATGTAAAGCAGCACGACTTGTATTCCGCTTAAAATTAGTTTATAAACAAATATTTTAAAATCTGGTTTTTAGAGAATGTATGATCTTCTTCAAATTCATGCCTAAAAAGGGTAAACTGGAAGATGCCAAGCCGGAGGATTTTTTCGTGATTTGGTTTCCCTTCACAGAGGATTGTAAAAATCTTTGGAAGAAAGAACAGGTGAGGGCATCTGGCTTTTCAGCAGTAATACACCACTTTTCAGCAGTAATACACCACTTTTCAGCAATAATACACAACTTTTCAGCAGTAATACACAACTTTTCAGCTGTAATACACCACTTTTCAGCAGTAATTCACCACTTTTCAAGTTTAACTATTATTTTTTTTTCTTAATTTGAGACTATAAAAGTGTAATTGTTACACAGTCCTAGCAGACAATGTTCGTGAAAACATTTTCCAAAGAAGTTGTTTTTGGAAATGACAAATTTTGGACTCTCTTGTTTACTCTCTGACGTCATAGAAGGTCTTATCTATTCGTAAATACGTAAATACTTTCCGTAAATTGTTTATCCGAAGTATGTCTGTTTGTGGAAAATGTAGCCTTGATAATTTGTGAAATACATTTTAAATCTGATTATTGCTAACAAGGAAGCTGAGTCTTTGTGTAGGTAGGTATTGTATGTTATATACAGATTGATTGATCCATAAAAGAACTGTTAAAGGGAGTGTTCGCGAAAAATGAAAAGCTTTCTCAGTAGGTATCACTATACTATATCAAAGAATTAGTTAAAAAGACGATATCGAATTCGTCACTGAATTCCCATGTTTTTTGGGACACCCTGTATCTGAATGATTTGTTTGAAATTAAATTGATTTTTTACGGTCTAAGTCTTATGTTGCAATTTTCTCAGTTTGTATGGACGCCATGTTATTCGGTATGAGACGTCTTTAACAATTTTCTCCTTATAGACGCAACAGATAGAAGATTAGTTGCGATGAAAAGCTCTTTTTTATCGCATTGAGCCTATACCCCCTTTCATTTTTCGCGAACACTCCCTTTAATGTGATTTTAAATAACACCTAAATCAGTGCATAGGATCAAGGTCCGCAACATTTTGGCTTCCTGGATCCGGAAATGCGGATCCGCAACATTATGCGGATTCACGGATTTAGATCCAAGGGGAAAAATATCAACAAGACCTCAAAAAAAAAAATTTAATAGTATTTAAAAATGAAAACCTTGAAATGGTTTGTTTAGAAAGCGACAACAACCATTAAAAAGCATGAATTCGTCCTGACACTCTTAAAGTTGAGAGTAAAAAAAAATATTGTCAACTTGATTTTTCTTCTTTTTGAAAATCACACCAAAAACTCAAATATTGTTCCTTAAAAAAATCACTTTCCGAAAAATGTTCTAAAAAATGTTATGAATTAAATGTTAAATAAATTGGTAACGGTTTTTTAGAACTAATTTTTAGATCCCTTTATATCTTGCATGTTTTTTTTATTTAATCCATACCAAGTCACTTAAAAATAAACTTTTTCTGATCTTTAGTTTTGATTTATATGAATTTTGTCTTAACCCACTATAATAAACTGAAAAAATACTTTAATTTTAAAGTTTTAGAATTTACCGATTTTTACATAGATTTTTCTGATGGTAAAGTAAAAACAAAGCTATGAGATATTTTCAAAATTTTAAGTTATTCTAATATTTGCTGTTGAGATAAACCTATTCTTTTTAACATAATTTTTTACATCCGAAGAACAAACTTTTTTTCTTAAATACAAAATCATGGCTTTTCTGAATTATAAAAAAGAAATACTTGTTTAAGATACGCGTGACGAAGGAATTGATCAAGATGGCCAGAAAGAAACATTTGGAACATAAAGAGAGTTTAATGAACCTAGAAACTAAGAAAACGGCTACTGGAGGTCTAAAGACTAAACTTCAGGCAAGAAAGTCTCGAAGATCAATGGCTTCACCCAGGCCTACTGAAGAGAAGGATATGGGGTCTGATGACTTCATGAATTAAAAAAGTTCGCTCAAATCCGAGTTTTCGCGCATTTATTCAAATTTTTGTATTTTAGCAGCATTTAACTAGTTAACAAGAATACTCGTTCATTATACTTACTCAATGTTTTAAAACTTTTTAAAGTTTTAAATTATGTTAAAGACATTCTCAGATAAATAGATTTTTATTTTCGACAATTTTGGCCATCTCCAACTCGCATCCCCCACCCCCTTGGCTATAGTTTAACACGGAAAAAGGGTCATAAGTCCCTATTTTTGACCTTTAGTCCTGGCTTGTCCCTCAGTTTTTTTATTTTTCAACCCTAATATTGTTTCAGTCCATTGCTCTTTTCACATTTAATAAGAATAAGCAAATTGGCATATATATTCGCACAATAATGATATAGCATGCACCAAACAGATTGTAAAATACAATAGATGGCAACTCAACTAGTGTCAACTCTGTTTTGTGTTCAACAAAATTATTAATAATATTGATAGTTTTCTAGAAAAGAGTGCTTATCTGACAGTAAAATAAGTGCAGTTTAATGTGTTCTTTATTTTCTGTTTTTACACTTTTTATTTAATCTTGGAAAACACGTTAACTAATGCGAGAAAATTTCGTTTTCCTTGTTATATTTGACACTTGTGACGTTTTATATAATTGGTCATTTCTCTGTTGCCACCTATTGTACGTGTTAATCTATTTGGAAGGCACAAGGAATTTTTGTCTGTCCCTTCCGCACATTTTTGAATGAAGTGAAAGTAAAGTGTTGTCAGTAATCCTAATTTATATTGTATCTAACAGGGATGTATATTTTCTCAATGATTCCCCCCCTCTCCCCCGAAAAATGAAACTTTGGGGGGAGGGGAATGAATTTTAGCTTAATTGTCAAAAGTACGTTATTTCTGGCTGAAAATAGAAATTATTGAAAAAATCATAAGAAGGGGTTAAAACTTGCCAGTCTATTTTTCTTATTTCGTTTTTCACCCCTAGTAGTTATGCAATGTTTTCCCCAGTGCAGTGTAGGGAAGGGGGGAGGGTAATTTTTTCAAATCTCTATCCTCGTACTAAAATTTATCTATCTCGCCCCTAACCAGTAACCAGTGCCTTATGTATAATCAGAATTTTCAAAAACATTCCTTGATATTTTATCAATTCCTTTTATAATTGTGATATTTGAACCAAATTTTATCCTGGATATTACCTTATTATATATTAACTTAATTATATTCTACGCGTTAACTTAAATCAATAAAAATTATGCTTCACTTTGCTTTTATAATAATCAATTCTTATATAATATTGTTCTTTGTGTTAAAATAACAATGGTTTAAATTTTTATTTAAGTTTCTTCAAGATCCTTTATGAACCACACAGTTGTTCATTGTTCAAAGCCTATACCCATCCCTGCTTGGTCCTCATTGTAACCTACAGGGCCTACAAACGCGATTGTTGTTTCTGGTGACCCGGCCTTCCGTTTTGAGAGGGTATCTCAGATTCTCAATGGTACACTTCTGACTTAAAAATAGTTCAAATGAACATATTTATAGTTAAAATGAACCAAAAAAATAGTTCAAATAAACAAAATAATAGTTCAAATGCAGGGTGGCCAAAATGTACGAATTGTACGGATTTTTTTATTTGTAACCCTAAAATTGTAGGGATTGTACGGGTTTTTATCCTGGAAATACACCGGTTTTTTTAAATTTCAACCCATTCAACAAAATTTTCAAGAAAAATTTTTTAAAAATTCTCGTCAAAATGAGGTTAGTTTAACTTATTTTCTGCATTCTAAATAATATTAGATTGATTAATGTTTCAATTGACAATCAAAATTCATTCATAATTTTCGAGATATGTCCCAGAAGTGTTCATTTGAGAATGTATTTATCTTTCTGTCTATCTGTCTAGCTATCTGTCTAGCTTACTGTCTAGCTATCTGTCTAACTAACTGTCTAGCTATCTGTCTAGCTATCTGTCTAGCTAACTGTCTAGCTATATGTCTAGCTATCTGTCTATCCATCTGTATATCTATCTGCACGTCAGTTCCTCATTTTTAGTTTAATATTAACTTTCTTTTAATTGAGTGTGCAACCCCTGTACCACGCTATGTTTAATCTATATATAAATTTGGCTTGTCTGTCTGTCTGTTTGTATCCAATAAACGTCAAAACGGCTGAACCGAAGGATTTTTTTCGAAAATTGTACTGATTGTACGGATTTGTTCAAAAAAAATGTACGGATTTTTTTTTCGAAAATTGTACCGTACAATCCGTACGTACGGATATCTTTCAAAAATTGTACGGATTTCTTCTGAAAATGTACGGATTTTTTCAAAAAAGTTTTGGCCACCCGGTAAATGAACAAAATGATAGTTCAAATGAACAAAATGATGGTTCAAATGAAAAAGTTCAAATGAACAAAGAAAATTGTTCAAATGAATTTATCGAAAAACTTGAAAAATGTTCATAGAAACACAAAAATAGTTTTATAAGAAAAAAAGATCAAATCTTAACTTAAATAAACATGAAATATAGTTCACAGGAACTACACATTTTTTAGACTATTTTTATTTATTTGGACCAACTTTTTGTTAATTTGAACTAGTTTTTACAATGTTTTGTTCATTTAAACATATTTTTGTTATTATGAACTATTCATACGATGAGCTATTTCATTAGAACTATTTTTGTGCTTATTTAAACTGGAGCTAATTAGCTAAACCATAGCTACTCTTAGAGCTAATAATCTAAACCTCAGCTACTCCTGGGGCTTATTAGCTAAATTTCAACCCTTCAGAAGGATGGGCGGATTTTGGTAATGTCAATTTGGTAATGACAATTTGGTAAGGTGACAATTTGGTAACGACAATTTGGTAAGCTCACAAAAGTGACAATTTGGTAACAACAAAAAAGTGACAATTTGGCAATGACAAATTAGTAACGTCATAAAAGTGACAATTTGGTAATAACAATATGGTAACTGCAAAAAAGTGACAATTTGGTAATAACAATTTGGTAACTAAAAAAAAGTGACAATTTGTTGATAAAAGTTAAATTTAATTCATTAATCCCTCAGCCTTTATTTTCCTCTTTAGATATTCTGCCTCTTCTTCGCCTAATAATTCAACAGCAATTATCAAAGATGCATTCTATCGATTAATTACGATGTGTGTTTTTTTCTAAAAAATTCAGATTTTTGATTTGGCACTAATACAAATTCTCAATTATAGCTTTGTTTCTCGCTTGACCAGCCTGCGGATCTTTTCAGTCAGAAATCATCTATATTTAAATTTGGCTTGTATGTGTTTGTTTGTATCCAATAAACGTCAAAACGGCTGAACCGATCGGGCCCAAATTTTTTGTGGGACATACGGCTAAAATTAACTGTGCCTTGATTTTCAGTTTTTATTGACCAAACAAATCTGAAAATAATTTGAAAATTTAGTTTAAGTCAATACAGATGCCATAAAACCCCGATAGGTGTCGAAAATTGTGTTAAAAGTGCATTAAATTCAAATCTCAGAAAACAAAATTTTACGGTGATTACTAATTGAGGTGGTGGAGATTACCAATTGAGGAGCGCGCTTGCCGCAAAACAGATTTGGGTGGCGGTGATGACTTGTTGAGGAACTCTGGACTCCCCCCCCCCTCGTACGGGAGACCGACTGAAAACAGTTTCGGCTAGTTACGTCTCCCAGTCATAAACGGGGGCTCATCCACCGATAAGTAAAGATTTTAGTTTTATGAACTCACTCCGAACAAATTTTGGTTTTTTGTATTTGAAAAAACTTAATTTTTAAATGTCGTCATAAAGTGTTAGACATTTATCAAAGTATAGTACTTCACAAAAATAGGCATTTCTCAAATGTTTCTTTTTCCAAAATGACGATATACTGTAGTTTTAAAGGTGGGGGCCAGGATATATAAACATATATAAACGTATATAACAGAAGGGCATTATATATCCTTCATTGTAACTACAACAAAATCCTAAAGTCCGTATCATTAATAACAACAATTAAAAATAATCAATTTCAGTTGGAAAAATAAGGATATCAAATTTAACAGCTATGTTGTGAATCGAACATGGAAACTAATAAATGGTAAAATTACATTGACAGTTGTACAGGTCGGTCCCTTTAATTTTCCAGATCATAACTCATTCTGTTGTACAGGTCGGTCCCTTTAATTTTCCAGATCATAACTCATTCTGTTACCCGATCCATGATTAATTAGTTTCAACAATTCCCTTTATTCCTCACATTCAAGTACAGGGAATAGGTCTAGCATTTTATTTATGTTATAAATACAGTAAGGTTAAAAGTTAATTAGAAACTAGCTGAAGAGCCCGCCGTTCATCTTGGAGTTTCAAAACCACTTTATAAGAAAAATTCGAATTTAAAAAAAAGAATTTAGAAAAAAATTTAATTTAAAAAAATTTATTTGGAAGAATTTAAATTTTACCCATGGATTCCCCCAAAACATTTCAGCCATTTTGCCTGCTATAGCTAACATACATATAAATAAACATATAGGTTAAATATCATACAGAAAAGAGCTGTGAATAATAAAAAATGAGAGAGGATTTTATTTTTGTTAATAGATATATTGAATCTATACAATTTTCATCATTTTAAGAGATTTAAATGTTTAAACATAGTGAAATTTTCTAATGTTTAAAGTTTTTTAAAAATTTTATTTTTAATTTAAGAGATTTGAACTTTTGAATAAACGTTAATCAAGAGATTTAAATAAAAATATTTGCTGGCATATTTTTAAAGTTCAGCTCAGCAAGAAAAAAAGTGTCGTAATTAAATAAGTACCTATACCCCACTTAGACAATGTCAAGAGAAAAAGTGAGAAGTAAAAAGTGACAAAAAAGTGATTTCCTTTTCTTAAGCCCAACATTTTGTTTGTAACTGACCTAAAACATTTCAAAATATCGAACATATTTGTAAAATGTAAGAACACAATGTTAGTGATAAATAGATATCCAATTAACATTCTCTCAATAGTTTCTATCAAAACATTTAATAATTTTCAAATGCAGTAGCAATTTCTTTCATGAAGAAAATATTATTGGTGTCTATTAATCTAAAAACAGAACATGGTGGCCCAAAAAACAGGGACTAGGGTTTTTTTTATTCGTGAAAAATAAAAACTCAAAAATGTTCCCCAGCACACAGTTTTTAATTTTAGAAGTGATTGTTTAATTAATTTTTTATCATCCGATCCTTCCATTTGATGTATAACTATGTAAAACTATGTAAAACTATGAAAAACTATGTAAAACTATGAAAAACTATGTAAACTATTTAAAACTATGTAAAACTATGTAAAACTATGTAAAACTATGTAAAATAATGTAAAACTATGTAAAACTATGTAAAACTATGTAAAACTTTGTAAAACTATGTAAAACTATGTCGAATATTCGAGAATCTCTCCGTTGAATTCTGCTAACCAATATCGGTTAAAAAATAAAAAATGCATTTCTATATATTTTGATTTTCCTTCCGGGTTTTTGAAATCCAAGGTGTTTTGTTTAATCTTAAATCCAGAACTCAATGAAGAGAAACCTAAAAAAGAGATAATGCAGCAATTCCGGACCATGGTATTGTTTGCAAATAGCTTTGATGGACTTTAGAAATAGGCCAAGTTATTTCTTGCATGGCATCAAATTGCAACTTAAGTAATCTAATTAAGTATTCATTTTTATGATATTTAAGAATATTTTTGTTTTCTCTGCAATATAAAGGAATTGAGTTTTTGCCACAAACTCAGATTTTCCAATCCCTTTTTCAACCCAATGTCGGTGTTAGATCAAATAATCAAAGTTTGAAATCATCCGGATGCACAGATATAGGAATTAGAAAATTTATGTTTGTGGCAAAAACTCAGTTCCTTTGAATAAAATAATAATAAAAATAATAAATTGTTTAGTAAACAAGTCTTTTTATACAAAAAAAGACTGAATAATCCTGATCCCTGTTTTTTTTGGCCACCCTGTATATAAACTCCTTATTTATTGGCCTCATTGTCAACAAATTGAATTTGGACAATTTTCTTAATATCTCCGACATTTTTAAAGGTGCAAAATGGTGAATTATATGAGGAAAATAAAAGTTTCTGTCGTTTAATGTTTAACAGGGCCGGGCACTTCTGAAATTGTGTTTACAAAATAATGCCGCGTGGAACAAAGACGATATAAAAGTCACTTAATTCTCATGTATATTAGACCACCCTGGACGTTTCCAAAATAAAAAAATTAGCAAAAGAATGTTCAGCTAAAAGTCTTAAGTTTATAAAATAGGTTGTTAATAGCAAAATCTTTTTTTCGGAATATTTTTCTCGCTAAAAATCTCATGTTTCATTATATAAGAATATTTCTAGGAATACTGAGGATTGAATCAAATATAATCGTGATTAACATAAAATGCCGCAATAAATTATGAATTTAATCCTCGTCGTCTTCCTTTCCTTGTCTCTCGGTACCTCTAAAGACCAGGTAAGGAAAAAAGGATAACTTGAAAATTTCCAAATTTCTTTTTTCTTCTTACAGTGAGAACCGAAAAACTGTAGAATATGAAGACGACTTTATAACACTAATAAAGTATATTTGATGTAACATATTAAATCGCTTATTAATTGAAATTGATTAGTTTACACTGCACATTTGCTGTGTCTCATGTTCATTAAGGGCTATTTAAGTCATAACTTGATTCTAAAGTCCTATTCCAGAGTTTTATGGTTTTTACCGTATTTTGATTTTTGATTAGCACATCAGACTCATCCTGAAAAAGTAAAAATTAGATTTCTGAAAAATAAACAGTGAGTTATATCCATAGATAAAGATAGATTGCGCATAAGACATGCAGCCAAAGTTAAAGAATTTTTTAGAATATTGACAAATTGTCTTATGAGGTTTAAGTTTCGGGTTGTTATATTTTTTTTACTGTTGTGTTATTTCGGCCAGAGCACTTTTCAGATAAAAATACAAAAATTGTTTTTAAAAGTATTTCCTAATTGTTTTTAGTAATTAATAATAATATATTTAAGACTACCTCAGCACAAAAGTCTGACTTAAAGGAAAATACTGATTCTTCAAACCTCCTTGAAACCGATGAGGAGAAAGAAATAAAAGAAGGAAAGGATGGAACATCTGAAAAAAGTAAAATTTAACTAAAATCATTTTAAAACTTTGTCAAATGCATTAATCTCCATTTATTGGGTCATGCACAAACATTTCAAGTGTACAATTGTACAACTGTACAATGTTTATAATTTTTCATTTGATTTCATTTTTTTCATGCAATACGAGCTGTCCTTTAAAATCATTTCAGTTTGTATTACAACATTTGTCTGGATTTATTCAAATTATTTAAAATGTATGAATTCTAATTGCTATCAGTATCAGGACGCTTTGCGCTCATTTTCTATTTTAACGTTTTTGTTGCTCAATCCTTCTGCATTATCTCTTCGATAAAACAATAATAAAAACTTTTGCGGATTTACAATTTTTTTCGTGGATTTTCAAAATTTTACGAAAATCAAAAAATGTTAGAGACTATTTTTTGTAATTCTGCCGTTTTGACGTTTAACGGTTACAAACAAACTATATAGATAGACATTAAGTTAAACTTTTTTTATTACAATATTAAACAAATTCTAGATGTAATTTTCAAGTGACCCTTTATTTACAGAGTCAGGGGCCCTTTACAATATCCTTTAGAGCTATAATAAGCAGAATTGATTATATAAAATTCATATAAAAATACAACAATACCTGCTTCGTTTTTTCTCAAATAAAGATTTAAAGGGAACCACTTAGAACTCGGCATTTGCTCTTTTAATATACATAGTTCCACTTGAACTTACGTCGACATGCTCTTTAAACGGATTTTTAGAGATATAATTTTCGAAATATGTATAAGTCTTATTGATTCTTACTTATTTTTTGGAAAAAGGTTTTTTCTACAAATTTTATCTCACTTTATTTTGTATATTTCAGGCGATGTTCCTGGTTATGACTACAGTAATGTAAGTTGTTAAACAAAAACTTTAAATTATCAAAAACAGATTGCATTTTTAAAAATGTCGTTCAACTCGTCCAAAAAAAGTTAAAACTTAAATAAATAAACGTCAAATTTAATGAAATTTTCTTTTTTGTTGCTTATTTTTTTTTAAAAGTTTTAAGTTAAGTTTTCAAGTTTCTTAGCTTTTAAGTTTTTAAGTTTTAACGTTTTAAAGTTTTGAATTTATGAAGTTTGAATCTTATGGTTGCTTAACGCGGCAATTTATGTAACTGTTAAAATCAACTAACACTTAAAATACTAACTACTCCATCGGAAGGATGGTTATTAACACTCAGGATACTAATTACTCCAGCGGAGGGATGTTAATTAACACTTGGGACACTAATTACTTCATCGGAGGGATGGTTCTAAACACTTGTGATACTTATTACTCCATTGGAGGGATGTTTGTTAACACTCAGGGCACTATTTACTCCATCGGAGGTATGCTAATTTACACTTGGGACACTAATTACTCCATCGGAGGGATGGTTATTAACACTCAGGACACTAATTACTCCACGAGAGGGATGGTAATTAACACTCAGGACACTAGTTGCTGCATTGGAGGTTTGTTATTTAACAATCAGGACAAGACTTAGTGTCTTGATTGTTAAAAAACATCCCTCCAATAAAGCAATTAGTGTCCTGAGTGTTAATTGTCATCCCTCTGATGGATTAATTATTGTTCTGAGTGTTAATTACCATCCCTCCCGTGGAGCAATTAGCGTCCCAAGAGTTAATTCCCATTCCTTTGATGGAGTAATTAGTGTGCTGAATGTTAATTACCTTCTCTCCAATGGAGTAATCAGTGTCCTGAGTGTTGATTACCTTCCCTCCGGTAGGGTAATTAGTATTAAATCACAACTGTGCATTCAGTTCGCTGAAAACAATTTCCCACCGGTGTTTAAGTCTTTTAGACTACTAAACATCGTTTTTTTTGTATAAAATAGTGCTTCAAGTAGGTATAATGTTGATAAATCACGTGACCACTATACTGCACTCTCATTGGTGGGAGTTCTTGTGACGTAATACGGACTAATAAATAATATCAAATATATCTATTAAAAATAAAAATGATAATTATAAAATGATGATTGGAGAAAACCCAAGTTCCAATTAGGTTTCTCTGGGATATCTTTGTTTTCAGATTGGCTGCGGATTTGCTGAACATGATCTGTTTAACCTTATTATTTCTATACAAAATCTAAATATATGAATTTTCGTATAAATTTAATACAGTTTCATAACAGTTTTCCCAGATATAACTAAAGTGATTAGCTTTCAGCCTCTATCCCCTTAAATTTTCCTTTCCAGTCCCTTTAAAATATTTTTTTTTAGATGATGGGAGATATGGGAAATATGAAAGAAAAGGGACATATGGGAGATAAGGGAGATATGGGACATAAGGGAGATATGGGACATAAAGGAGATAAGGGAGATATGGGAGATAAGAAAACTTATGATGATGGTAAAAATTAATTCTTTATAAAAATCTTTAAAAAGTTTCCCTGGGTCCTAAATTTATAAGAGTATCGTTGAACGAAACTCATGAGTTTCCTTTTTGGTGTAGATTTTTATTTAAAAGATTCTAAAAAATGGAGAATATATGAAGAAACTAAATAAAATAATATTTCATATACCCTATTTCCTAACTCCATTTGTGAAACCCGGGTTTCAAAACTGGGTTTCCTAACGATACCCTGTGTCTTAAGTTTTGGGCTCAGAGAGTCACGTACATTTGTAAGGATGTACTTTTCTAAAGAATTTTTCATGGACATTAATATTTTTAGTTAACAAAAATTAATTGATTTTTAATATTTGATCTTAAATTCAGATTATTACAAGGCTGACGCGGAAAAGGAGTGTGCAGAACAAGTAACATTTTTATGTTGTATTTAATTATATTTACTTAAATCCGTTTTTTTAGTTTCATTTTCCCTAAAATATTTTTTATGATAACATCATTTTCTAATCCATATATCTTTGCAACCTGGTGGTGTAACCCTTTGATACTGTAAGCCTATTCGTTAATCCAATGATCTAATAGAATTTAAGTATTTCTAGCTAGAGTTCTTAACTAAACGTACAATATTTGAGTGTGTTTGTGAACTAAGGTATTCGTGTATCATGTCAAAAATATTAAAGTTCTACGAAATTTGGTTGTAAAATTGTAGGGATGAGAAAACCAAAGTTTGTGGCAAAGACTTAATTTAAATAGAATTTTCTGTAAAATGTGTTTTAGTGGTCCTATTCCTACCCAGACCAAGATCCATGCGAAGTTTTTAAAATAACAATAGAAGAAGGAACAGTGGATGAGAGAGTTTGTCAATGTGACTTTGGACAGTGCAAGTAATATATCTACTGTATTAAAGGGATTGTACTCGTAATTTCATGTGACCCTCCACATCCTTAGATGTCACATAACAAAGGAACACATTACTGCCCACTAAACATTACTATATCTTTGGTCAGTAAACACCGAAAGCTTGATTGAGGGTGACGGACAACAATGCCCAATTCACAACGGTACCCTTGAAACTTTCATCTCATCAATAATCATGTTTGAAAGTGTAATTATTTTTGCTAATTCCAATGTGTTTTCATGCAGTGCTAGACAGTTTTGAAGATTAACAGTTTTCAAAATTATATACTTAATTCATACTTGATCAGAAATTTGTTTAAAGGTACAATTGTGAATTAGGTGTTACCATATTTGTCATGCAGAGTCATTTGAATTTATCCTTACAGTCCCTTTAATCATTACAAGTTATGACATGTGTATTTGCCATAGTCTGGGCCCTAGGGGAAAACAAATATTGAAACTATTGACAAATCTTTTGAATCGTGATCCTTTTGTCATTGGTGTGAAATGTTTAGGCCCATCCAAAACGTTTTTGTGTCCTTTTTCTTTAAAAAATCAAATTATAATTTAAATCTGGCATGATTTGAATAAATTACCACTAAAAATAATCATAAAAATCCTAAATTTTAGATAAGTTTAAAAATCTTTTATAAACTTTGTTTATGCGATTTTTTAAAAAAATTTCTCAATGTAATCATTTTTGATGCTAAAGTTTTTTTGTTTAATTTTTTTGATTTTTTGTTTGGACGTTGTTTTGCATATTTGANACTAAAGTTTAAGTGGGGTTAAGAAAATTACTTAAAACAAAGATTTTACTCTAGAATTTAAATTTGAATTTTTTGCAAAACCTTGCTTGCTGCTAGAATGTCCTCAACTTTAATCCAGAAAAGTAAAATTGGCGTCTTGTTCGCAGTAGAAAATATACTTACAAAAACAAATAAATTGCACAATATTGATGAATAACAAATCTCTGAAAATGAATTAAACTCATTTTAGTTGTTTGCATTTACAAGAACACATATTTTTCTTTTAAAAAATGTTTAAAAAAATATATTTCGATAAAATTTGAAAATCATAGAAAAAAAAACAGCTTCTTCTAAACCAAAAGATGATGGAGAAAATAATCATAATAAACCCAAAGAAAAGGAGACACCAAAAGAAGAGTCTGATACAGAGTCAAATAAACCCGAGGAGAAAGAGTTTGCGACAGAGTCAAATAAACCCGAGGAGAAAGAGTCTGATACAGAGTCAAATAAACCCGAGGAGAAAGAGTCTGATACAGAGTCAAATAAACCCGAGGAGAAAGAGTTTACGACAGAGTCAAATAAACTGGGAAAAGGGCCAGGAATTGGAAATGGAAATTCTAAAATGGATGATCCAGGTTGGGCTAGGCACCGTCAACTCGGTTTCGTAATTAAAAAACTGGCTTCCTACATTGCTTAACGGTTCCAAAGCCAGCAATCATAATTTAAGGAATGCTGAACAAACTTTTATAATGTACAGGAAAATAACTCTGATCTCGCTAAAAATCAACACATATAATAGCAACAAAGATTATGTTATTAGATATCAAGGTTTTGAATAATTGTCCTGAAAAATTAAAGATATATGCATTTTTTGTGTGAAAAAAAACTGTTTTGATAAATCAAGAATGTGCCCAGCCCGAGGTCCAGGACACAGCATGGGACCAGGAAACGAAAAAGAAGATCCTGAAGAAGAAGATTCTAATTCCAAAAATGACCCCAAAGAGAATAAAGAAGATCCAAATAAAAAGAAAACAAAATTCCCGGGATCCGACATTATAATTAATGAAGGTAAAATATATTTTCCAACTATGAAGTGCTTCTTTACTTTTCAAATTTTCTTTAGATCTGAAGATTGATGATACGATTAAGATCTTGTAAAAGGAACGTAAAGTTTATTAAATTATTTTAATTTCTAACCAATTATATCTTTAGATGTCTACCAATATATAGAGTCGCATGTCAGTTATACAACGTTGTCTTTTCAAGGTTTAAGGATTTCTGTCAGAATGAAAAAGTTTTCAAACTAGATTAAGAGCTTTTACATTATTAATCCGGGTTAAAGGTTTAATTGGATACCGTTGTAAATCGGACATCCTCCTTTCTCAAGGGTGACTTGAAATTGCATAGATAATCCCGTAATATATCTTAATTAATAAATAATTTTAGAGGAGCCAGAATATTATCAGGAGCCCCAGCAATCCAAAAGTGATGAAGAAAACTGCAAGGATGCGGTGAGAATGGAGTTTAATTTAAACCAGAATCAATTTATCATGTGATATTAAAGCCTGAGTTGGAAACTCTTGTAATGGATACCTTTAATCACGATTGCTGAATCGATATATCAACTATGGACACTTTTAATGTACTTTTTAATTCTCTCTTTGGATATCCTTGCTGGATTCCGACCAATGAGAGTTCTCTCTTAAATTGCGCGCCAAATCTTTAAATTTCTCAGCTTTTGATGTTCGGTTTTTACAATGGACACTCTGATTGGTTGCATTTTAGATTCTTTTGTTGTTGAATTTATTATATTGTAATAATGAAAGAATGTTTTTCTTCATGTAATCATTTATTTTGCTCATACATATTTCTGAAAAAATTACTGATATTTATTTTAGTATTTTGCTGAAAATAATGAGCATTGTGAGGTTTTCTCCAAAATAGAACAAACAGATACTGGTTACAACTGTATCTGTGATAAATCTAAATGCAAGTAAGAAATTTTAATATTAAGCTAAATATAATAAACAGTCGTCGTCGCATACATCTATACAATGAAGACGACTTTCGGTTTCAAATTTGATTTTATCAAGCTGTTAAACAGTATGGATACATAAATGTGTAACTAAAAGAAGCTGTACATTAAAAAAACTTTAGTTACTAGTAAACTTTAAATTCTAGAAGAAAAAAAACTTCATTAGGAAAGTTGTCTTTATTGTATTGATATTATCGCCTTTCACTTTAAAACTAGTAAAAAATGAAAAGGAATATTTTTAGACCATGAAACAATGTTTAACAACATTTTTTACAATTGCCATGTATTTTAATGGAAAATATTGGTTAAGAGGAAAACTAGTTTTGAAAACATCGAAGAAATACAAAACTAATAATACATATTTTAGAAAAGGTGCAAGATGTAAAACTAATAATATATATTTTAGAACTGATGCAAGATGTAAAACTAATAATATATATTTTAGAACTGATGCAAGATGTAAAACTAATAATATATATTTTAGAACTGATGCAAGATGTAAAACTGAAAATCACCCTGAGGCGTACTGTACCAAGGATGGATATTGCACTGAAGGAATTTTCATTTTATTTTTACTTTTCAAGATTCATCGTTAATGTTTTACAGTGCTCGGTGATTATATCAATACAATGAAGAATAAATAATAATGCTTTTATCCCTAACAATCATTTTTAACTCGTATTTTTACAAGTAAACAAAAGTATTTCTGCTGTATGAAAGCTTGGTAGAAATCAAAACTGAATTAGAAAGTCGTCTTCATTGTATTAATATAAACGACGACAACGGTAGAAAATTTTACATTTACACGAATAGGCAAAATCTGTATGTAAACTAATACTAATACAATTATTGTTAAGTCTTTTTGAATGTCTCTTACTTATGTTTTTTTTACTACTAAATTATATTTTTAGTATTTGATTAATATCTGTTACTTTTTAACCCCTAACAACTTAATGTTTGTCCCTAATTTTGAGGTTTTTAACAAATGAGATGGAATTTTTAGATTCGTCCCCTACAACAGTGATAGAATTACCAGGATGCTCAGATTCGGTAACATAAAATTAGATTTATAAATCAAATTATTTTTAATATTCTTTTTTTTTAGGATCGAAAAGTTTGTGAATCTAAAGCGTGGCTAGAATGGAATGAAAAAACATGTATATGCAAAAAGAAATCTTGTCGGTAATATCAGTAAAAAAAGAGAATTTGATTTCACTAGCTATCTGTTTAAGTTTCTGTCATCCCATTATTTTTTCGCGAAATTTTTTCATTATTTTTCCGCGAAATTATAGCATTTTCTATTTCGCGAAAATGTTGCTTTTTTTGCGAAACAAATTAAAGGTAAATTTCGCGAAAAAAGCGAAAAATTTCGCATTTTTTTGAGAACGAACGAAATACGAAAATGAAGCAAATGGTCGCGAAAAAAATAATTTTCTCGTAAAATGCGAAATTTTCGCGAAACGATTTTTCCATTTTGCTAGAAACCCTAATATCAATACAATGAAGACTACTTTCGATTTAAATTTTGATTTCAACAGCATGGATACACATAAACATGGGAACAAGAAAAGCTGTCAATAAAGCTTTTCTTAAATTACTTTTAACTTATAATTTGAAAAAAGCTTGTTGACAATCAAGGCCTCAATAAAAAGGTCGGATTTATTGTATTGATATAATCACCGACAACTGATACAACATTTTTGCTAGCGGAATTATTCCTGGTGTCATATTTGCCATTTGCTCTATATGCCTAGAAACCGTCGTTTTTTCTATAACACAACATTTTTCTATATGAAAAACATCCTTATCACATTTTTTTGAGTTGGCTTAGGCTTTCCGCAGGGTACAAAAGGGGCCGGAGTGCTGGAGGTAAATCAAGCTAGAGGGCCTAGTGCTGAAGCTAAATCAAGCTAGGGGGCCTTGTGCTGGAGCTAAATCAAGCTAGAGGGCCTAGTGCTAGAGCTAAATCAAGCTAGAGGGCCTAGTGCTGGAGCTAAATCAAGCTAGAGGGCCTAGTGCTGCAGCTAAATCAAGCTAGGGCGCAGAGTGCTGCAGCTAAATCAAGCTAGGGGGCCTAGTGCTGCAGCTAAATCAAGCTAGGGGGCCTAGTGCTGCAGCTAAATCAAGCTAGGGGGTCGAGTGCTGCAGCTAAATCAAGCGTGGGGGCCTAGTGCTCCTCCTCTTGGATTCGATGGAAGTTTTTCATATAAAAAATCATTTACCAAAAATTACAGAGCAAAAATGACAAATAGCGCAAAAATGTCATCTCACGGATTTAGTTCTATTTAGTAAACAGAATTTATAGAAAATTAAANCTATTTGATCTACCAGAATTAATAGTTTGCAATATCAAAGGTCTAGGTAAACGGGTTGCAAAGTTATAGGAATTAGAAAATCATTAATTAAATAACATGTCCTAATTTACCCATCCAATTAAGAAAAAAAATTATCAAGATTTTTACTATTTTGAATTTTTAGAAAAAACGCTGATTGTCCGGATGAGTTTGAATGTGATCGGGATGGTGAATGTCAGGATTGTGGGAAATCCTGCTCTGGGAAAGAAGTAGAGATTCCTTCAAGCTGTTTTCCAACTGTAGCTGCAGAATGTCTTTCTCTTAGGTAGTTCATCAATTAGAAATGTAGTTCAGCCAGGTTTGAGTTCAACTACATACTTTTTGGTGATGTAGTTTACCAATGTTATTGCTAAAAAAACTGGCTCAAATTAAATCGAATTTCAAACTTCTAACTCTGTAATGTTTTGCAATGTACAAAATTTACATTTGAAAAATCATATTCTTTAAAAAAATATTTAGACGCTCTGGTAAAACAGTGGTTTATGATGAAGACAAGTGTAGATGCTATCAAGTTGAATGTAATTTAGACAAGGATTGCCCAAAGGTAATGTAATTCAGACGACAGACAAGGATCCCCAAAAGGTAATGTAATTTCGACAAGGATTGTAATAAAATTTAAACAAGGATTGTCCAAAGGTAATGTAATTTAGACAAGGACTGCTTAAAATTATTGCCCAAAGGTGATGCAATTTAGACAAGGATTGTCCAAAGGTATTGCATTTCAGAAAAGGATAGCCCAAAGGTATGGTATTCAGACAAGGATTCCCTAAAGGTTATGTATTTCGACAAGGATTGCCCAAAGGTTATGAAATTTAAACAAGGATTGTCCAAAGGTAATGTAACTTAGACAAGGACTGCTTAAAGTTATTTTAATTTATAAAAATATTGCCCAAAGGTGATGCAATTTAGAAAGATTTTTTAAAGGTAATGTAATTCAGAAAAGGATTGTCCAAAGATAATAGAATTCATAAAAAGATTCTCTAAAGGTAATGCATTTAATAAAAGAATTGCCCAAAGGAAATGCATTTCAGAAAAGGATTGACTAAAGATATTGCAATTCATAAGGGAATTACCCAAAGGTAATGTAATTCAGACAAGGATTGTCCAAAGGTAACATAATTTAGACAAGATTTGCTAAAAGGAAATGCAATTTAGACAAGGATTGTGTGCAAAGGTTGCATAATATGAAATTTAATTAGACTAAATAAAGTCAAACACAAAAAGTACGAACACAGAAATAAACTAAATGAAATAAAAAAATAGATAATTAAAATAAATAATAGGAATTCGAGTAGCTAATAAGCAAAAGGAATTAGCGTAGCTTATGTGCACGAAAGTGACTAAATTCTTGAAAAAGAAAAAGTGAAAACAATAAATTCGGAATATGAAAATAAAAAAGTGTAAGAACATTATAATCGGTTCGTATCTGAAATGGAATAAAGATAAATAACTGTAAAAAAATAGTAATACTGTGCTTAAAGAGAGGGATTGGTAGATAGTAGTGTATAGTTTGAAGGTACAGAGAGAGCCAAGAAGAGAGAGAGAGAGTACCGGCATATGGAAAACATGTGCAGTACAGTGCCGCGCACTGCAGCTACAGAGCGTCCCATATCATATTAGACTATCTCCAATCTTTAACGCCAAAATAATCACATAATACTAGAAAAATCTAGCACTTTCTGCAAAAAGAAAATTCTATTAGCCTTATTAAACTTTTCAAAATGATTCATTTTTCTTAAATTTTCTAATTTGTCTCCCAAATCGTAATTTAGACCCATTGACGCGGTCTAATTTGATGTGGGACACCCTGTAGGTACAAGGAATATACAGAGGCTAATCCAGAAGTCGTCTTCAATTTGTTCTAGCCATCGGGACGATTCTCGTCCGTTGCCTAAACAACAATTGCTAAAAAAAATATCAAATGCCAATGCCATGCAGTTCTGACAAGGATTGCTTAAAGATAATATAATTTATACAAGAATTTCTAAAAGGTAATTCCATTCAAATGAAATTCGACTTTAAAGGTTGTTTATTAAAATGTTCAGAAATCTGATAAATGTGAGAAGAATATGTGTGTTCCTGGTCCTAAGACTGTAGAATGTTCAAGGGATCAAGATTGTCCGAACTGGTATACTTGCATCATGGAGAAGTAAGTTTATCTTTTTAACTTTATCTAGAGATGGGCATCGTTTTTTTGAACGAAAGAAATTTTTAAGGAACGAACAAACTTTTTTTATGGAAAAGGGTGTCGTTCAGAAGAAAAAACGAATAAAAAAAATTATCGTGTTTTAAAAAACAACGAAAAAAATGGTGATATAAAGTTGTACGGACTACAGACAAACTTGAAAAACAAGTTTTCAAAAAGAAAATGTTGTTTTTTTACGAAACGAACGATCTTTTTTTGTAAAATTTTGAAAAAAACTATCGTTATTTTCTACGTATCAAACGATTTTACAGAACGATCGTTCAGTGAGAAAACAAAGACATAGATGGAAAATAAACGATAATTTTGAGGATGAACAAAATCATTTTTTAAATTATAAATATTACAAAAGATAATTAACGAAATGAAAAAAGACGTGTCCATCTCTAACTTCATCCCCATCTGATAAATTTGCGATATTCTTTTTATTTTAGTGTGCCATCAACATCTAAATTTAAAATTTAACACTTTTTTACTTTTGCTATAGCAACCTGTCTTAGGTATAAATACAGTGGTGTATAAACATCTACAATTATGGAGAATAATAAAAATATTCTTTAACTTATAATTTATTATTAAAGCTAAGAAAATAGTAAATAATGGATTTTTAAACATTATGATAATATTTTGTTAATGAGTCATTGCATTCATATATTCCTTTTGCCCCTGAGGTGAAAATGCCTGTGCTGAATCAGAATGCCTAGTGCAAAAGAAAACCATAATTTTTAGATGTCAATTTTTGCCTGAATGCCCTAAACGGAGTTATAGAATAAGAAATACTTGCGTCCCAGGATGTGAAGGTAAAGAAATCGCCCTTTTTTCAATGAATCGTACAATTTATTATAATTCTAATATTTATTGATTTTTTTTAAGTAGTTAGATTATAAAGATGATTGAGAAACAAGACAAAATAAACATTGCACTGTGACAAATAAAATTGAAAATGAACTAAAAATGTGTAAAAAAAATACATATTTAATTCTTTTTCTGTAGATGACAACGATTGTTATGAATATGAAACCTGCCGAATAAATATTGATCAAGAAACAGGAAAAATGTCCCCAGGAAAATGTCAGGTTGGCGAAAACATTTTTCTAAATTCTAAAAAACATATTTTATTAGATAGCAATGCTCAAGGGTGGATATATGTTTGAACTATTGTTCATTCCAACTACTGACATATCCTGTTTTTAACTTTAATAATTTATTTTAATTAAATTTTATAATACTTTTAAATTTCAATATGATATCAGATGGAAACATTTTGAGACTTCTATATTTTTTGCTTTTCATTCTTTCTTCTTGATCGTCCACTCGTCCATCCTTCAATCATACTTCGGCTAATTTTGAAAATAAAAATAATGAATTTTTTGGATGTTTCTGCAGCTAGCCAAATTGCAGAGACAGAACAATTTTTTCAGAACCCAGCATCTTAAAGACCTATTCTGTGAGTAGCAAGGTCACTACCCTCTTCCATTGTTTTGTTTTTAATTTAGCTCGATTCATGTTACTGGCATCAGCTGCTGCTTTCTTACACACTTTTAATGAAATTTTCTTGGTGTCTTGGGGCGTTCTACACATTTTCCAGTTTTTTTTACGAAGTAGTACATGTTTTCCCGTCGTGATTGGTACACAACACCAAAGCCCAAAAATTATCTAGAAACATTTTTTCTACTTCCTCCTTTAACTTTTAATATCTCGTTTTCATCTATCTTGAAGCACTTACAAATAAATTTCTTCTTACTCTCTTCTGTAGGATACCACGTCTGCACATATGACTCTTTTACTTTCGGTTTTTGCTTCTTGCACCTCTTTTTGTACTGTTCCAACTACTGCCTCTAAAGCTCGTTTTTCCAATGTCACTTGCTTCAACCTCTGCATTATGATCATGAACTCTGAGAGTTGAGGGGTTCCCTCTCGTCTGGCTTCTATCATGTTTAGTTCTTTTTCCGAACTGTCCTTAAAACTTGCCGCTGCCGCCAGTTTTGTAGTAAATGTCCTACTCCATAAGGGTTCCTCAACTTGTATCCATCCAGGTACAACTCTTCCCCATCTAACTTTGGATCTCCGTCGTGTAGAATGTAGATATCGGTGAGAATGACACTGCTGTAGAAAGTAGACATTGCAATGAGAAAGAATTCGATTTAGTATATACTACATGGTACCAACATCAAAGTGTTTAGATGTGGGAGATCATATCTGCACTGTCGTATATACTACATCCTATGTACGGCAGATCTTGGTGGGTGCCGTTTACTATACCACCAGGATCTACACCAGACATATGATGATCCTAGCTCTGCCCAACTCTGGCGAAGCCTGTCGAATATATGTGGCTGTATAGCCGAACTCAGTTATTTCGCTAGCTGGGTCACAATAAATGCCAAACCACTAGGCATGATCACATTCACAACTGTTCTATCAATGCCAAACCAATGGGCACATAGAGACTATCAATGCCAAATACTAGGCAAAATCTCAACTGTTATATCAATACCAAACCACAGGGCACAATCTCAGAGACTATCAATTCCTAACACTGGGCATGATCTCAACTGTCCTATCAATGCCAAACCACTGGGCATGATCTCATAGACTATCAATGCCAGACCTGGGTAAGATCTCAACTATTCTGTCAATGCCAAACCACTTGGCATGATCTCAGAGACTATCAATGCCAAACACTGGGCACGATCTTTACTATTCTATCAACGCCAAACCACTGGGCAAGATCTCATTAACTTGTGCGCTAAACAAGGAACAATTACTTCTCACACAGTAATCAAAGCGGAGTTATATAACCAATGTGTATTTTGATATCTACTCTCAGATTAAGTATAATGTGTATATTTACATGTCATGTGTAGTCATATAAAACTTAGTTAAGCTAATCAAAATATGGGTTCAACGGAGTTCTATATGTATGTATCTAAATTGGGTTAATTGCAATACAAGATTTGCGTATTTACTGAGAAACACATTTAGGTTTACGGACAATGTACAATGTAATTTATGTAGGTTACTATGGGACATGCACCTGTATTTATTACAATAATAAACGAAAGCAAATACTTTGATGAAATTTCAGGCAAAAAAACAAAAGAATTTTAAGGAGAGAATGAATATAAAAAAAGCGTAAAAGATTTCTTATAAAATCTAAAGATGCAAATCCAGGAAATATAACAAACAGAGTTTCCACGAGAACATCTAGTAGTTAACATTGTACACAATAGAGCAAGACATCTCTACTACATACAGTAGACTGTTTTCATTTATGTAATAAGGGCGAAATTAAGCACTGTATTTATTATTTTATCATAATGCAGTTAAGCCCCCCCCGGACCAGTTAAATCTATGGATTTCATGGGGTGTTCAGGCCCCAACAGGTGCTAAGTCAACTAAATGTTTGGATTAGGACAAAGAAATAAGTATTATTGTTTATGTTCAAGCAATTTCATGAGCTCATCTTTAGTCACTGTGGGATAGATTTCCCCTTGCCTGTAATGTTGGGTCACTCTCTTTTTGGGATCACTCTCTTTAGCTTGAATCCAGATGTTCCCGTTCTCATCAGACCCATGCTTGAAAAGGTTTCCTCCCCCCTGGAAAGAAAAAAATTTAAGCCCCCCCTTTGGAAAATTCCTGACTATGCCCCTGTTACAATATATTTACTAAAACATAACCTTTTTCTTCAAAGCAGTTCATTAACATAATTTTCAATTAATGAGATTAAAATTTTATCAGCTAAGGATGCAGTCACCTCCCTGCAGTTTGGAACTGCACTATCAAGAGGATGACCGCTGTCTTCCAGTTTGTAAAACCCATGAAGATTGCAATTATTTCAGGTTATTGAAGTTCATATTGCACCAGTATTATCCAACATGGAGCCAGATTTGTTATAAGTCTAAATAATTCATACCCCGCAAGGATAATTTTACTTGAGGAATCAAGCATACATCCTAAAATTTCTAAGTGACCTCGTGGATATCCAGATCAAGCGTTAAAGATTTATCATATTTTTACAAAAATTTCTGATCTCTGAGATCATAACATTTGAATGGATATTGTTGATCTTGATCTTTATAACCAAAGTGGGCACTTTTTAATCCAAGGATGAATTCTTAATCCCTCAACTCAAGTTAACACCGCAGGGGATATCAAAAAAGGAATTAATTAATCTGTAGATCTGCATAAAAATTAATGCTTGATCCCAAAATTCACAACACAAAAGTTCTAACTTCTGAGCTGGAAATCCATAATTGCTTGATCTCGATATCGACAGTAAACACTTTTGAACTGTATGCAGAATCATCTTGATATCTTGATTTTGGATGTCCATATTTTCTCTGAGTCTGTTCTCTCATTGGTTGAGAAAAAATCTCTCATTCTTGGTTCTTATTTTTCCAAAAACAACATTCAGACATACAGGGTATTGAATAACGATTAGATTAATCTGTAGATTAACAAAAGATTGATATCCACATAACAAGAGTTACAAAAATATTTTTAGGCGGGGTTCTGAACCTGGCACCAGAATGTGTTTATTTGGAAGATGCGAAAATTTAATAATTTCATGTGCTTCTCAAGCATGCAGGTATGCTGTCATGCAAGGATACATGTTTTTCAGAACTTTATCCTGCCGTTGATGAAGTTTTTTTTCTAATAACCAGCTTCTTCTTTCAAGATGTTTATGTTCCAGATCTCTTTAAAGCTGGGTATTCAAATTCAAGGGTCTCTATAAATCTTTTAAAAAATTGTTCAACCCTGTATTAACGAGGAAATCTCTAATTCCTATTGTCTATTTGTCACAACAAAAAACCTCTTCACATAAATCTATCTTGAAGGGGGTGCTTTAAAAAATGTACCGTCCTGTTAAGCCGTTGTATGCATACGGCACAACTGCAGCCTAAATGTTAGTTCTGTACTTTATAAGAACAGGAATTGACAGTTTCTTGGAAAATTTTGAAAGTTTCCTTCAAGGATTTTGTGACAATTATGATTTGTGAATGGGCATGCTTTGAAATTTTTCTATCTTTTAAGAGTAGGGTTTCCAACTCAAGTGGATTTTATTCTGCATGATTTTGCACAAAGGAATTCGTATTGGAAACACTTAGTATAACCAGACAGATCAGCTGGTTGTTGTTAACAATTAATTATCTAAAGGAATTGAGTTTTTGCTACAAACTTCTATTTTCTAACCCCTATATCTTTGCAACCCGATGATGTAAACCTTTAATATTTCAAACTTAAGACTATTTGATCTACCAGAATTAATAGTTTGCAATATCAAAGGTCGAGGTAAACGGGTTGCAAAGTTATAGGAATTAGAAAATCGTTAATAAAGGTGCTGTTTTCCCAAAATTGTCGTTGATATTCAAAAATTGCCATTCTTTTACAAAATGTTGCTCCGCCAAAATTGACGATAAGACCAATGATTGTCATTGATGATTGAAGACAATGTTAAATATTTTTTATTTCTAGAGATTTGAATGGAAACTGCTGTGGTGGATTCTGTTGTTTGGAAACAAGGACAGTTACAATTGTAACTGTAAAATCAACATACATAACAAAAACTTCTAGTTACCAGTAAGAATATTAATCTTTGCTTCAAAAATTAATTTGAGTGAGAATGGTACCACTATGAGTATATTTTCATTTAAAATATTTTGTATAAAAGCAAACAGAGCTTTATACATTTTAGATAATGTAACAAAAAAAATTTTATTCTATCTGAACCAATTTTTAAAAGAATTTGTTTCCTTCTGAAACAACAGTTTTTAAAAAGTTGAAAATTTTTTTATATCTAGTATACTGAAGTGTAAATTGACTTCTTCTAGTCCTAGAATAATCTTAAAGTATACAAATTTTGGTCTTAAAGTTTTTGTTAAATACGATTAGATTCTTTTAGTGTTTGGGAGACTGCTGAGAAATACAACACCCTTATCCGTTGTCGATCGTATAGCGACTGTCCTAGAACAGATTTTTGTGATATAAAGGACAACAAAGCTTGGGGTATATGCCTGTCACAGACATCATGTACCCAGAGAACGTTGAGCAAATGGCCCTGGAATACAGAGTGTGTGGACGAATTCATTGTTAGAAAAAACTGCTACGAGCACAGTACTTGTAACAATATGTATGTGCCAAGTCAGTGTGCTTTAACAACCAAGTAAGTCATATTTAATACATGATTTGGACATCATCCTCAAATATAGCATCATATATCACATATATCACATTTAACCTTTTCGCAAAAGATAAACTCAATTTAAACATATCTATGGTGCTTAAAAGTCGGCCTGGTAAGGATGAATCAGAATCACTATTTGTGCTTTCTAATATATTTATTTTTGCCAAATGAGTATGTAATTATTTTTTTTTCTGGATAGCACACCCCTGACAGATTTAGGGGGGCTACACTTTGGCATTTTATGGTTCTAAAGTCAGGATTTTTTGTTTCGAAATAAATCTATCACCCCCCTCAATTAAATCCTGTATCCGCCCCTGGTTAAAATATATATGTTTCTTAGGGAGTTTGTGTGTTACCCAATTCCATTATCTAAATGTCATTCTGGCTGTGAATGTGACCGAGAACGGATGTTTTGCCATTATTCACCTGTAACGGAGACAAGATGGTGCACTAACGACAGAGATTGTGACGAAGGATGGACATGTAAACGGGGAGAATGTTATTTTGAAAGTAATTCTACTTGCACAGTTCAAGAAACTGCCTCTAAGTGTGGTAGCAGATCTATTTGTGATAATTTCAAGTGTATTGTGTACACACCCCAATGCTGGAGAAACACTGACTGCCAAGGAACAGGTAAAAAGTAATTTCACGCCAATTATAAAAGATTATTGAGCCAGGATTCCTTGCCTTTCCTACTTTTTTTTTTATTTCTCAATGTCTCTAAATTTAGCTTTTACTTGGCTTTTTAAGTTTGTCTATAGTTACTTGTAAACCCAAAGAGAATAGAATATATATTAGAGGGGAATTTACTAGAAAAAAGTGTAAAACGGCCATTTTGTTGTACTGTTTCCATACAACAGGTGTACGTGCTATATAACCTTTTGGGCCCTGGAACATCATTTTATAGAAAATCTAAAATTAATGTTAAAAGAAAACCAAATTATGAAATAGGCTCGTTTCATAATTGACCAATGATCATTTCTATGCCTTTCACCTAACAAACGATGATTTTCTGTTATAACTATAAATCAAATGATGTTTTTTATTCACCTAATTCCAGGCCCGTAGCCAGGATTTGACCAGGGGGGGTGCAACCTGATGCGCTGCAGGGAAAAATTTTTTTGGGGGGGTTTTTAATGATTTTTTTAAAACAATGTTTGGTTTGGTTTTACAGTGGTATATGGTTGTTTTTTTTACATTGTCAATGCACACTATAAAGGATAACCTTTTTAACAAGTGTATTTGAGTTTTTAAGGGAGTACTGCTTAACTAACAGAGTCAAGTAATCATTTATTACTTTGACTTTGCAATATGAAAATGATATGATCTTATTTCTTATTCATTTAAAAAAAAGCTTTTCAAGGGTCAAGGGGGAAACCCCTCACCACGGAAAAAAATGAATAGTCTAGGGAACATACTGTATTAATGTACTCTACTGCATATAATTTGTGAACATTTACAAGATTTGTACACTTTGAACTCCCTTTCAGGTTGAAAGGGACTGAATATATTCATACCGAGATTCTTTAAATTCCCCTCTAATATATATTCTATTCTCTATGGGTAAACCTAATAAATACTATTGCAAGAAAATAATTATGATAAAAATTAAGATCTTATAAATGTTCAGCATTATGTGTCTGGGGATATTGCCAGTATACAACACTGGAAACTAAACCTAGTAAAGAGTCATATGAGTGCAAAGGTAATTTTTACTCACAGACTAGATACTCAAAACTCATATCACATAACCTCACTTTCAAGACGAAGTGCAGTTCATTCAGATCGCCAACAACATGGTTTGGATTTGTTTTAAACTTAAAGAGAAGCTTTTTTTAAAAAATATAAACAAAAATTGTGAAAGTAAAAAAAGGAAGCACTGGAAAAATGACCTTTTTTCAAGAATATGTACACTTAAACATTCCCAATATTTTTAAAATTTTACAGTTTTTCCCAGCCTACCTGATGTACTCTGCTGTACACTGAACCTCTATCAATATCTACTCTGTGTTTTCCCAGCCTACCTGCTGTACTCTGATGTACACTGAACCTCTATCAATATATACTCTGTGTTTTCCCAGCCTACCTGCTGTACTCTGCTGTACACTGAACCTCTATCAATATCTACTCTGTGTTTTCCCAGCCTACCTGCTGTACTCTGCTGTACACTGAACCTCTATCAATATCTACTCTGTGTTTTCCCAGCCTACCTGCTGTACTCTGATGTACACTGAACCTCTATCAATATCTACTCTGTGTTTTCCCAGCCTACCTTCTGTACTCTGCTGTACACTGAACCTCTATCAATATCTACTCTGTGTTTTTCCCAGCCTACCTGCTGTACTCTGATGTACACTGAACCTCTATCAATATCTACTCTGTGTTTTTCCCAGCCTACCTGCTGTACTCTGATGTACACTGAACCTCTATCAATATCTACTCTGTGTTTTTACTTTACTTGACAGTTTATAAACATTAGGGAAACATTGAAATTTGGCAATTTAAACCATGAATTATTTATAATTATAGAATATGAGTTTACACATCTGCTTTTGTAAAAACATCTTTCACTGTGTTTCACTCATGGAGCAAAATTTTAGGAGACATTTGCTTTAAGAAGTGTGAAGGGAAAGGATGTAAACCACCAATTGTTGGGTAAATGTACTATTGATTTTTTTACACATTATTTTGTAACAAAGGAATTGAGTTTTTTTTCTCAAACTCTGATTTTTTATCCCTTTATCTTTGCATTTGAATGTCGGAAACCTTAGATGTTCAAATTATAAATCATTTTAGATCAAATAATGATGGTTTGAAATATTAAAGGTTTACACCATCATCAGGTTAAAAAGATATGGCGATTGTAAAATCATAATTTGTGGCAAAAACTCAGTTCCTTTATCTTTCAATGATCATTCATGCTTTTCAAAATATAATCTAATTACAGTTGTGGGAGTGATAATGACTGTGTACCCCCTCTTAAATGCCTTTCACAACCAAGATTCAGTGGTCGAACATGTCAGGTCACTGAATGTTACCAATCAAGTGACTGTCCATTAAACTGGAGATGCATTGACAGAGAATGCTTACCAAGTATTATTTGTGGAACAGATAGTCAATGTCCTCGGCGTGAGGTATATAAATAGTTTAATGCTAATGTTTTCTGTAATAATGTACCTAATTGATATGTTGACAGTTTGTTCATTTTAGGTCTGTAGTGATGGCATGTGTAAAAATCAGCCAACTTGCAACTCAGATAACAATTGTTTTCAACCCAATAATATTTGCCGCAATGGTGAATGCTTTATCTCATGCAGGTCACACCAACAATGTATGCCTTATAACCTAATATGCGGCTCGGAAACAGAATATTGTGAGAAACCTCAATGCAAGGGTTATTATGATTGTAAGCTGGGAGAAAAATGTGAAAACTATAAATGTGTTCCTGACATTTCTTGTTCTGACTCTGGGGATTGTTCTCAGCTGATAACAAATACAGAAAGCATAAATGGTGTACTTACAAAGGTCACTTACACTTGCATTATTGGCACATGCAACAGACAATGTTCACTCTCAAATCCATGTCCAGAAAACTATATCTGTAGAAATTCCCAATGTGAGCAATCCCAAAGTTGTGATCATGAAAAGTGTGATCCACCCTATATTTGCAGTAGAGGAAATTGTGTTCCCTTTGACTGTAGATATGAAATCTGTCCAGCCGGCCAATTTTGCAATTTGGATTTTGTTTGTCAAACTTTTCCTGGATGTGGATTTAACACTGTATGCCCACACAATACCACATGTATAAATGGAATGTGTTTGAGTGAACCTAAATGTAAAACATATAAAGATTGTGACTTTGGTTTTGTATGTGAAAATGAAAAATGTATACAAGGAGTTTGTCCAAAAGGATGTCGAAATTGTTATAATGGTAGATGTGTTGACTTTTGCAATGAAGACATCCCCTGCCCCAAATCAATGAAATGTGAAGACAATCAATGCGTTACAAACCAAAAATGTGGCAAATGCAAAAATGATGAGGCATGTTATTTGGGGAAATGTACAGCTATTCATTGCTGTTGTGATATTTTCTGCCCTGGACCATTGATATGTAATAAAAGACTTGGAGTGTGCAAAGATTATACTTGCGATGATGATGAACAGTGCCAAAAAGATGACCCTAAAGTTATTTCTATCAACTCTTGCCAGAATGGAAAATGTAAGGAACAAAAAATTTGTAACTTTGATTTTGAATGCCCGGACAACCTAAAATGTGAATTTTACTACAATGCCAAAACTCCTCGTGTATGTCAAGAAATCAAAAAATACTGTACATTTTCTGATGATCGATGCAGGGGTGATAAATTCTGTGATTGCATGACAAATCAGAAGGAATGTCTATGCAGAAATCCGAAAACAGTGACGCAGTGTCAATTTCCAACTGACTGCCCACATGGGCAACGATGCGACCTGATGAATGGCTTATGCTATTCAGTTGGATCTTGCTTTGAAGACAATCACTGTCCTTCTGGTTTTGAATGTGAGATTAGATCAAGAGCTTGTGTTTTAAGAAGTACGGAGTGCCCAGATGGTTTCATTCTTGACAAGACAACAAGGCTGTGCTTACTGAAATGTAACAGAAATAGCCAAATTTGTGAGGGAAAGTATACTATATATATTGGTAAATGTGAAGATAAAACAGTATGCAGACCAACTCCCTGTCAAAAAGATAATGATTGCCCTAAAGATTATTTGTGTAATGATCGTATATGTATACTAAAAATAGTTGATGTTTGCTATAATGACTTTCAATGCATGTTGGGAGAGAGATGTATTTTTGGAAAATGTAGAAAAACATGTGAGAAATGTGGAAAGGGGCAGATATGCAAGTCTGGTGTGTGCATTGATGAAGATACTGAAATAGTTCCTAAGATTAAATGTCGCTTCAACACAAATTGTCCCATGGGTATGAAATGTGATGGTCAAGTTTGTGAGATTACTAAAGAAACAAACGAATTTTGCCATTTTGATGAAGATTGTGGCAAATTCACATTCTGTAAGGAAGGACACTGTCTCTGCTTCAGCAATAAATGCTACCAAGAGTGTTCTGATAAGTGCCCAGATCAGTTTGAATGTCAAAAAGCAAGAGGCCAAGGAATTTGTGTTCCAATAAATAAGAATAACTGCCCCATTCCTGGAATGACTAAAATTGATAACTCTTGCAGATTTCCAGAATGCTTTGACCGCTCACAATGCAGTAGCGGAATATGCTTTCAAGGATTCTGCCAAACTCATGAGTTTTGCAGTTCTAGATGTCCAGCAAGGTACAAGTGTAAATTTGGCATGTGCATTGAAACAGAAAATATTTGTCTTACAGATCAAGATTGTGTGCATTTTGGCTATGCTTTTTGTGATAATGGGATCTGCACAAGAAAAATCTTTGGAGGTTGTCCTGTTGGAATGGTTCTAGGGGACGGTTATATATGCAGAAAAGAGATGTGTCAGCAAGACAAGGATTGCAAAAATAATCTGTCTTGTAGATTATCCTCTAATGAGGAATATGGTATTTGTGTGGAAAATATCACTTATGTGGCACCACCTAAAAAATGTCAAAAGGGAGAATACAAATTATTAGGAGAATGTGTAGCACTGCAGTGTACACATCATGGCCACTGTCCTCCATCAGAATTTTGCGTGATGGGAATGTGCCAAGAAAGATCACCAGAATGTGAACCTTTTACTTTAAGGTAAATATTAATTTTGTATTAAATGTTCATTACATTAGGAAGAATGCTCTTTTAACTTAAATTAAATTCAGTAACTCAAGATCAATGATCTTTGATCTTTAAGAACCTAATGTGGTAATTAACACTGTTATTCATCTGAAACAAAGTGGTGACCATGGAAACAAGCTATTTTTTTATTAAAGGACCAAGAGGGGGCCAATTTGACGTGCCCACTACAATTTTTTCTTGTTATGAGATTTTTGCTTTCTCTTAATTAAAGAAGATTGTTTACAGTTTTTATCGATGAAGAGAACTGATAAAACTTTTTTTTCATAGAGTAAATTGGCTTTACATTTCATAAGCCCCATCACTTGAGCTAATTTGACCCAATATTTCTAAAAATTTAGTGGCAAACTATTCTTAGCTTTGCAAGGCATATTTCGCTCACATTGTTATTATAAGATGCAAATATCACATGGAAATGGGAAGAAAGAAAAAAGTTGAACCCTACATATGTAATACATTTATCAAAATATTTATATATATTTACAATTTTCTAATTTGAATATCTAACAAATAGATTCACATTTACTTATTTATCAATATATCTATTGAGTATATCTGAAGTGGCTTCAAAAGTTGAAATATAAACAACATGCACTGCAAAAATACTGTTAACATCCTTTAGTTTTTATAGTACAGATTACACAGAAAGGACCTGGGCAGAAAGTTCCTCTTTAGTTACAGTTGTAATTATCAATCATTAAGAAAACCTATAAGTTACTGTGAGACTTCAAAAACTTTCAGTTTAATATGAGCATGACTTATACAAATCAACAGCTACCTTTATTGTCCTGTCTGTGGATTCTCTGCATGTGAACCCAAGATACATTTTGGGTGTTTACTGTTTAATTACGTTCAGGTTTTAGGGTGGATTCTCATTTAAACTACTCCCGTTTGAACTATTTTTCGTTTGAACTATTGTTCATTTGAACTACTGACATGACGTCATATCCTGTAGTTCAAATCAACACATTTCTTGCTCATTTGAACTATTTTTCTACCGCAATTCAGTTTTTAAATTTTTTTATATTCGCAAAAAGTTAGTTCATGACAAATAATTAGATCAATTACACAGAAATGTTTCAAATAAACATAAAAAATAGTTTAAATTAACAAACAAAATAGTTCAAATGAACATAAAAATAGTTTAAATTAACATAAAAATATTTCAAATGAAGATAAAAATAGTTCAAATGAACATAAAAATAGTTTGAATGAACATAAAAATAGTTCAAATGAACATAAAAATAGTTCAAATGAAATAGTTCAAATTGAAAAAAAATGTTGAAATGAACTTAAAATATAGTTTATATAAAGAAAAGAATAGTTAAAATGAAATAGTTTAAATGAAAAAACAAATAGTTCTGCAAATGAAATAGTTCAAATGAACAAAAAATAGTTAAAATGAACAAGATATAATTAGTTAGATAACAATTTTACACAGAAATGTTTTAAATAAACATAAGAATAGTTTAAATTAACAAAAATAGTTCAAATTAGAAAAAAATAGTTCAAATGAAAAATAAACAAACAAAAATTTCAAATAAAATAGTAAAAAAACATATAAAGAGATCAAATGTGATTTACTCCTACTCCTGACGTGATTTTACCCCACCCCTTTGACTGTCTCCTCCAACGGCAGACATGAACTCATACCTTCGAGTGTGCGAGGTGGGGAAGACTTCACTGCAGATTTTACTTTTTGGCATGACCACTTTTTCAAGAATTTTCAAATAAATTAGTTTTTTTACGGTTAGGTTAGGTTAAGACACTTTCTAGGCTGAGCGCTGCGGCTGGGACAGGCTAAGGGCCAAGCGCTGCGACACTTTCTTTTATTTAGGGTGAGGTTAGGTTAAGACACTTTCTGGGCCGAGCACTGCAGCTAGGATTCAATCTCGATCTACAAATGTCATCCCCCCTTTTAAATCATGCTTTTAATTAAGCATGGCAGTGAAGTCTTCCCCACATCGCACACTCAAGAAGGTTGGAATTCAGCGTCTGCCACCTCCCACGGGCCTGCAGGCCCCCGAGGCCCCTCCCCTAATTACTTCAGCTGATCCACAGCATTTGAACTATTTTTGTGTTTATTTGAACTATTTTTTTGTCCATTTGAACTATTTTTTTGTCTGTTTGAACTATTTTTACGTCCATTTGAATTATTTATTTGATCATTGTGACTATTGTTTTGTTCATTTCAACTATTTTTTTTGTCTATTTGAACTATTTGTTTCCCATTTGAACTATTGTTCAAATTTTATTTATTTTTTGTCATTTTCATTTGAAATATTTTTTTCTCATCTGAACTATTTTTTTGTTCATTTGAACTATTTCATTTGAACTATTTTTTTTTCATTTGAACTATTTCTTTTTAACTATTTTTTGTCATAATTGAACTTTTTCATTTGGACTATTTTTTTCTTCATTTAAACTATATTGAACTATTTTTTTCATTTGAACTATTTCATTTGAACTTTTTTTATGTCCATTCAAACTATTTTTTCGTTCATTTAAACTATTTTTGTGTTCATTTGTACTATTTTTTTGTTCATTTGAACTATTTTTATGTCCATTTGAACTATTTTTATGTTCATTTGAACTATTTATTTGTTCATTTCATTTAAAATATATATAGTTCAAATGGAAATAGTTAAAATTAGCTAAAAAATAGTTCAAATGAGCAATATATTTACTGGTTTGAACTATTGTTCATTTCAACTACTCATGTGGTACCACGTTCAGTAGTTCAAAACGAACAATAGTTCAAAACAATAATTCAAACGGGAGTAGTTCAAATGAGATAACATCGGTTTTAGTGTAAGGTAGGGTTTCCAGTCGTAATTTCGTTACGCGTAATTACGCGTAACGAAACGTAACACTTTCTTTCACTTACGCAGGAGCATTACACGTAATTACGCATATATTACGTTTACGAAAGAAAGTCTAGTTTCGCGTAATTAAGGCGTAATTACGCGAAATTACGTATTACGTAACAATTCCGTAATAATTAAAGTACATATTAATTCTCAGAAATAATTATAGCGGGACAGTATGTACTCAACCCCCCCCCCCTTCTATTCTTTCCTGCTGACCACCCCCCTCGACTTCTATTTATTCCTGCCCATCCAACCAACATATCAAACATATTTTGACGATTTTATTTCGACATTTTTTCAAACAAGGAAGGTAAGCTTGAGAAAGTAGGTTGAAATATTAACAAGTCGTTGAAAATATAAAAATTTTATAGATTATGTATTGGCTGAAATTCTAATTCAACTTGCGTGACATTATTTTCCTTGTAAGTTAGTTGTTTTATTTAAATTAAAAGTTAAAACATCAAAATTTCATAGACGTAATTAAGGAAAAATTTCGCAAAATTACTGTGTAGAAACTACGCGAAATTGAAGTTTTGCTAATTACGCGTAATTATTACAAAATTTCGCGAAATTACGTTGTAGAAATTACGCGAAATTACGCCGTAATTTCGCGAAATGGAAATTTCTCCGATTACGCGTAATCCTGCGAAATTACACGAAATGAAAATTATTACGCGTAACTGCACGTAATTACGCGTAAGAGAATAATCTATTACGTTGGAAACCCTAGTGTAAGGGGGGGAGGGGGCGGAAGAAGAAAATCAGTCCACTTATATATTAGGATTTAAAATTTATTATCTTAGAGATACTAATGCATTTTATGATTCTTAATTAACAATTAAATGCTTTAAACGCCTCTGATAAAAATAGGAAACTAAAACCATGGGGGTCAACAAAATTTCAAGTTATCTTTTAATATATATTATGCTTTTGTTCTTATTTTCTAGTTAACTGTATATTGTTAACTTTTAGTTTTTCTTATTATCTTTAGTCGTCTTTTATTCATATTAGTAATACAAACTAATAAGGATAACTGTAGACTTACTTAGATACCTTAAGCTGTACATTTTTTCTGTTTCTTTTCTTTTTTATAATTTTTGTAATTCTTTGTATTCCAGTTCTTTATTTATTGAGATATTTTGAGTCATTGGAACTTTATTTTACTTTACAGTATCCATAATCTTACTTACTTATACATCTATATTTTTTTATAATTGTGTAAATTACTTATAAAATGTGACATGTTGCACTGCCACCAGTATTTTTTGCCTTTTTCATTGAAAAACGTAATTTTGAAATAAAGATATTTTTAGGAAAAAATCATGTATTCACAAAAATAGTTTCACTAAAATTATACGGGGGGATTTTTTGGGAGTTTTTTTTGAGTTAGAGGGTAAAAAGAAAACTGGTCAATTTTGCCCGTGTCGGTCCTATGAAAGTTGACAGTCTTGTTTAATACTGAACAATTTGTTGTTTAAAAACTAAAAATTTTACTTCTGTAATAAAGGCCTCACCGCTTTTAAATAAAAAGTGAATTTGAAACAATTCTATAAACTGCTTTTTTATTACTAGCAATATGTGTGGTAAAGAGACATGTAACCCTGCAAGAAGATGTGGCCTAGGTTGTGAATTTTGTCCACCAGAAACACATAACTGTATGGATAATTTCTGTAGTCCTAAAATAGAGTGCAGTGACAATGCAGATTGTCCCAGGTATAGTAGTAAGGAATCATTCGGACTAATAAAGGGTGAAAAAAAACATGTTAAGGCAAATAATTAGATGTTTTATTGGAAACCTTACTTGACTAACTATATATCTGAACATAACCTGATCTGGAATAGAATCATCATGGAGGTTACTACATAGTGTTACTGAAGGGTTGAGGTCCAATAGAACCAAAGTAGGATAATTGGACAGAATAAAATCATACTGTAGGGGTGCAGTAAACCCCCATCACCACTCTTCCAATTTTTTCACGACCTTACATGATTTTATATCTATCTAACAAGCTTATGTGTAACCAATAACAAGCTTTATTTTGTTTAGTGATGCTACTTGTGACATCCCAACAAACAATTGTAAATTCAATCAGATCTGGATAACCTGCAATCAACAGTTCCCTTGTCCAATGGGTTTTTATTGTCATGACAATATCTGCATTGATAGCTGCAAGGATGGAAGGTGTTTAAGATTCAAGGATGTCTGTACAAGGTATATAAAACACTTTTAGATATATGAAATAATATCAGTGATTTCCACCTGTTTCTTTCAATCATATTTTGACCTTTAAACCTTTTCTCTTTATACACTTTTTTTGTCTTTGGATGCAATTTAAATAAAAAGGTATTAAAATACAACTCAATAAGTTAAAAGATTGATAAGTTTTAGACCTAAACGTGAATAAATCCTAAGTAGGCTGGTAGTTTTGTTGTCCCTTTTACTTAATTTTTTATTTGCACCTTGAAATTTTTTGGTTTTTAAGGTATAGTAATTTAAATGATTTTTTGTGAATGTTTTTTATTACTTAGCAAAGAGTACAGGGCAATAAAGAGGCCCACCTGTGTTAAAGTCATTTTGATATATAAAGAAAAAACTACAGAACAGATTAATGTGAATTACAAAGCCTATTAAATGTAGAGCATAGTTCAATTGAGTAATTCTGGGCCAGGTTAATCCGTTTTTTTATGCTATACTTTGTTTGCTTCTATCAATTTATGCAATATTTTTAATCTGGCAAAAGATATTAACAGAGGAACAATCAAACCGTTAAAAAAATTTGATTTTAATTTTTTTCTTTATTTAAGACCTACATCTTCTGTTATAGTCAAAACCTCATGTACTGTAACAAGAGAGAGCTTGAAGTTTGTAGCGTCATATTAGGTCCCTCTGCTGGAGCCGAGGCCACCAGAGGAAAATTGTTAGTAGAGGGAATGCACATTTATGATTCAATACTAATTTCTCTATCCAAGGGATGGTAATTAACACTCAGGACACTAATTTGTTCATCAGAGGGATATTGATTAACACTCAGGACACTAATTAATCCATTGGAGGGATGGTAATTAACACTCAGGACACTAATTACTCCATAGGAGGGATAGTAATTAACACTCAGGACAATAATTAATTCATTGCAAGAATGGTAATTAACACTCAGGACACTAAATACTCCACCAGAGGGATGGTAATTAACACTCAGGACTTAAGTACTCCATCAGAGGGATGGTAATTAACACTCGGGACACTAATTACTCCATCAGAGGGAGGGTAATTAACACTTTGGACACTAATTACTCCACCAGAGGAATGGTAATTAACACTAAGGACAATTATTACTCTATCAGAGAGATGGCAATTAACAGCTAGAACACTAATTATTTCATTGGAGGGATGGTATTGAACACTCAGGGCACTAATTAACAATTAACACAATAATTACTTCATCAGATTGCTTTAAAATCATTTTCCTATTCTTCAGTTACTGCTTATCACCTTAGTGTACAATGCCAAAATGTGGTCCAACTAATTTTTTTCTTAAACCTTACATATCTACATGGTTCAAATTAAAAATCAAAATCAATACAGTAATTAGTGTTAATTTCCATCATTCCGATGGAGTAATTAGTGTCCTGAGTGTTAATTACCATCCATCTCAGGGAGTAATTAGTGTCCTGTGTGTTAATTACCATACTTCTGATAGAGTAGTTAATGTCCTTAGTGCTAATTACCTTCCCTCTGATGAAGTAATTTGTGTCCTGACTGTTAATTACCATCCCTCCGATGAAGTTATTAGTGTCCTCAGTGCTAATTACCATCCCCCCGATGGATTAATTAGCTTCCTGAGTGTTAATTACCATCTCTCGGATTGAATAATTAGTGTCCTGAGTGTTTATTGCCATCAGAGTAATTAATGTTAATTACCATCCCTCCCCGGTAGAGTAATCAGAATTGTGCATTCTCTGAGCTGAAAACAATTTCCCTCCAATGGCCTCCTCTCCAGCCAAGGGGACCCAATATGCTGCTGCAAATTTCACTATCTCGTAATAAGAGCAAACTTGTATGAGTTTTTTTTCAATTTCCAGGACTTCTTAGATATTTTTGATCCACCTAAAGACTAAAAAATATAAATTTATAATTTGGTGATGGTGATGGACCAACCTAATAAATAAACAGAGTAACTTGGCTACTAAAGTTTATGTTAGAAAGGGTAATGCTTAAATCTCTAACACAATCACAAAACAGCCAAAAAAGACATGAAAAGTGTATTCCTGAAATTGGTTTTAATTGATCAAGTCTGAACATTTCTTCTTGGTTTGAAACAAAATATGCATAAATAACACATAGACATTACATGAATAAAAAAAACATATAAGTTTCTATTACAGATTTGGTTGCCTACCTGAAACAAAATGTGAATTAGAATGTCCATTTGAAGGGCAATTTTGTAAGAATGGAAAATGCAGGGCTATCTGCAGAACTAATGATGAATGTAAAGAGGGACAAATCTGTATTCAAGGGCGCTGTGAAACACAAGAGTGTTCGGAGAATCTTTGTTTCTTGTGCAATCAAAGAAAATGTCCTGGTAAATGTATAGATAATGTTTGCAATGAGCAAATACGATGCTCTAATGAGGATACTTGCAGTCTTGATCAAGTGTGCATGTTTGATGAAGATCTTAAAATAAAAATCTGCAAACCTAGGATATGTAAAACAAATGAAGATTGCTTTCCCTTATCATGCCTTAAGGTAGGGAAAGAGACATCATTATGTGGACCCTCGATTTCTATTACAGAAACAGGATGCGATCCATCACAACTCAAGTCATGCCCAGAAGGACAATCTTGCTTCTTTGGTAGATGTGTTGTCACATGCAACAAATGTAATAAAGGCAATTGTAGGCAAATTTCTAACTTTGAGATTTGTGAAGAAACATATGAATGTCAGAATAATAAACAATGTCCTTACGGACATATTTGTAAAAACAAAAAATGCTACCTTACTGATTGTCTTGAAACAATCGATTGTAAAGGATCTGAAATCTGCTTGTTTGGAGAGTGCATAAAAGTAGAAACTTTTGAATACTGTTCAGAAAGTACTCCATGTAAGGCTGGAGAAGAATGTGTTGGAGGTCTTTGTACTCCCTACACCCTTTGCTCCTCAGACTCAGATTGTGTTATGTCACCCTCTGGCATAGATTTGAGATGTGATGAATCTTTTAGTTTCAGGTCTAGGAAAGGAATTTGCTTGAGAAGAATTTTATGTAACATAAACTTAGTTGGAAATAAATTCTTCAGCAGAGGTGGTTGCCCTCATGACATGACATGCAGAAGAGATGGGTACTGTGAAAGCAGAAAATGCTCAGGAAATGATTGCTCCCAAGAATCTGGATGCACTGGAATAATGCCGAATTATTTCAAAAAGATTTGTTTTCCTTCATTTAGATGTACTAGATCATCACAATGTGGGATTTACAAAATTTGTCGAGGTACTTGTGTTAATGTGTGTCCTCATTGTAAGGATGAAGAAAGATGTGTAGATGGAATATGTACTCTATATCCAAGATGTGAAGGAGTGGTTTGCCCACCTAGACAAGTTTGTAGGGATTCTGTCTGCATTCCAGATTTTGGAAAATGTATGACCCATGAAGAATGCGGCTCTAAATGTGGTTGCTTTGCTGGAATCTGTAAGTGCAATACCAAGACATGCCAAAACTCAGAAATCTATGAAAAAAACCTGAATATCTGTGTCAGGACATGTAAAGGAGAATGTCCTGTGGGATACTTTTGTGAAAAGAAAACAAAAACCTGTATTCCTGATATGACATGCGCCAAAGATTCCAGTTGTCCCGTTGACATGGTTTGTAGAATAAACGGAAAGCCCTGCAACGGTGAAGAGGAATGTAGGTGCTTTTTCCAAGAGGTTTGCAGTAAATGTACAAGAAACAAGTGTGTAGAAAATCTTCAAGTGTGTCCTGTAGTTCCAAGTGAATGTGAAAATTGTGGTAAAGGTTTCATTTGTCCAAAATTCAACTTTAGAGAATCCCCAAAAACTTGTCATGTGATTTGTAACCCCATGAACCCACTTTCATGTGAAAACATGTATGAATGTATTATGGATAGTAACTCAAATTATGTATGTGTTCCCCAAACACGATGCTCTATGAATTATGACTGTATTCCACCAATGGAATGTAAGAACTCATATTGTCAAGAGAAAGAATGTCATGCGAAGAAAAAATGCAAGTTTGGATATTACTGTGAGAAAGGGAAATGCATAGGCCCCTTATTAGAGAATTATTGCATGGAACATCTTGATTGTAAAGATGGGTCCTGCAGAAAATTTAAGAATGAGACATTTGGAATTTGTACACAATGTTCTAAAGAGTGTGCAGGGAAATGCATTGACAATGATTATTGCCCTGAGGAAAGTACCTGTGGGATTGATTTACACTGCTCCTCATTGGAAAAGTGTAAAAATGGAACTTGTGTTACAAATGGTTGTGATTCCTGCACCAATGGTAATTAAACATCATTTTCTTTAATTCATGAACTTATATGTTTATTTTAAGGATATTGCATCAATGGAAGGTGTAGAGTACAAGTTTGTTTTAATGATGGACAGTGCCCAATAGATATGAAATGTGAAGGTGGATTTTGTCAATATTCATGCCCTAATCAGGTTGATTTTGCTTCTTTACCATTATTTTGTGCTCAAGTAAAACTAAAGGTTGCATCATTGTAAACTTTACAATTTCTTATATATTTACATAATTTCTATTTAACATATTATGGGGTTTAAATGACTTTTTAAAGTGAGAAAATAAATATATTTTTTCTCATTGTAGGATTATTGCCAAAAGATTTGTCATCAAAGTAGTCAGAATATAAATGTCATTCAATGTTGCAATCTAACTTATCATGCACAACTAAATAACTAGTTAAACCAGTCTCAACTAAATATTAGTTTAAAGTAACCTTACATTTCAGAGATGTTTATCTGGCCAAGATTGTATTGAAGGAGAATGCTCTGTTGGGGAGAAAATTTGTGATGAATGTAAGCAATTATGTGTTTTTGATGAGAAAAAAAATGCTGAGAGCCCAATGTTTTGCATCTATGAAAAATGCATGAATGATGAAGACTGTCCTTTCGCCACATTGTGTTTAAAAGGACTGTGCCGGAAACCTGGAATTATTCTTAACTGTGGAAATAGAGCTAACTGTCCTAACAAGATGGAATGCAAGGAAGGAAAGTGTGTCTCCACTCTTCAGTTCTGTACAATGGATTCAAACTGTCCTCAAGGTAAACATCAAGTGATACATTTGGAAAATGTTTTTAAATTCAGTAATATTTGTTCTTTTTCAGGTTTTATTTGTAAGAATAGAAAATGCATCGTGCAGCCAACATGTAGCTTTGAAAACCCATGCTTCCAAGGATTGTGCATCAGAGGAGTATGCCAAACAATCTGTGATAATTCATATTCCTGTAGACCTAATTATCATTGCTTAAATGGTGCTTGTGTGCCAAACTGTAAATCATTTATATCATGTGGACAAGCACATTATTGCCAAGATAACAAAGATTTTGGAATTTGCAGGTTTGAACATATGACTTGACTTATTTGTAATTTATGGGGACTTTTAATCATATAAATTCATTTATTGTTAAGGCCTATCTGCTATGAGGATGGAGATTGTCCAGCTGAAGAAATTTGCTACTTTGGAGAATGTAAAGTTACAAACTATGAGGAATGCAGAGGGCCTACTCTGAGATATTTTAAGGGAATATGCCGTAGTGTATGTAATCCTGACCTGGGACTTTACTGCAGTAAAAATGAACTTTGTGACAATGGACTTTGCCTCAAATATATTGTGAGTATGGTTTTTAATTCTATAGATATGAGCTAATGCACATTTTATATCTAATTGTATATCAAGATGGGTTTAAATTTTTGTATGGGCTTGGTGAATTAATTACTTTTAAAAATAAATTTCTATCTTCACATCAGATGTGCAGTGATGACATGAGCTGTCCAAACAGCATGAAATGTGATGACAAGCGTGGTCTATGTGTTACCAAAAGATGCAAGTGCACAAGTGAATCATGTAATAATGATTGTTATCCTGGACAATGTGACTCTGGAACTTGTAGCATCACAAACACTGTTCCTTGTGCAGGTAATCTCAACCAAAGGTCGAATTTAACAAATGGCAAGAACTAGAGCACTTTGCTCCTCTGTAAAAAGTACCAAGTCTAAATACTTTATCCTTTTCATTGATTACCACTGCAAATTCTAGTAATTATTTATTCTTTCATTTTGTATTGGTTTTAAATTATAGGTAATTATGTTACTGACAGCAAGGGTAGATGTGTTCCTAGTTGCAAACTACAAAAAAGTAAATGTCCAGATAAACAAGCATGTAATGATATGACTGGTCTCTGTGAAGTACAAGTGAATTGCAAAAGTAACAGCTGTCCTCCCGGAAAGTATTGTATAAAAGGAAAATGTCATGACTTTGAGTGTTATGACAACAATGTTTGCAGATTAAAATATGAGCAGAGAGGAATCTGTTATTATGGTACATGTATTGAAGGACTAGAACGTTGTACAAATGACATTTGTCCAAAACCATACAAATGTATTGACTCAGTTTGTGTTAAAGATACTTGTAAACAAGGAGAGATATTTATTAATGACATGTGTATTGAGCAAATCGCTTGTCACCCTTTTAAGCCTTGTCCTAGCCCAATGAAGTGTTCTAGAGGAATGTGCATTGATAGAAACTGTCCAGCAGAATCATGTCCTCCAAGTTTTCAGTGCATATCCTCCAAATGTATCCCATTGAAATGTTATGATGATGAAGGTTGCATGGGTTCTAGGTGTGACATAATAGAAAATATTTGTAGGCCACCTTGTCCATGCCCTGCTGGTCAATATTGCAGTGAACTAAATTACTGCCTTCCCAAGGTGCAATGCGATAGCTTTTTAAATTGCAAAGAAGGAGAAATATGTTTTAACAGAATGTGCAAACAGGTACAATGTATGGTTGATGAGCAGTGTCCTAACTCAAAACCTTTATGCATTAGAGGAGTCTGCTCAATGAAGATTGTGTCATGCAATAGCACATTGGATTGCTCCAATTCAGTTGTAGCCAATGGGTTGGAATGTGTCAACAATGCCTGTACACATATTTACAATTGTCCATTTAATGATTGTTTAGACCATGAGTATTGCTCAAAAAATAAGTATTGTGTTTTCCAAATAAAATGCATTGCAAGTTGTCCACATGACATGTACTGTGAGCCTTCCAAATCAATGTGTATGGAAATAAATTGCAATAAAGAGAAAGAGTCCACAGCTGAATTGGTTTGTCCAGACTCCAGATTTTGCAACTCAAAAACATTTAACTGTGAAATACCCAAGAGCTGTCAATGCAAAGCAAATCAGAAGTGTATCAATGAAAATTGCTACCCATTGTGTGATAAAAAATGTGAAAAATGTAACAAAAATAATATTTGCATTACAAGAAAATGTTCTAATGTAAACAAGTGTGATGTTCAAAAATATTGCGATCCTGAACTAGGGTGTAATATCCCACCTTGCTATTCTAAAAAAGATTGTAAAGATGAAGAAGTTTGCATAAATGGCATTTGTGTAAAGGAGAGAGTGGAGAAATGTGACAAAAAATCATGCGGAAAAAAAGAAATTTGCAGATGGAGCCGTTGCCTTCCAGAGGAGTTGCAAATATGTACAAGAGATATGGAGTGTCCTTATGGATTTATGTGTAACCTTTACTTAAGGGTTTGCTATCCTAGAATTGTCTGCATTCGAAACCTAGATTGTGCTTATCCAACCCAATGTTCAAATGGTTATTGTGAACATAGTTATCTAACAAGCTGCATGAATAATTTACAGCTTATTGACCAACAATTGTGCATTCCTAGTACAATTTGTTTGTCTAACTCTGACTGCCCACTTGGAGAATTCTGCAGGGATAAAAAATGCTCCACTCGTTGTAACATTGACTCTGATTGTCCTCTTTCACACATTTGTGGAGTGTTCAATGTATGTACAGAAGAAAAGGTTTGTGATACATGCACTAAGTCTGAGATATGTGTTAAAAAACAATGTCATCAACAAGAATGTTCTTCAAATTTTGAATGCCCTCCTCAACTTCCTATCTGTTATGCTGGAACTTGTATCCCTTTTGAAAGATGCTCAGCAACATGTAAGAACTGTATCAATAACATTTGTGTTAATTGCAAAGACTGTCCTGCTCCATGTAAAGATGGCTCAAATTGCCAACTCATTAATCCTTGTGATAACTGTAGAAAAGATGAAATTTGCAGAAAAGGTCAATGCAAAAAAGTCTGCTCCAAGAGCATGGACTGTCCATCTAATACAGTCTGTTTAAATGGAGAGTGTACTTCTTATTATAATTGTCCCTGTAATATTGGAGAACTTTGCTTTGGAGATAAATGTATTCATTCACAATGCTTTACAGACTCAGACTGTCCTGGCTCAGAATTTTGCCTTTATGGATCCTGTCAATACAGAGAATTTTGTATCCAAGATGAACATTGTCCATTAGGGTATGCTTGTCTTCAACGTGTGTGCATCAAATCAATGTGTAATTGTAAAAACTTTGAAAAATGTTACAAAAACCAATGCTATAGAGAAACAATTTGCTATAGTGATAGACACTGTCCTCAAGATATGAAGTGTAATCCTGAAACTAAAACATGTGAAATAACAAACTGTCAAGAAAAGTGTGCTTCAATTTCTCTGAAATGTAGTCCAGAAATACAACTTTGCATTCCAATATTTATGTGTTTTAATACTAAAGACTGCAAAGGAAATGAAGTATGTAATCCTGTTCTAAATATATGTGAGAAGAAAGATAATTGTTATCTTGATGGCAAAGACTGTCCCAATTGTGAAGATGTACCTTGTCCAAGCAACTTTAAATGCATCAAAGGAAAATGCCAAGAGACTTACAATTGTCTTGACTTCCCTTGTCAAGCCCCACAAATCTGTATTGAACATCAGAACCAATTCAAATGCATAACTCCTGGATGTAACGGTGATAAGGATTGTCCTTATGACATGCACTGCTCAGAGGGTAGATGTGTTGATCATAAATGCAACCAATTGTGCAGTGGTGACAAACAATGCAGAAATGGAATTTGCCAGCTTATTATGAAGTGTCCCTGTCAACACAATTTTTACTGTGGTAAAGATCAACAATGTTATCCAGAAAGACCTTGCAACCCAAATTATCGGTCCTGTAACACTAGAGAGAAATGTGTGTGTACCTCAGAAAATTGTTATTGCCAAGAGATAGTCTGCACAGATGTCCCAGGATTATGTAAATCACCAGAAATATGTAGCAAGGAACTGGGTGTTTGTATTCAAGCCCCAATTTGTAGCAGTGCAAGTGATTGCATAAACAGTTGTTGTGACTTGTTAACAGAAAGATGTGTACCCTGTTGTCGGTCAGTAAGGGATTGCCTTTCATTTCAGAATTGTGAAAATGGTCAGTGTGTTACAATTATGCCAGGCTATCCTTCCACCTACAAGTATAATGAATACTATTACAGAATTGAATGTAGATATAATGAGCATTGTCCTAATGCAAATCAAGTATGCTTTTATGGTATTTGTATTGAACCACCTGAAAAATGTGGTAAGTTTTGTAATGGGGTATGCATTGGAGAGAAAGTATGCATAATCTTAAGACAACCATGGACAGAGATAGTTAAAGAACAGACCTTTTTCTTGAGTTGTAATGGTGTAATATGTATTCCCAGAATAATATGCTATAATAATGATCATTGTCCCAAGAATACTGAATGCGGCCAGGAAAATTATTGTGAAATCATAAAATGTGGACCAAAGAAGGAATGCAAGGATGATATTTGCCAGAAAGATACATGTATTCCCTCAACAAGATGCAACTCAAAGAAAGACTGCAAGGGAAAAGAGGTTTGTATAAATGGTGAATGTACAGAATCTTGTGAATTAAAGTGCAGCAATGATAAGGATCACTGCAGCTTGCTGACTAATGGGTTTGGAGTGTGTATCACTGAAAAAGGTTGTAAAATAAATAATGATTGCCCTCCTAGGCATTTTTGTATAAATAAGAAATGCGAAAGAACCACTCCATCATGCCCCTTCGATTCTGTTGAGATGGGAGGAGTTTGCCATACAGCATTTTACTGTACAAGGGATAATCAATGTCTCCCAGATCATATTTGCCATCAAAAATTCAGAATTTGTTTGAAGATTGACAAGTGTCATTTCTTGCAATGTGAGCCTGGCCAACAATGTGAAGATGGTGAATGTGTAGGAAAGATTCAATGTAGGGAACACTCTGATTGTCCTGATAAAATGGAATGTTTTAAAGACAGAAATAGACAAAGCTCTTGTGCTTTTGTGTCATGCCACTCTCAGAACTGTAGAGGACCTTACTACAGATGTATAGAAAATTTCAAGTCAAGAAGTGTCTGTACACCAGTTCCTATTTGTACAAGTGATGCCCAATGTTTTAGAAATGAAAAGTGCATAAACTACAAATGTGTCAAAACTTGTGAAGGAAGTTGTGCGTCAGGGGAGATATGTATAAACAATGTTTGTATTTGGAATTCTGCCTGCAATCCCAGATGTGGGATTCAAGAATATTGTCATATTACAAGGGATGAAAGGTACTGCCGACCTATAGAATGCACTAAAAATATACACTGTCCAAAGAAACAATCAACTTGCTTCTTTGGAAAGTGTGTTGACACATTTCGTTTTTGTGAGTTAGACAGAGAATGTCCCCCAAATATGTATTGTCAACCATACAAAGATTTCTCTAAAAGTGTATGTCTACCCATGGAGAAATGTAATCAATGCAACAGTGAAAGTGTCTGTGTTCCAAATACTAACATTTGTGTTCCAAAAATCGTCTGTGAATTAGATTTCAATTGCCCTGAAGGAATGCAATGTGAAATTGACAGTTTTGGTAACAAAATATGTCTTCCCATCATCTGTGAAAGTGACAAAGATTGTCCATCAAAATATTGTAGTAAGTCTTCAAAAGCAAACATATGCATACCATTGATTGAACATTTTGAGTGTTTCAGCAGTAAAGATTGCAAAATAATTGATCCTGAGTATGAGTGTGTTCATGGAGAATGTTCTAAAACAAAGTGTTTGACTCAAATAAAGAATGGTAAACTGATTCCATCAGATTGTAATAAAAATCAGTGTTTTGGACCTCTGGATTGTCCAATTAAATACGATTGCATAGATGGAACTTGTCACCTCAGTGAATCTTGCAAAAACTGCAAAAATAAGCAATGTTTGAATGGAGAATGCATAGAGGAAACAGAATGCAAAGACTGGTTTAATTGTCCTAATCCTTATATTTGTATAAAGGGAAAATGTACCCTTCCTGAGAAATGTGTTGGCTCAAGCTGTCCCTGCTTCTCCCATGGTGTTAACTGTCCAGATATTTGCATAGACACTGCCATTAGCTGTCCTTTTTCTTCCATGGAATGCAAAAATGGAAAATGTTTGATACCAATTTGTACAAGAGACAGCCAGTGTAATGGTCTTTTTTGCATAGATGGTAAATGTGAAGCTCCTCAAACATGTTCTCAGAGTACATTCAATTGCATATGTCTGAACAATGTATGCATTTCAAACAGTAAATGTCCATGTCCAACTGGTTATGAATGCTACAGGAACACAATTTGCTTGCCTACAGGTGTTAAATGCAGTTCTAATATTCACTGCCCAGAGCACATGAAATGCAGGGATGGTATCTGCCAGTATGAAGAATGTAATTCAGAAAATGACTGTTCCTATACAAGAATTTGTGGAACAAATGGTGAACTTTTTGGGTGTGCACCTAGTATAACTCCTAAGTGTACTAACAAACAGAAGAAGAACTGTGTACCATGCAAAGAGTCATACCATTGCCCTGAATTAGGAATGATTTGCAAGGATGAAATATGCACTTTTCAAGAAAGCTGTGAAAATTGCAAGGAAGATGAAGAATGTGTAAATGGAGAATGTTTGAAACAATGTAAGAAAAACTGCTCTAATAAACAACGATGTAATGATGGGCAATGTATATCAATATCTGGAACAAAATGCCCCAAAGGTGAAGTCTACAACAAAAGGTTTGGATGTCATCCAAAAATCTCTTGCTTGACAATAAATCATTGTCCATCTCCAACTAAGTGTGAGCTCTCAATTGGTGAGTGTGTTAATTACTGCAAAGATGAAGATTGTCCACCAAAATATAAATGTGTAGAAAACATGTGCATTCCTGTTAAACCCATTCAAGAGTGCTTTCATCAAAATGAATGCACTGCAAAAACTTACTGTGATAATCTTTTGAACAATTGTAAAGACTACTGTGATGAAAAAAACGACTGTGAACCAGAGGAAGTTTGCATCAACAGGAAATGTGTTTCTGAAACCTCATGTGGAAAGTGTCCAGAATATTACAGATGTTTAAATGATAAATGTGTTCCCATTCAATGCATTTACCCTTATCAATGTGGTAAGAATTCAAAGTGTAGATTTGGAACATGTGTTACAATATCTGAATGCAAATCAGATTTTGAGTGCCCCTGGAAACAGAAATGTATAGATGGGAGGTGCAGTGAGTCATATGAGTGTGATAAATCTAAATGTGACAAGTACTATTTCTGTCATAAGTTTTCTGACTTGTCTGCCTGCATTCCAGAAATAAGCTGTAACGAAAATTGTCCAATTGGAATGAAATGTTTCAAGAAGAAATGCATTCCAGACTGTGATGGAAAAACTTGTAAGCTCTCTGAATACTGCCTAAACGGAAAATGCACCAAACCAGAAGGCAAAGAAGTTGAAGAATGTAAAGTTAATAAAGATTGCCCAAGAAAACATGTATGCAAAAATGGCGTTTGCGAAGAACAAGAATGTTTTTATGATAATGATTGTCCAAAATTCAACAACATATGTATCAATTATAAATGCTTGCCACCAAAATGCTTTTCTCACCGTGATTGCAACACCTTTCCGTATACTTTCTGTGATGATGGGCAGTGTATCGATAATCGATGTAATGACCTATCTTTTGAATTTGATAAAAGATGCACCCCATTAAAATGTCCTTGCATGTCACCTTTCATCTGTAAAAATGAGCAATGTAACATGTGTTCTTCTAATAAAGATTGTCCTCTGGGAACTGTTTGTGAGCAAATTAATAAACATCTGTCAAGGTGTCAAAGACCTTCAATAATATGTGTTAATGAACAATGTGGAAATGACCAAATATGCTGGAATGGCCAATGCAAGGATAGATGCAACTGCAAGGAGAAAAATTCTTGTGGTTTGGGATCTGATTGTGTGTTTGTGCGAAGGGATGAGTGTGCCTGCCTGACAAATTGTAAAAAAGACTGCAATAGAAGATCTCAGCAGTGCATAGAGAATAAATGTATATATCCTAGTTGTTCACGGGATTCACATTGCCAACATCTAAATGAGTATTGTTCAGATGGAGTTTGTATGATAGTCAAAGAATGTAAAAAGAAATCAGACTGTCTTAAAGATCTTGATTGCATAGAGGGAGTTTGCATAAAAGAAAAACAATGTGAAAATTCAGGAAAGGAAACTTGTATTTCTGGAAAAAACTGTATTCCATATGACAAAGGAAGCATCTGTCTTCCAGAAGAGGTTTTTTGTCTTACAACTTGGGACTGTCCAGAAATGATGGAGTGTCAATCAAATGTTTGTAAATTTCTTTATTGTTCCACTGACTACAACTGTAACTCACCTATGTCTAAACCAAGAGAATGTAAAAATGGAGTGTGCATTCCCAAATTGTGTTCTGGCAATAAATGTGATGAATGCAATAATGATAAAAAATGTGAGAAGCCCTTAAAATGTGTAAACAAGAGATGCCAGGTAATTATTTATTACCTAGACTTAATTTCATTTTCTTTTGAATAGATGTAAAATCTATCTGAATAACAAATATGGATTTCTAAAATCAAGGATTTTAGTATTTGGAAAATTTTATAATTCCTATAACTTTGCAGCCAAATGGAGTCAACTTCAATCTTTGATTATTAGATTTACTAGGCTTTTAGGGCCCATCTTCTATTTTAACTTTTGGCTATATCTGTGAGCATCTTCTCTTTGTTCAGTATCAAACAATAACAACAATAAAAAGTAATATTTTTTTGTGCATTTTCAAACTTTTACAAAATTAAAAAACAAAATTTGGGGCAATCGGTTCAGAGTTTTGTTGTTTATTGGATACAAACAAACAAACAAACAAACACTCAGACAAAGTATATAAATAGATTAGAATTCATAGTTTAAAATATGTAAGGTCTGCAACATTGGGTTGCAAAGATAAAGGAATTTTAAAATCAGAGTTTGTGGCAAAAATTCAATTCATTTGAATATAAACATTGTAGACTAGCCTGATGTGTGAACCACCAAGAATGTTAGTAAATGGAAAATGCACTGATTGCCTAGAGCACAAAGACTGTCCCTTCAACACTTTGTGCATTTATGGATTCTGTAAATTTCCGGAACTAGAATGTGCAAAATGTAAATCAGGAGAGAAGTGTATATCTGGAGTCTGTGCAGATTGTAAAATGCTGAACCCATTCCAAGACATTTCAGAAGAATGCAAGTACTGTCAACGTGACATAGATTGTTATCCAAATCAATGTATTAATAATCAATGTAAATCTGGCTCTTGCATTTACAATTCAGATTGTCCTAAAAATACAGTTTGTATAAACAATAGATGTACTGCTAAATGTTCAGTTGATAGTGACTGTTTTCCAGAAGAAATTTGTGAAGATGAGCGATGTGTACCAAGGTGTAAGGACAGCAGTCAATGTACAGATGGCCAATGGTGTGACAGGGTTTGCAAAACTATAGAGTGCTTAACTAATCAAGACTGCAATGCTCCATTTGAGGTTTGTTACCGAGGATTTTGCCAGAAGGTGAAGAGATGTTATGATGATTCTCACTGTCCTAGTGGTCAGTACTGTGAAGGAGAGAAAGATCAAAGAGTCTGCATTATTGAAAGGACAGATTGCAGTAAAGTTGATAGAAACCAATGTAGGTCAATCAAATGTTTTGAGACCTGGCAATGCCCTCAAAATATGGTTTGCAATAAGTTTAGAGAAGCATGTGAACCAATAAATTGTGATTCTAAAAAATGTCCCAAGGGATATTTTTGTTATAAAGAAACTTGCATTCCTTCTTTCCCAATAATTATTCCTGAGTGTGATGACACTACAGATTGTGAATTTGGCCAAATTTGCCTAAATAGAATTTGTACAAATCTTAATTGTTATAGTGATAACTTTTGTCCATCTGATTATGTTTGCATTGATGGAAAATGCAAAACTGAGCAGCCACCCTGCAAAGATAACTGTGGTTGTAAATGCAGCAGGACAGAAGTTTGTTATGAAAATAAATGCCTTACTATAAGATGTAACAGAAATTCAAAATGTCCCTTCCCAATGACTTGTAACTCATTTAATCTGTGTGAACATACTTCTTGTGAAAATTGTCCAAAAGGATATGATTGTCAAAATGATAGATGTACACTAATCAAATGCAAAATGAACAAGCGTGGTCAATGTCAGTGTGAAAAAGATTATGACTGTCCACCACCACTTAAATGTATTGACAATACTTGTAAACATGAATGTATTCAAGGAAATGAATGTCCTCATAGTCAGCCATGTTTGGAGAATCAATGTACAAAATTAGGTTGTCTTCAGGACTATCATTGTGGATGGGGAAAGTATTGTAGTAATGGAGAATGCATTCCAGTGGAACGATGTAATCTTTTCAACTTTTACAAGTTAAGCTATAATTGCTTGCGGGAAAGAACTTTAAAAGAGGAGAGTTGTCAAAGGAAAAGTGACTGCAAAGAAGGATATACATGTGAAGGAGGAATATGCATTCCAAAGTTCATAAGATGCAATCATAACACTGACTGCCCAGAAGTGACAGAATGTAGCTCAAGTGGGTTATGCAAATTAAACTTCTGTAATCAAGATGATGACTGCAGTAGAAGAAGAGTCTGTGTAGACAGACTTTGCGTTCCAAAGCTTCAATGTGAAAAAAACTCTGATTGCAATTTAGGTTACAAATGCATTCGCTCAGCTTGTGAACCACCTTGTACAGAATTTTCATGTAATGATGGTTTCAAGTGTAACTTAAAAACATTGGGTTGTGAACCAGAAATAGCAACTTGTGGTCCTAGAAATCCATGTCCTGATGGCCAGCTTTGTAGAAATGGAGAGTGCGAAAGTCCCTTCTGCACACCCATGTTTGGTTGTCCAAGTGGTACTATCTGCATTGCTGGAATTTGTACCAAGCCTTGTCCATGTGAAAAGGGATTCAAGTGCAGAAATGATATGTGTTTGCCAGACCCTATAGAAATTCAATGCTTTAAGTCATGCCCATTTCCTTATAAATGTATTAATGGTCAGTGTTCAGATGAATGTGAAGATGATACAGACTGTGAATACTCACAAACACTAGAGTTTGAATGCAAGAAAAAATGTGTGCCAAAATCATGTACAGATATTTGCAAGCAAAGATCAAAAATTTGTCTAAAATCTAAATGCCAAGCAATTGAGTGTTTAAATGATAGGGACTGTAGCAGTGGTATTTGCTTCCTGGGAAAATGTATAAACCACATAAAAGATAAATGCCAAAGAAATGACAACTTACATCCCACTTTTCTTCATTGTCTACCAAGAGAATACTTTGATAGTAATAAAATTACTCCTCCAAAAATATATTGCTTTAGAGATGAAGATTGTCCCTCTGAAATGAAATGTAATCCTCAAAGAAACCTGTGTGAGATTAAAGAGTGTTATCGTCCAGTTGGCAATGGCAGAGAGAGTTCTTTTGATGAATGTGGACCAAGACGAATGTGTGCCAAAGTTGGAAAACAATCATATTGCCTCCCAGCATTTGAATGTGAATTTGGCCAATGCAGACATCCACTTACTCCAACCAGTAATGTGTATAAGTGCCATGAATACTTGGAACTATGTTATGTTTCTGAAAACGAATGTGTCAAGGATAATGATTGTAAAAGTCAGCAAATCTGTCACAATGATGAGAGGACAAGTGTAAGAAAATGTATAAGCACATCATGTTCTCCAAAGAAAAATTGCCCATCTCAACTTCCAGTATGTATCCAGAGGCAATGTCAAGAATGTAGTAAGTGTAAAAGCAATAGAAATTGTCCAGGTAGACAAATTTGTTTTGATAATGAGGAAATGAGTTGCTGCATTGATCCACCACCATGCAATAATCCTGAAGACTGCAGAGAGGTTTTCAAAAAGGATGAAGACTTTTGCCATTTCCAATCATGTATTCTGTGTGATTCTGATTCAGGAAAATCATTTGATTTTAATCAGACGTTACTTTCATGATTTTTGAAAACTTAAAATCTTTCACAAAACATTTAAATGTGTAGATTTTTGCAATCTTATTTTATTATTAACTAAAGTAATTTTAACATCAAATGCCTTTTAAGACTGTCAGAATAATTATCGCTGTCACCCAAAAAAACGCTTTTGCTACAGAAGCTGTTTTGACAGAATGTTTAGATGTCCTAAGTGGAAAGAATGTCTGCATGGAGGTAAGAGAAGCTTTGTTTTAAAATTTCAGAAATAAATCTGTTTTTTTTTCAGAAGATGGCATTGAAGTATGTAAAGAAAAGCTTGAATGCACTGACAACTCATGCCCCTTTACTAAGAGATGTGATAAAAAAGAAAAGAAATGCGTTGAAAAATGTCCAAGAAATCCTTGCAGCAAAAATGAACGATGCATAAATGGATTATGCTTCAGGTTTGGTGTAGAAGTATGCTATGATGACAAATATTGTAGGGAAAAGGATCCTAAGGCCCCTTTTTGCGAGAAAACTAAAAAGGTTTGTGTAACATATTCAACCACAAAGTGTACTTCTGAGTGTCCTGAGAACTACATTTGTAGGAAAGTTAAACAAACCGATCCATTCAAATCATGCTTGAGGGTTTGCAATTCCCCAAGTGACTGTCCCCAAGTGAGTGATGGTAGAGTGGAATGTATATCCTTAAAGCAGTTTGATGAAGAAACTATAAATAATGTGTGTGTACCACAAATTATATGCAATGACAACTCACAGTGTGCCAAAGGAGAAATCTGTGTTGATGGGATATGCAAAATTAACATACCTGAATGTACCAAGGATACACATTGTAGAAACAATCAATATTGTGACAAGATGTCAGTTCCATTCAAGTGTAAGACAATCATATGTGTAATTGATAGAGATTGCAAAAAGGATGGGTTGAAATGTAGAAATGGACAATGTGAGACAGTTACAAATAATTGTAAAACTGATTGTGACTGCAAAAAATATGAATTGTGTGTGTATGTTGATTTTGAAAAAAAATGTGCATCTGTTTCTTGTGATTCAAGCATTCAAGGCTATTTAAAATGCATTAATTGGAACAGTAAATGTATGGATGGCTTCTGCATTTCTAATTGTCAGAATTGCTGCCGCAGAGGGTTGAAATGTGATTCAAGAGGTCTTTGTGAAGGTGATACTAAAACAACAACAGAATCAGTTGAATCTACAACTAATGGAGATGATGAAGTATGTAGAAACCCAAGTAAAATCTGCAAGGGAAAAGAAACATGCATCAGGCGATGTGAAAAGTGCTGCAAATCAGGAAAAACCTGCAAAGTTGGAGGAGTTTGTAAAACCAGATTTGAAAACATTACACCAGATTTACCTTCATTTACCACACCTGACATAGTTATCACGGGAAGCTCAACAGAGCCGCCAATTGTCCATTCAACTTGTGAAAATCCAGACGAAGTCTGTGAGGGTAAACCTCGATGTATAGAAAAGTGTAAAAAGTGTTGCAAGAAAGGAAATCAGCAATGTGGCGTACAAGGAACTTGCAGAACAATAGTAGGAAGTATAGTTCCTATATTAGGTGAAGGATTTTGTGCCTACTGTGATCCCAAGACAGAAACTTGTAAAGATAATCAATGTGTTCCAATTGATCAATGTCAATTAAAAAATAAAGAGTGCAAAGAAAATGGTAATTGTGTCTATGAGTGGGACACCAAACTAAAAGATCATGATGGTAAATGTTTTTATCCCATTGAAAAATGTGGTGGTAAATGTAGTCCAAAAGATGTATGTACACTGAGTACAAATTGTACCAAAGAGGAACCACCATGCTCATTAAAATGTCAAAAAGGCTATGAATGCAATCCTAAATTTAGAACATGTACTCTTGTGGTTGAAAGCATTGGATGTAATAACCTAAGGTGTAGTGATGGTGAAGTGTGTACTGATGAAGCAATGTAAGTACTCTTACTTCATTGAATTTTGAACAACATTAAATTATTGGTTCTTTTCTTAGAGGTCAAAGATTTGGCAGGAAAAAGCTAGACACACCCACATGTATCAGAATTCCAGATTGTTCCCATTTTAAAACTGGATTTTGTTCTCATCAACCATGCACATCTGTATTCACATTATCAAGAAGAGTAAACTATGAACACATTGGGTTGTGTACCTTTTCAAGTGTTTGTCCAGAAGACGCGTAAGTATTTCAAGTATTCAAATCTAAGTTTAAAGTAAATGCATTTAAGATCTCACAATTTTGAATTTTCTTCCATCTTTTTTGTAGTCTGTTTCAATTATTAATTAAAATTCTATATTTCATTTCATATTCCATATTTCATTTCAAGTTGTTTGACATATTAGACATATATGAAAAATCACTTTTTGTTCTAATTTGAAAAAACACATTTGTAATAATCTTTTGTTTGCATTGATGCATAAATGACTTTTTTTCTTCATTTTAAAACCAAAAATATTTATTGAAAATCAATTATATATTGCATGACAATTTATTTCAATATTGCAGTTGTGGTGTTTATCGTGATACTGTAGTTAAAGTAGCAGATGGAAACTGTTTGTGCATGCCTATACATCCTGATTGTCCAATCTGTCTTGGAGAACAGAAAAAAATTGATAAATGTATAACATCAGATGGATCAGACATGAGAAAATGTTTACCTCCGAAACCAATAAAAATAGAAAGGTTAGTTTTATCCAAAATATTTCACATTCCTTGACCAATACATTGCCAGATAGATTTACATTTTTAATGATGTTTTAACAAAAAGTTCTTTTTGGAAAATTGTGGAATGAATGTAACCTTTGAGAGTAAATAAAAGATGAGTTTACCATGTAAAGGATTCAACTTCACTTTAGTTCATATAAAATTGGGTTATTATTCTGTTTTTCTCTGGATCAACTGTCCTCTTAAAGTGAGGTAAATGTGATTGTAAACACATTGTTTTTAGATGTGATCCGGAATGTACTGATGGTAAAGTATGCATAGATGGAAAATGCTTTAACTTGCCCTGTGATAGATGTAAAAGCTGTCCTTCAGGAATGAAATGTGAAAATTCTAAATGCATTAGTCACAAATGTAAATCAAATCGTGATTGTGATAAAAGCTTTATGTGCCATGAAGTACAAAAAGTGTGCGTGAAACATTTTGTGTCTGATTGTAATTACCATATAAATTGTCCAAAGGGTTCTGGATATTGTATTAACAATTTGTGTACAAGATCACCACCAATAATCTCTTGCAAAAAAGATTCAGATTGTCCAAAAATGTTTAAAAAATGCTCACCTCAATCTCAATGTATTTCTCCACATCCTAAAATGAAGGATATTGTACTGATTGGATGTTTATTTTCTACCCAATGCTTAGAAACTCAAATATGTGTAAGCAACTGGTGCAGAGAGAAATCTAAAATAGTATTTCCAGAAGACCACCAAAGCTATGATTGTCTGGAAAGCTCCACAGAATGTGTACGTCATAAAGATTGCAAGGAATATGAAAGATGTTTCTTTGGAAAGTGTCAGTTTGAAGTACCAACCGGATGTTATGCTTCTCCTGACTGTCCCAGAGATACTCCCATGTGCATTAATAGTATCTGCCGAAAACCAGGAAGAGAACTTTGTGATGTAATTACAGATTGTGGACCAACTTATGGATCAGTGATCTGTAATGAGATTTGCAGACCACTTATTGCAGAACCATACTCTCCACCAATGACAGAATGTACATACAATACCCAGTGTGGAAGAAATCGTTGGTGTGTAAATGGAATTTGTGTAAACTTTAAACCAGAGGGTGGTTGTGTAGATCATTCTGACTGCCCTAAAGGAGAAAAATGCTATAATGAAATTTGTAGAGACATTTTCACACCTGTAAATGGTTGTCTCGAAAACAAAGACTGTCCTAAGTCTCATCAACAATGTTACTTATATAAATGCTTTAATCAAAGAGGAAGATGGTGTAACACAAACAAGGATTGTTATGCACACTCACCAATTTGTATAGGAGGAATATGCACCAACAAAATTCTGTCATGTGAAAATAATTTTGACTGTCCTCTAGAGGTGAAAAAGTGTCTAAGAGGAAAATGTACTGTTGAAATACCTGATCAAAAATGCAAAATCCACAAGGATTGCCCAAAAGAGAAGCCATTCTGCTTCCAGGGCGATTGTGTATATGACGTTTATGAATGGTGTGTAGATGATCAAGATTGTTATCACAAGTTCCCTTTTAGAACTACAGGACATTGTCTCAAAAATAATTGGTGTAATTCAACTATGAATGACAGGGGCTTTAAAGAGGGAACACCCCCATGGATGTCAACAAAATGCCGAAGAGACAGTGACTGTTCCAAAACCGAAAAATGTTTGAGGTAATTTATGATAAAAAGTTTTGATAGCATAAATTATAAGTTAATTATTAAGTGGGCAGTGTTATGCTCCTGAATTGCTTCACATATTGTGCCGCTCAAGCGCTGATTGTCCAAAAACAGATGACTATGTTTGCAGTGAGGTATTTATCAGTATATTTCAATCTTCCTAATCATATTAAAGGACAATTATTCCAAGCTCTTTAAATTGTAATTTTTTAGAATGGTGTGTGTGTTCACCACAAGGAGAAAGAGACGTGTAAAATGACATTGAAGTGGGCAAAAATGTATAATCCTTGTAATGAAGAACTGGGTGAAACATGTCACTGGCTTGAAGATCATTGTGTTAAGTATGTGTTCATAGATATGTATTGTGTAATGTGTAAATTCAGAAATGACATAACTATACCGTAAGATCCTTAAAACTGTGAAATAGCAAGACGTCAGATATAATTAAAAATTTTAGATAGTCCAATGAACATAAATCAAGAATTGTACAGAAACTCATTTAAAATGATTTTCAAGTTACTGGTGACACTTTTTGCGTTCATTTTGTTTTCTTATTTTCCAGATTTAAAAATTCATCCACATTTTTCTCAGAAAATGGTTGAATCAATTGCAACAAACATTAAATTTCAGGCTATTTTAACCCAAAAATTGTTTGAAAATGTATCAAAAAATGTTATTTGTCAAATCAAAGACATTCAAATATTTAAAATTAAAGGTAACTTGAAGAACAACATTTACCTTTAAACTATTTTAGGGATGAATCAATGTTTACATGTAATAACCAATCTGATAAAGCAACTTGGGACAAGATTATAATTCGCAGAGAATTCTGTAATCAAAATGCTAAAGTGGGAAAAGAATGTGATGGTGACTATTTGTGTAAGTTTAGACCAAGGTAAAAGAGATGGTTTTCATTTTTTATTTTTTATTTTTAATAAGAATGTGATGGTGACTATTTGTGTAAGTTTAGACCAAGGTAAAAGAGATGGTTTTCATTTTTTATTTATAAAAGGACTAACATTGTAGTCTTAAAGGGAGTGTTTGCGAAAAATGAAAGGGGGCATAGGCTTTACATAAACTATATACAAATGTGGCGAAAGATAATCGATGGCTGTAGGTTGTAATATCTATATGATTTGTTTAAAATTAAATTGATTTTTTACGATCTAAGTCGTATGTTGCAATTTTCTCAATTTTTTGGACGCTAAGTTATTCGGTATGAGACGTCTTTAACAATTTTCTCCTTATAGACGCAACAGATAGAAGTCAGATTAGTAGCAATCAAAAGCGCTTTTTTATCGCATTAAGCCTATACCCCCTTTCATTTTCAGCGAACACTCCCTTTAAGAGGCTTCTCTGACAACAAGTTTCAAGTGAACGATTCATAATGCTGAGTTCAGATCTAGTAAATAATGCAGAGTTCTTTAACTGGGCAAGTCTTGTTGAATGATTTTACTGGTTTGTGTTAAATCCCAATTCTGATTATATTCTGAAAATAACAACTTTAACAGATGTTTACAAAAGTAAATCAACGATTTCTTTGGCATATAAGTTTAAACTTCTTAATTGTGAATTATTTATGGTGACTTTTTACAACATGGTCAGTATAAGATATGTAATATTAATTTCAGACGAATCTTGTGTCAGTCAGATAATGATTGTCCCAATGATAATGAGTGTAGAGAACCATCAGCACTGCCTGGAGAAAAAATGAAAATATGCATTCGCAAAAGGTAAAAGTTTAGAAATTCTACACTTTCCTATGTGCCATAAATAAGGAATTCATTTGGTTAGAATATATTTTTTAGAATTGAGAAAGATATTGCGAACTATCCTCAGTTTGAAACCCCTATGCCAATATATGTGTAAGTAATTTATTTGTTAAATCTAAAACTGCATTTTTTGGATATAAATTTTTTATAGAAATCATGCAATAATAACATTTAAACCAAATAAACCAATTATTTGGAGTACATTTTAAAGTCTAAAGCATTAAATAGCATCTATAGCTTGGGGGAGGGGGGGGGGGGGGATGTTTGCCCAATGCCTCACTCTCAAAAAATATAAAAATGAGGTATATAATTGCAATACAGGTCCATAGCTCAATTTTTCACATCTAGGTCTTCACAGTGGAAAAAAGAAACAATGGAAAATGTAAAATTGTTTTATATTTAATTGGTGTATGAAATGAAATTATCTTAATTTAGTTTTGTTTAATACCGCAAGGGTAGCCCAAAAATGAAAAGTTAAATTTCGATGAATTTTGTATAAACCATGTTTTAGGGAATCAAAGAATTTTTCGTATGGAGTGGTTGATGGGTAAGTTAAATTCTTCCTTACAATGTAAACAACATTTGTTTGTAAGTTAAAACCATCTGCAGTTTTTAATATGTATTATTTTTTTAGATATGAGTTTGAGGGACCAGAACCAAGGTAGAGATTTTTTTCATTATGCATTTTTTTTGCCAAAGTTGTTGAAAAATAATATATTCTTTTTTTAGTGCGGAATGGAGTTCTTATGATGACCCCAATAAACCTCCAAAGTAATTTTAGTTTTTAGCCCTAAAAAGGCTTGGGACCTCTAAATCTATGTTTTTTTTACCCCCCCCCCCCAGAATTAGGTTTTAAAGTAAAAGTATAGCAATATAGCAATTGCATTTATCTTAAAAACTCATGATTTAGAAAATTAGTGTATTAATAATTAAATTAACCCTATCTTAAAGTTATACTTTTTATTTTTATTGTTGACCAAAGAGTTTGTTGTTTTATTTATTTTGTATTGCAAATATTTAGACGAGGAGAGTCTACAACTAAGAAGTCTTTAAGTTATGGAGTTGGAAGTGGATATGAGTATGGTACACATGGGGGAAATGGCGAAGGAGGAAAGCCCAAGAAGAGCTTAAACTATGGTACACATGAGGGAAATGGCGAAGGAGGAAAGCCTGGGAAGTCTTTTAGTTATGGAGTTGGAAGTGGATATGAGTATGGTACACATGGGGGAAATGGTGAAGGAGGAAAGCCCAAGAAGAGCTTAAACTATGGTACACATGGGGGAAATGGTGAAGGAGAAGCCCAAGAAGAGCTTAAACTATGGTACACATGGGGGAAATGGTGAAGGAGGAAAGCCCAAGAAGAGCTTAAACTATGGTACACATGAGGGAAATGGTGAAGGAGGAAAGCCCAAGAAGAGCTTAAACTATGGTACACATGGAGAAAAAAGTGAAGGAGGAGAGCCCGGGAAATCTGGAGGAGAGTCTACAACTAAGAAGACTTTTAGTTATGGAGTTGTAGATGGATATGAATATCAAGGTGGAGGACATAATGATTATCCATAAATTCATTTATCTATAAATTTATCTAATAAAACCTTTCAAAATTTAAATTAAGTGAAATCAATTTCCCAGGTTTAACAGAACCTTGCATACATTCTACCTGGATTACGGGTTATGGTTTAAGTTTAAGAATTTTTCATTTCCATAATGAATCAATTCTGGAATGATTTTCCCCATAAACGGTAAATTTTCAGAACCCTGTTCCAGAATTCCTAATTTGTTTAAGTTATATTAGATGCCATGTCGTCTTAAGTTAAAGCTGTATTTCTATATAATAAGCATTTAGAAGTTATAACTTTTTGCCGGAAGATATATAGGTTCGGCTAGGAAGCGATACGGTTAAGCACCAGGGGGGAAGATAGTTCTCTACCTGTGTGCTCAGTTAGCTTTACTATACACTTACAACTGTTTACTAATATTGATATACTATAGGTTAGGCCAGAATCAACGTATAATAAACAAATATGCAGTATACGCTCTCAGTATAGTTTATGGCCTATAAAATTAGTAAAGGATTAGCGTACATCATTACTCTATGCACATAATCTCGTTGGTAAGCACACAGTTAACAGTATATGTTTGTGAGTCAATTGCGGGATGGAGGCTATATGGGTGCAGCTTGCCTCCCCCCCCTCATGTGAATTATCATCAAATATAAATTCAGATTGTTAGTACGTCTCAACTGTCAATCATATTCATGTCTCATAAAATTGTCATTTTTATAAATTCTTATTTATTTGTCTCATTTCATCCTATTTCCTTACGGGAAAATATACGGAGGGAGGGGGGGGGGTTGCCTATCCTAATGACTTCTTGAAAAGTGAAAACTAAATTTTCAAAAACAGTTAAGACCTACTCCGCCCCCCCCCCCCCATCACTTAAATGTTAAAAAAAAAACACTTTTATTTTGGGGCAAAAAACGTTTTTTTTGTACAAACACATAGATGAAATCAAGGCATATATGCATTTAAATAAGAACAAAAAAGTCAGCTCTTCTGATCCTCTAATTTACGACCCTGCGGGGGAGGGGGGCTTCAGTCAATGCTCTTTTTGAACCCCTGAATTTTTCATTCAAAATCATCAACACAAAGCGCATCAATGAAGTTTATATACTAAAAGTATAAAATTTAGAGTCGACACGTAAATTTTAATATTGTTGTGGATCATGTACAAAGAGAATAGAATATATTAGAGTGGAAATTAAACAATCCCTTGGTATGAATTTTGTCAATCCCTTTCAGCCTGACAGGGAGTTCAAGGTGTACAATTCATCTAAATGTTCACAAAGGAATTGAATCTTTGCCTCAAACGCTTACTTTTTAATCCAAGTATGCAACCTGATGCTGTAGAAATTTAATATTTCAAACTATGAATTCTGTAGATCAAGTATTTTTAGTTTGAAATATCTAAGGTTTACACAATCAGGCTGCAAAGATGAAGGGATAAGAACATTTAAGTCTGTGGCAAAACCTCAATTCCTTATTCGCAGTACATCCCACTAATACAGTAAGATCCCTGAACATATCCATTCCAATTTCTTTGTTTTATAAAGTTGTTAAATAACTTTTAACGTGTGTATTTGTTAAATGTGAATTTAAATCATTATTTGATTAAACATTGAAATGTAAAAATCATCGTTTGTAAAGTGAATACCTACAGAATTGTTAATCTTTTTTGCTTCAGACTCTTTTGTATACTGCAATTAATATCTTGTTTTAAATTAATTTTTTAGGCTTTTAATTTAATTGTGAACAGTTTCTCTTTGTATGTCATTGAAAACAAAAACAAACAAAAAGTAATAAGGGTTTCAATTTTGCCAATAAATATTTTTCCTAAAATTTAAATGATTTTCTTAAATCAATGCAGAACACATACTGTCTGTCCCAAAAAGCAAAACAATTATAAGACGACTCTAGCAAGGGGATTCTAGGACTAAGTCAGAAGGTGGGGGGAAATGAAATTCTCCCGCCCCCCCTCCTTGTCAGGATTTAGCAAATAATAATATCTCCCTCATTGTTACTCAGATATCGAGCTATGTTGATGAACCAGTAAAGCAAAAAAATTCAGATTTGAAAATATCAAAATATTTTAAAAATTCAATCACATAGCAAAAGATGCAAAATTTCCCTGCAAGATTTATGCAATATGCTTCCTTTTGTCAAAGGCAATTTAGATAGATATTTTGTCTGCAGTTTTACAGTTTTTTTTTCCTTTGAGCTATTACAAATAGCCATAAATTATTTTTACTTCAAGTATTTATTAAGTGTTCCACAGGGAAAATGTTTTCAATCCATTCTTAAAATAGAATTTAAGTATCTGAACATTCTACACATAGAAGCTTCTCGCAATTTTCTAGGGTTGTTTCCCCCCTTTACGCATGCCCCTCAGCTGTCTCAGAGCCGTTATACTTTCTAACAAGGCTTAAAGCATACATAAATTAGATTGGTTAAATGTTTTCCTTCCATTTCACAGTTGTATGAGTCACACTGTATAAAAGTTATGAAATTGAAATTAAAGAGTTAAAACCATTTACCTTCCTCATCCTCAATTTTAATATTTTGCAGGTATCTTGAGTATTTCAAAAATATTGGCTTTACTGTTTGATTACTTCAAATAAAAAATATGTTTTTTACTAAATAAAACATCAAATTGATTTTTTTCGAAGCCTTTGCTGAAATGAACTCGGGAATGCAAGACAGGCTATCAGAGAATTGATTTAGAGAAAATCAAATAATTTTCAAGAAAACTTTTCTATAAAATGATGTTCCAGGGCCCAAAAGGTTATATAGCACAAATATGTGAAGTACACCTGCAGTATGGAAACAGTACAACAAAATGGCCGTTTTACACTTTTTTCGAATAAATTCCACTCTAATATATTTTATTCTTTTTGACCATGTATCGTTATGCTTGTAAACCATCACAGGGAAATAAACAGTTATATCTCCTCCACCCTCTGGAAACCTGCCCAGTCATTCTATGTTACTTATCTTCTAAACTACATTTACTCAACAAATATAACTCCTTTACTTCATTTACAGTGTATAAAATAATATAAAAATTGTAGGGCTTTTCCAATAGCATCCAAGTTACTGCAGATTGCCAGGTTTCAAGTTCTTAATGAACATTGGTTGTTTTTCAGCCTTGACCTTTTTTCATGGGTGTAACGTTTCAAGAGTCTAGGAAGAAATCATCATCATTGGAGTTCTATTGGAGACCCCCCACAGACGTCTCGTTGGAGACCCTCATATTCTTGTATAGAGGCCCCCCAGTTTTTCATTGGAGACCCCAGATTTTTGTTGGATATCCCCATATTTTCATTGGAGACCGAAATATGTGGGTCTCCAACGAGAATCCGTGAGTCTCCCACTAGACGTCCATGGGGATCTCCAACAGAACTCCAATGAAAATGGTTTCTTGAAGAAAAAATGATTGTATTCCTTCACCTACTGTTAAAATTCTTTTTTTTTTTCATTATTAGTTGATTTCTTGAAAAGGTTCAAAATTAAGATTTAAATAAAATCTTTTCAGTGAGTTTAAGCCAACTTGAATCTTTTAAGTAATTACTTTTTTCTTTTTACACTTTGAGTTGGAACTTATGGATAGTTTGAACGCTATTGAGTTCGTTTAGTTTCCTGTTCCACTGGGGCTTCCCTCATAGAACCCGGCCCCTCCCCGGTATAACTTGAAAGTCGTCTTCCTATTTCCCAGTTTATATGTCACACTGTACCGTTTTGACATTTAAAAAAATCATCCCCTTGCTTGTATACAAGGAAAACAGGATAGGAGAGTTTAAAAAATCATCCCCTTGTATACAAGGAAAACAGGATAGGAGAGTTTAAAAAATCATCCCCTTGTATACAAGGAAAACAGGATAGGAGAGTTTAAAAAATCATCCCCTTGTATACAAGGAAAACAGGATAGGAGAGTTTAAAAAAGCTTTACAATCAAAGAATTAGAAAGATGAAAGATATATTTATTCAAAATATATCAAACACATGATTTGGGAACAAATCATACTACACTAACATTGATAATTTCGAGACGACTAAATTATGAATGAGATATCCCCTTATTCTGAGTGAAAATAAATTAATTCTAGTTGTGGTTTCTCTTAAACTGACTTATTGTTGATTAGACAGAGGCTTAAGTGGACTGTTGTGAAGTTCTCATTTTTTGCATTCTAAACTTAAATTCTTTGATAACATTTTTTATCTAATTTATAAATTAATTCGTTTCAGAAATATTAAAGAAAAACAAACTACAAACAGAATCTTGTATTTTAACAATGAATTCTATGTCCCTTTCACCAGGATTTAAGCAGGTGAATTCAAATGATTTGGATTTAAAAAGGAAAATTACCACCCTTTCCACTCACAAAATTGTACAGGGTGTGATAAAAGACGGTGAATAAGGGTCTGCAGACTCGCTTATAATCGGATTTTCAAGATTGCTATAGATTAATCTGTAGATTAACAAAAGATCAAGATCAAGTATTATTAATCTCGATATCCACAATACAAGAGTTCATATCTTTTATAGAAATAGTTTAGTTGCAAACTAAAAATTTATGATAATAATTTTATGATGAAATAAGATATCTAAATTGAATTGTTTTCTGGTTTCGATAAAAATATGATTGTTCCTTATGTAAGATTTGTATAGGAATGTAAGTTTGTATGTAAACCATGAAAATATCAAAACCACTGGACGTTTAATATTTAAACCTTTTTTATCTTAGAAATTAGTGTTTGCAAGTTTTTTTCGGTAATTAAGTAGGATATTAGAGTTAGGATGAATAATCAAAATTGAACAGTCAAGGTAGTGATGTGTCATCGGTTGGTTCGTTTTTGGGTTGTTTTCCTATTATTTCAGAGTTAAAGTTTGTCATAGTGTAAGAAAAGCTAATTTTTCATTCTTAACATTTGCCTTTATTTCTCCATGCCAAATTTTGCCCCTGACAGAAGATATATGCAAATCCGATATTTACAACACAATGTGCAGGAAGATCAGGGAAGAGAATTTTCAATGGCTTCTATTCCACCTATGC